CCCCGAAAACTCTTCGAAAAATCTGTTCAACACACATACAACCACAAGAACAAAAATAAAATAAAATAATCTGTATGTATACATTACAGATCTGTTCAGCGCGCGCACACACACACACACAACAGATATATTGTTCATCAATAACAGACAATAACAGATATAATATAAATAATAACTTGGAAAAAAAAATTGTGCATCAATCAACAACAGATATGTATATATATATATATATGGAGAGAGAAAGAGAGGGGGGCTTCATCACGATCTGTCTTGGTCATGGTCGTGGCTTCAGATCGGTGACAACGGAGGGATCAATGGTGGTGGTTGCTTCAGATCGGTGGTGACGGAGGAGCAGCAACGCCGTTCGTTGTGTGAAAGAGAGAGAGCGGTAGTGAGGGAGGATGATCAACGGCGAGGTACGAGCAGCGGTGAGGGAGGATCGGCGGTGACGGAGGAGTGGCGCCGTCGATCGTTGTGTGAGAGAGGGAGAGGCGAAACCCTAACTCTTGGCAACGACGTGGAGAGAGAGAGAGAGAGAGAGAGAGAGAGAGAGCAGCGTGTTTTGTGTGTGAGGGCACTGAGCAGAGTGTTTCAACACCAAATATATAAGGAAGGGCAAAATAGTAATTTCACATCGGGGTTTATACGGGGCGGGATCTGGATCGAGGTCGGGCCGGGTCCGGGACTGAAACATGTATCCCTATCCCCTGTCCGAACATCACCGGGGATACATTTTTGAATACCGTCCTCGGCCCGTCGGGGGTATTTTTCGGGAAATAACCGCTCATTTCGGGGTCAGGGGGTCGGGTCCCCGTCGGGCCGGGTTTCGATTGCCATCTCTATTCATTGGTAGCCGGCTAGGCATATCAGTGGCCGACAGGCCAAAAGTCATGGCCGGCAGCCCTCAAAACTAGCCGACAGGCCATCACCAATCTCAATCTGAAAGGACTTAAGCATGGTCCAAAGATGAGGCAAAAATGATGCAGGGCTTGGAAAACTCAAACCTGTGACGTTCCGCTGTGGACTTCAAGCACTCAGTGAGCAATCAGCTTCGCCACTAGTTGTACCTGCAAGATTATCCAAGTCTTAAAAGGCCGTAAAAAATGGGGTGTCTACACAAGTCGGGTTACAATATTACATTTGTTAGTGTTGTTTTTTCTCCTCTGCTTTTGTCTTAATTTTTTTTTAATTCATTTAAAAAAAAAATTGTTACATTGAGGCACTGCAAGTGGCATGTTGGTTTGTTCTATGTTTAATTATGGATTTACATAAGTTATTAAATTTTGTTTATTATATATTCATCAAAATTTTAGTCTCAACCCTTACTTTGAAGACACAAAGCTCATGAAGGTTTTTACCTTTCTAGACGAAGGAACAACAAAAATTACCGCCACTTCAATTAAGTGGAAAGAGGGTATGGCAAGAGGTCTTTGTTTATGTATTTCCATCCAAAAGCAATTGAAGCACCATGTGAGTTCCAATATACCCAGTACCACCAGTCACAAGTATGTTATGCGCCATAACTACATAAACCCAAGAGAGAGACAAAGGAGGAGATGGCGATTATACGGTAAAGAAGATATAGCAGAGTTGATGGTGGCGCTGGCAATAGCGATGGGCAGTAGCTAGGGTTAAGGTTAAGAAATTAGGATTTTCGTGGAGAAGATAAGAACACTTTAGTAATTTTATTTTAGGACAAAATTATAATAAAAAATAAATCATTAAGTGTGTGCACAGAAGTAAATAAGTGTGTGAAAATAGAATTTCCCTATCATTTACCTTTAGAAAAATTTATTTGAATAAAAATTGAGAACTCTTATTTTGGAGCTCTAAAGAGAGCTCTAGTGATGTGACAAGGAGTAGAACCCACATGTGATGTAATGCGTGTGTCTATATTTTTATTTGAGTGGTGTTATTAGCACCTTATAAATTATTTTGTACCCCCATTTTTTTGGACCCTTACTTATAAATTTTGAAACCCTTAAAATTTCTTTTCTTCCTCCAAATAATACCAAAATTATCTTTGTGAAAACATTCCACCCATTGAATGCACACCCCCACAAAAAAAAAAAAAAAAACCCAAGTTCCAAAAAAAAAGAAGTGATTACTGTCTCTGCTACATCATCTACCATTGTCACAGTTTGCATGCTCTCTTTCTCTCTATCTCTTTCTCTATATATATACACACACACACATAATTTCTTAGTTTTCTCATAATAATTTCTTCTCTTGCAGAAAAAATTATAATAATTGGTTTAGTTTTCTCAGTAAAATAGGTCTGAACCTATGAATAATGTTCGATTACATGTTTCCGAACAAATAATAAATGTTCGGTTATCGATTCCTGAACAAATAAACAATGTTCGGGACCGTGTTTCCGAATTTCAGTCATATGTTCGAGAGTTCAATCTCGAAAAAATAACGAACAAATTTTATTATTTTTGTCATTTTTTTTCTAGAAACTTATCCTTACAAGGTCAATCTCTTCTACGCTAAGAAGAACATTAAAACTATGAACATCCTCTAAGTTTTTATTGTTGTACTCCTCTCATCTTATGGAGTTGTGGTTGCCAAATAAACTTTCACTCATTTTCATTGTCGAAGAAGTGTAGGTAATCAAATGGTTATCACCGTTACCGCCAGAATATTACTATCAAAGGATTTTCAAGGTTTTGAGGATATATAGGTTTTGAATGTGAGATTTGAAAAAGATGGATGGGTGGTGATAGAAGTGATTGCTCTCATAAATCCTAATTCATGATGTAGTAGGTGTGTAGGTTTAATTGTGAAATGGGATATCTTAAAATTAATGATGTCCTTTGTAATAATTTTATTTGAGATTATTATTGTAATAAAAAAAAGTTAAAAATTAGGAGATCCAAAATAATTTATGAAGTACTAATAGTAATACTTTTTTTTCTTTTTTTTTTCTTCTTTTCTTTTTAGGGGAAAGCACCAATAAATCCCAAATTTGAAAATGTTAATCTACTTAGTCCCGAATGTTTTTTGTTGGACTAATAGGTCCTATTTCTTTAAAAGCTTACTATAAGCCTTTTTATGTCAAACATTATTCAGCAAACATCAAACATTAGTAACGTCAGAAGTATTTATCAAACATCAAACATTACCAACGACAGAATTATTCGTATAATTTCGGTGAAAACGTTATCAACGTTAGAATTATTCATCCAACATCAAACATTATAATCAAACATCAAACACAACTATTAAACATTAAGATTATTCATCAAGCATCAAACATTATTCATCAAACATTAAAACATCAAATTTATTTTTTAAAAAATTGAAACTAAACATCACAACATTATCATCAAAACAACATCAAAAATAATGATTAAACAATTTTTTTAATAACGATTAAACATCAAAATAACGATTAAAATAACCCTAATGTTTAACGGTGTTCATCCGATGTTTGTGGGTGTTCATCCGGTTATCATCAACATCAGACATTATAATCATCAAACAAACATCAGATTATATACCTTTTTTATGATGTTTCAAACACCCACAAACACAGATGCTAAAACATCGAACACCAAAACAAAAAATTTAATCATCAAACATTTTTGATGATGTTAGGACCTATTGGGTGTTCTTGATTTGATAATCTGATCATCGTGAAACACCCACAAACATCATCAAAATATCAGCATTAACATCATCAAACAAACACTAAAAATCATCCGTCAAACTAAACAATTTTTCCTGATCAAACATCACTGTTCTATAAAGAAGAACAAGTCAAGTCACAACATTGTTATCCATTTCCCCTGTCACCAACTACGAACCAAACACCAAATAAGAAAATAGCTTGAAAAAAAAATATGATTTTGGAATGAAAAATATAAACAAAAGAGACGTTTCTGTGAAGTTTCACTATGCCGTAATGCCTCACGCTTCTATCGGGCAAATGACATTCAAAAAACAGAGACTACTCTGTAACTTCAAAAACCCATGAACCCCACAAAAAAGTACGGCTTCACCAATAAACCCAACAGAGTTTCATAGCCAGCAAGAAACATTATGGACTCTGCAAACGATTCGGACAACAGGGCAACAACAATGTCGATTTCGCGAAACCCTAGGCGACGATCCATTGTAATATACAAAACCATCACCATCATCCCGATTTGGCAAATCGGTTCACATAACCGTAGGATCGTTTGAGGATTTTGCGAATCCATATTGTTCGATTTCGTTTAGTATATATATATATACATAGGTTCGCTTACTTTTTACGATCCTAAAATATAAAATAATAGGGATTGATTATATATATACATAATGTTGATGGATGGATAAAACAGAGGCGATGGTGTCGATGTTCGATTGATGAATCTGATCGATCTGATGTTGTAATGAATTTGATGATGGATCTCGAGCAATAGTTTCAATTTTTTTTTTTAAAACTAAATCTGATGTTTGATGAATAATGTTTGATGTTTGATGAATCATTCTAACGTTTAATGATTGTGTTTGATGTTTGATGAATAATGTTTGATGTTTTATGAATAATCCTAATGTTTAATGGTTGATGTTTGATGAATAATCCTGACGTTAATAATGTTTGATGTTTTATGAATAATTCTAACGTTGTTAATGTTTTCACCCACATTATACGAATAATCCTCGCGTTGCTAATGTTTGATGTTTGATAAATAATTTTGACATTGCTAATGTTTGATGTTTGATAAATAATGTTTGACATAAAAAGGCCTATAGTAAGCTTTTAGAGAAATAAGACCTATTAGTCCAACAAAAAACCTTCAGGACTAAATGGTTTAACATTCTCAAATTTAAAATTTATTGACAATTTCTCCTTCTTTTTACCACATTACTAGAGTTTTTTTTAAAATTTCAAAATTAGGATCCCCTATTATTATTGTTGTTGATTTTATTCACAGTAACCGCCTCTAGACACTAGTGTAGTGTAGACCGAATGGCAGAGGATTAAAACCCTGGGGGCTTGGGGTTGTGTGTTTGACTCATTTTGTCTGCAACCAACTACTCTATTCAATTCAATTCTACTAGTGACCCTATTATGTTCGAGTTCAATCATTATTTTTGGCTTTGTTATCATCAATGATCGGATCGGAAACGCGATGATGGCTTTCTCCTACCGGAAATCGGCGCTCTCTTTCGCTCTTCTCTTTGTTTCTTCAATTCTCTTCTTTCAGGCAAAGCGTTTCATTTTACCAATTTTTTTTAATTTTTTTTTTTACATTCCTGATCGCAATTTCAATCAATTTTTTCCCTAATTTACATACATCCATATCTGGGGTTGAATTGTAATTTGAGGGTTTCATACCCAGCAGCTACTTTCTTCTCTTCAAAATTCTGCTTCACACTTTCTTTTTCTTCTCGTGTAGTAGTTTATTGGAAACCATACGGGTCAATGATGCGATTGAATTAATTAAAAGTGCCTCATTCTTATGTTTTATCTTACTCTTGACTGATTATTTATTATTTTTGTTTTTGTTTTTGTTTTTGTTTTTTTGTTGCAGGTGTCTGTATTCGCTTCTCTACTCCCTCCTCCAGAGAATGGTGATCAGCAATTTCTTTCTATTTTTAGTGGGTATGGTTGGTTGCTTTGGTCCCATCTCCACTCAATCAATGCTTATTAGTGCCCAGTGTGATATAATCATTGTTTTGTTTTCTTGGTTTTCCTTGGGCTCAGTTGTCGCATGATTTGTATACATGATAGCTGAATTTAGTGCAAACATTTTTATATATTCACCCAGTTTTGTTGTTGTATTTGAGGAATCACTACTACGCTTGATCTTCTGATCAGGGAAAGGCATTCTGAAGAATACTGTGCAATGTATGATATTTGTGGAGCACGAACTGATGGGAAAGTTTTGAACTGTCCTTATGCTTCTCCATCTGTGAAGGTAAAACGGGATATGCTTCAATTTCCACTTCCACGACCATTTACTTCTCTGCAGCTTCTTCTGTTTTCTACTTCCTTTTCCTACCCGTAAAATTCAAATTTTAAAACTATGCATACACGATGGGATGGGATGGGACTTATAACATGATTTAATATTCTTTGCAGCCTGATGAATTGTTTTCCGCGAGAATCCAAAGCCTGTGTCCAACAATAAGTGGAAATGTTTGTTGTACAGAGGCCCAATTCGAGACGTTGCGGGCACAAGTTCAACAAGTAAGTACATTCTTTTGCTGCTTGAATCAATTATTATGTGAATAATAAATTAAACACAAATTAATTTATAGAATTTTCATATAGAATGATGTAGCTCATTTTGCTACACTCGCTTCAAAATAACATACGCATCACTACATATCATAATATCATTAATACGGCTGTGTCATTATTCTGGTTGTGATTTTGTATAACAAACTATGTTTCTAAAACATTTTCTTTCTGTATTAGCCACCATTTCAAGCACAATAATTTCTTCTCCCTTTTTCTTTCCGAATATCTGGAATACAACACAAGTGCAGTTGCCCGTAATGTTATCACTATTGTATAAAAAATCTTTCACACACTGGTGTTTGGATGTTTTGAGCCCACTATGTTAGTGATGTTTCCACAACTTCATTCCACACTCTTGAGTCCTTTTCTTTTGTGCCATATCTTTGTAAGCTATCGGATAAACTTAAAATTGTACTGGAGTTAAAATGTCATGTTTATCTAGTTCACTAAAGTTCCAATTTTAAGGATGAGGCAACTATATTTGTTTAGGGGACTGGCGTATGTGTGCATATTGAGGAAGGTGCTATAAACAATCTTGCCATTCATACTCCATGAATTAAATTTTAAACAAATCCACATTTGCTCAATCTATAAAATCTTTTTGTGGTAAAACTTGGTGTAGTTTCAATGTACTTTTTCCTTCAACCAAAGGCCTGGAATTCAATGCAGGTTGAAGCATATGGTTGCCTAGTGGGGTAAATACCCTTGATGAGAGTAGTATTTCACTATTCTTGACTATAGGTCCTGAAAGTTATTGCTCTAGGTTTACATACGACTGCATTGGTTTTGGTAGAAGGTGACTCTGGCACATGTGATACCAAGTTAATGCCATATAAAACAGTTATGTTTTCCTTTGGATGGCCTGGGACAAGGTGGTATATGTGACAGTCTTGCTTGGAATGTGTGGTCCTCTTATTTGCGTGATGCTGCATTTTGTCTGGAATTGCTTTTGGTGGACTGTCATGCCATTTTCAGCTATAATGTGTTATAATGGTTGATTATTTCTGAATGAGACAATTTTGGTTTTTAGCTGTGTAGTTTTAATTCATGGTATGGGGCCATACTCTTTCACTCTCTCTCTTCCCCTCCTTCCTAGAAATGTGTGCCCTATTAGGATCTCACGTGAGTCCTGCTCAGCTGAGAATGTTACATATGTGACTTCTATTTGACTAGTATCTCTCCATCTGATGACATTTGCATATTACTGAATTAGTTCAATTTGTTGCAGGCAATTCCTTTCCTTGTGGGCTGCCCAGCATGCTTAAGGAACTTCTTAAATCTTTTCTGTGAGCTTTCTTGCTCCCCAAATCAGAGTCTATTCATCAATGTGACTTCCATTTCCAAGGTCAGGCATACAAATTACAATTTATGGCAACAAGGTGTAATATTTAGTTCTTACCTTGTGGGGGACGGATGCATTTTTGATATGATTTTCCATCACTCCGATTTGACAATTCAATTAATGATGCAATGTGGGTTTACTTTACTGTCATAATTCACGACCACTTGTGCCATGGTGGCCTTGTGCATTGGTATAAATTCTTGCCTTATTTAAGTTAAGTGGCAATGGAGCTGTGGCATTTCCTGTTTGAATTTAGGTTTTACTGTTCATGACATGACATGGTGCGCATGCCTCCTAATCTCACAACTTTGTGGGTGTGCTTCATTTTATAGTGCCAGAAGGCATTATAATGTCGAATAAGTTATATTGAATTTAAGTTATTACACTTTCATGTATATAGCCTGTTTATCCATGATGAAAGGGTGTACTGCTTGCTGTTTACCTATTCTTCACTTTTTAATGGATTTGTCATTAATGTTCTGCTTTTCAGGTTAAAGGCAACCTCACTGTCGACGGCATTGACTTTTTTGTAACTGATACTTTTGGAGAAGGTTTATATAACTCCTGCAAAGATGTGAAGTTTGGGACTATGAATACACGGGCATTAGAATTTGTTGGTGCAGGTGCTCAGAATTTTAAAGGTGACTTCTGGTTTCAGTTTGCAGCTCTCTGTCTCTCTCTGCCCCCTTTCACTCCCACATACGTATGCAATCACAAGTATCGGTTTTGTTGGTTTAACACTATTAATCAGTAGTTGACATAATTTAACAGTTACAGTGGTTTTTTCCTTTTCTCAATGATGGTCCAATTGAGTTTGAAAATATCTTTTTTCTTAAAACACCAAATTTCACCCCCACAACAAATTTTTATGTAATTTTTTAGATGCATAAGCACTAGGATAGAATGTATGATAGAGAATCTTGTACTTTGATCGTAATCCCAATTTTTAATCCATGTTGTACTTTAAATCACTTGGGCTGGATACTAGTATACTACTGTGTAGATGTTTGGAAAGTTGCTATTTTAGTAGGCAATTTTAGTTTTTGGCTATTTTAGGAGGTTAAAATTTTTGCGTTTGGGAAGATAGTTGGATTTTTTTGTAGTTGGATGTGATATTTGTGAGAGAAAAAGTGAAATGATTATAGGTTTGATGTGACATTTTGTCTTATTAGCTATTTTAGCCTATTTTGTCTTTAGTGCTATTTTAGCCAAAAAAGCTAAAAAGCCTTCTTCCCAAACACCCCCTGTATAACGAGTGGAGAAAATTTGTAGATAAGTCTCAGCATCCTTATCAGCAAAAGCAATAAGGTCTTATGGTGCTCTAGTGTGTGTGTGTTTTTTTCCCTTCTTGTTCGTTCCATTCAGCTTGAGCTAGTTACTTGTAGGCTGTAGCTAGTTGTTTACATTCAAGTACAACATGATGTGAAGCGAAGTCCCACATCGCCTGAGTACCAAAGTAATATTAAAGTATATAAGCGTGAGGGCGCCCTTACCTCTTAAGTTAGCTTTTGGGGTTGAGTTCTACCCGAGACTATGTAACATGGTATCAGAGGAGTACTCAAGGATAGGTAGGGTGTGTGTCCCTCGCCTGCACGCCGTAGGTGCTGTCAAATGAGCACGTTGGGCGTGAAGCGAAGTCTCACATCGCCCGAGTACCAAAGTAATATTAAGCATATAAGCGTGAGGGCAACCTCACCTCTTTAGCTAGCTTTTGGGGTTGAGTTCTACCCGAGACTGTGTAATACATGGAATGTTTAATTGCTTGGCATAGTTATTAAATCATGAATGTATCGTGAATCATAAGCTTTACTTTATTTTATATTGTTGGATAGCTTGGTATACATTGTTGGGTCTATTTCTTAACAACTTAAGCTTTTGGAATAATGAGTGACTTTACATGGTATCAGAGCTCAAGTTGAGAGGTCTTGGGTTCAAGTTTCTCCGTTGGCATTTAGTATTTGGTCCCATTTCTGTTGTCTGCTTCTCTTTTTGATTGGTTGTCTACTTCTCTTTCTGTTTGGTTCTCTGTTTGCATCTCCAAATGTAAGACATGGTTGCACGTGAGGGAGGGTGTTGGGTATCTTGATATACATTGTTGGGTCCATTTCCTAACAACTTTAAGCTTTTGGGACAATTGGTGGCTTAACAAATATAATATATAATTGGGTTTTGTTGACGTGTGCCCTTAGGGCACATGTTTTGCAAGCTTAAAAAGATTGTACGTTTTTTATTGCACTCACTTTCATATAGAATATACAATCCTTTTAAGCTTCTTAACGAATCCTATATAATTTATATATATGTATATACATAAAAAAACACACATTCCTTTAAAATGATATAAATATCAATATAACTAATTGATCTATTTTTTTATTTCTTGATAGTGAGGTGACAATGATGCCGTTTCATGCATTATGCAAACAAAACCAAAATCAGAATTGAATTGAAATGTATTGCATTGAATCATAGTGGATCATAGTGAAACACAAATTGAATTGTATGATTCATTGAATTTAAGATTCAACAACAGGATTTGAATCATTTTGGTTGAAACTCGTATAAATTGAAGTGTGAATTGCATGATTCTAACCATATTTAAGTGTATGCATGTCTCCATACTAACATGTCATTTTTTTTTGTGGCCAGAATGGTTTGCATTTATTGGTCAGCAAGCTGATTTTGGTTTGCCTGGTTCACCTTATGCTATTAACTTTCAGTCAAGGATTCCTGAATCATCTGGAATGGAACTCATGAACGTGTCTATTTATTCTTGCGGTGACACTTCACTGGGATGCTCTTGTGGGGATTGCCCTGCCTCTCCTGTGTGCTCAGATTTAGAACCTCCTTCTCCTCCAAAAAAGGATCCATGCTCCATCAGAATAGGGTCTCTTAAGGTTTGAGTTGTGAAGCAGATTTTCCACTTTTTTGTTGGATGTTATAGTGATTCATGAATTTGTCTTGGTTGCAATATGTTAATGACTGACTGGGCATTGTAAAAGTAATTGTCTATTAGTGTGTGAATTTTGTCATGAAATGTATTTCATGAACTTGGGCGTAAGACTGTTGATTGATGTTGGCAGGTCAAATGCATTGATTTTTCATTGGGAATCCTGTACATTATTTTGGTTTCTGCACTTTTTGGATGGGCTTTGTTTAATCGGACGAGAGAAAGGAGAATATCTTCATCTAGCATGAAACCATTGTTGAGTTATACAGATGGTGGTGAAATGAATAATGTTCATGTGCAGAAGGATGAGATGAAGGTGCTTGCTTTTATGTACTATATTTCCGTGGTCTAATATCTCTGAATTGATGTGCATGTATGCTAACACACACACACACACACACACAAACAGAGAGAGTGAGAGAGAGGTACAATGCTCTTTATGTGCTGTGTGATTTTAGTTGAGATACTGTTCTTGTCTATTTTCATTTTATACTAATCTTTTTATAGATTTGCTGATCTCATATGCATCTTTCTTTTCTTTTTGTTTGGTAATTATAAGGTGCATGAAATGGATCCTCAAATGACAAGTGAGGTTCAACTATCCGTTCTTCAAGGTTACATGTCAAGGTTTTTCAGGTCAAGACCTATGCCATTATTTATCATATTTTTTTGGTATTCTTTTATTTGGCTGTAAATGTTGAGAGATTTTGGATACTGTGTTCAGGAAATACGGAACATGGGTTGCTAGGAATCCCACACTCGTGCTGTGCTCATCATTGGCAGTTGTTCTTATACTTTGTTTCGGTCTAATCCGTTTTGAGGTGGAGACAAGGCCTGAGAAGGTATCATAGTATTTCTATTGTATAGAGTTTGTGAAATAGATCATTCCTTGCATGCTTATTCCAACTAATTTGTTGTTAGGACTCCAAATGGTCATGTTTACCTAGGCCTTTAGATACAAATAATTGTATAAATGACATTGCCTGTTATACTGAAACTTGGTCACATTTTTGTCATGGACAATATTGCAGCTGTGGGTAGGTCATGGGAGTAAGGCAGCAGAAGAGAAACACTTTTTTGACAGCCACCTAGCTCCTTTTTACAGAATTGAACAGGTGTTATTATTTTGCTTACTGCTGCTATTTTTTCTTGTTTCGTATCTTGTGCAGTTCTTCTAAAATTTGTTTTGTTAACATTTGTGTTAGCTGGGAAAGATCTGTCTTCCCTTTCCATTATTTATGTACCTTCTTTTACCAGTTTCCTATGATTATCATGTTTGAGCATAGCACTCCAGTTAATGAGGTTGTTAATACCTTACTGTTTATTTTTCATACATTTTATTGAACAAGTCCTGTTCAATTCATTGAGGTTGAATGGAGGGTTCTTGTTTAGTTGGTTTCTCATATCTTTCAATTTTCATTTCAGCCAAAATTGGTCTGTTATGACACTCCACTCCAGTGATATTATTGTTTTTTGTTGTTGTCATTGTGACCATCATCAACTAAGTAGAGATGAAACATCTTTAAGAACTTTGAAAAGCCAGACCAAGGGAAGCAATTGATGCAATTTGTGTCATTATCATCATCATCATTGATATCATCACTATGTATATTCATTAGTGACCCCAAAAACAAATTGTGGGTGGTGTGCCAAGTCTCCTTAACAACCCATAGTTTTGGCCAAGTGCGATTGATGTCTAGGTGCAAGATGCTGGCTACACATTATAAGTGGATGAATAGGTGACCAAGTTAAAATTGATGACTAGGGACAATCAGCTCTTTCCACACTCCCCCAAACTCATTTCTTGGTACCATAAGTTGATAATGTTCATCATCCAAGAAGCAAATACACCTCTAAGAAGGTGATGTGTTTGCGTCGAACACCAACACGCTTCGATCACCAGCAGGTGTCAAACACTCCCTAACACGTAAGGACACAAGCTCGAATGTGTCATATTTATATTACTATTTTAATTATTTTTCAATTTGGACACTTGGGATGCGTGTGCCTATCTGTCTTTGTTTTTATTTATTTTTCTTTTATCCCAACTACTACTAGAATCTTAATTAATTAATTTATTGACTTATTTTTGTTGTTGTCTCTTATGATGGAAAACCTCCCTTCCCAATTAGCCCTTTAAACCTTTTCTCTATAAGCTTTTAATATTCATGGACCTGTATTGAAGCATAGTCTTGTTAAATTATCTATTTGTTTTTATTTTTTTTTTTAAATTTAAAAAAAGCAACATTTAACCTTAATTTCCCAAAGGACTTCCCACACCATGGAAAACTTTTGGCCTTTTTTTCTTAATATTGGTAATTTTTTTAAAAAATAATTTTGTAAAATCTAAATTGGCTCAAACCATATGTATGCACATTTAGAATTCTTTGCATTTTTTATTGATGAGATTAATTTGTTTGACATTAATTTAATTATTCTTGGTTCGCATTGAGCTTATTTTCCCATTTTTTTGGGGGATAAGTATAGCTTACTTTCAGATTATACACTTGTTCCTTTTATGCAAAGAGATTATAAACCTCAATATGTTCAATAATTTAATTATTGAGAATGTATAAACATTTATTTAGGCATTATTTTTTGTTTCCAAACATTTTCATATGTTTCCAAATTGTTTTTCCATTTCCCTTATGTTTCCGAAATGTTTCAGTTGCCAAGCTAACTTAAACAACACACTGAAATGAGATTCTGATCCTTGGTCTGGTTACACTTGTCTAAACCCAAACGCAATAAGTATCTCTAGATTGTTGACCAGGCCTAGAGAAACTTGAGTTTGAAACTAGGTCGGTCTATTTTTCTGTGGTCTTCTGATTATTCAAAATCCATAGAAATTGTTAGTAGCTAAGCATGTCTTAATCAGGAATAGTAACAGACAACTACAAAATCAATCTGAATAGGCTGAAAATATTCTGGGAAATTTGAACAACTGTTTCAATTGTTAAGTGTTATCATTTGTGAAGAGTATTATAATAATGTGCAGGATTGCAATGGTGGCTGGGCTGCTGGATCAGCTTGAAAGAAGCATATGAATTGAAATGCTTCGTGTGTGTATTTGTTGAAATGTTAGATGCCTTAGCTTTGTAAAACATTCACCATTAGACGAAAAAGAACCATGAATTGCCATGAATTCGGTTTCCAGGATTATGGAAAATTTGGGGAAGTGAAGGTTTGCTAACTGAATAGCAGTGCGTAAGGTGTAGTCTTGATGTTGCAGCCGCCTTCCAAATTTAATGCCATTCACCAATCCATAACTTAAATACTTGGCTATGTTGATAAAATCTACTTAGACACTTGGGCCAGGAGAAATTTTGCATTCTGAACATTTTACTCTTCAAAGATTAAATATGATCTTGATTTTCTGGCTACCTAATCTTCTTCTTTAGACAATTTTCTCCTTCTTTTACAATGATGGTGTATGCACTATACAGTAACATGAAATTCTTCATTCTGCTGCACTTGCTATGATAACAAATGACATGCTCATGATCTTCTCTCTCTCTCTCTCTCTCTCTCTCTCTCTCTCAGCTCATAATAGCAACCACACCAGATCCAGAGCATGGCAAATCAAATAGTATTATAACAGAGGATAATATGCGGTTGCTCTTCGATATACAAGAGAAGGTTTTGAGTCTTGGCTACTATTTAAATGGAGTTTATATGTGTTACTTGCATTGGGCAATGCTATCTATCTGTTTATTTTCTCATTTTGACAGGTAGATGGAATACGTGCAAATTATTCTGGCACTCTGGTATCTCTGACTGATATTTGCTTGAAGCCTCTTGACGAAGATTGTGCCACTCAAATTGTCTTACAGGTTGGGTTGCCTTGTCTTAAATGAGCATATAGTCCTGATGTCGGAATTGGGAATGTTTTATGTTTGTTGTATCATGTATCAAGTAGAGTTGGTGATGTTTGAACGCCATCTGCTTCATTGAATGGGAAGGAGCTTGGCTCTTGGAGATTATTTACTTTTTACAATTTTTTTGAAACTGGTGATTCTGCTGCAGTGCTAACATTATATCTATCTTTCAAGTGTTAACATGGAATCACTTTTGTAACAGTATTTCAAAATGGATCCGGATAATTTTGATGATTACGGGGGAGTTGAACATGCTGTGTATTGCTTTCAGGTGTGCATTTTGACATCCATCTTGTTTTGAGAATTTAATTAGCTTGATTGAAATTTAAAACTAGTTATATACATTGATTAGTTCTAAATTAATATTAAGAGGATTGTCACCTCAGTAATGATGCTCAAATATTACATTCAAATAGCTCACATTTGTGGCTGCTCATGAAGCAGTTGATCAGTTACGTGCATGTGCATTATTCATGGTTGAAATCATTCTTCTAACAATTACTTAGACCCTTTCTAGAAAAGGTTAGTGTTGAAATTATTAAGGAAAAGAAGATAAGTAAACATAGAAAAAGATAATATCAGAGAGCTAATCACTTATCAAAAAAATAAATAAAATCGGGGAGCTAACTAGTTATCAAATAAGTAAATAAAATCAAAGAGCTATCTCTCTTATGAGTATTCTTTTGTTCTTGTATTCACATTTCTTGTTTGTCCCTCAGCGTATACCTTGTACATTTATATCCTTCTCAACTAAAGCTTTACATTCTGGTTGCCTGGGGTCTAACGATGTTATCCTTTCTTAGAACAAAGTATTAAGATTTATCATAAAATGATGTGCGTGTAAAGTATTCTTTCTGAGTTTAAAGTCATTTAGCTTAAAATGCCTATCAAATGATGTAAGCTGAAGGAGACTTAAATGAGTTGATTTTAGGAAAGAGCTTAAGAATAAAGACAGTAGGCATGGGAAAAGATTTGGATACGTTGATCTTTAGGGACTACCAAAAAAATTGTGTTAGCTGTGCGTATTAATTAACCTATATACGTGGGGACTACATAAGTGCCTTTAGCATCCATTTAACTCTTTAACATCCATTTCCTAGTCTTCTTGATGTATCGTCTGTCTAAGGGTTCTCCATTAAGAACCTAAAATACGTTTATTTTCTTGAATGACCTACAGCTGCAACTAGTTGCTGTATGGAGGCTGGAGAAGTCATGTATTGCTCTTGAGAGCAGACTCTCTCTCTTTTTCCACCCTCATAATAATCCATCTCTTCTATGTTCATGTCTGCGATTCTATTAAGTTATTCTATTAACTTTCCAGCATCCAGTGTATGCATTTATAGGAGTTATAGTGACATGGCATCCTTTATCAAGAAATTTGAAGTAGGTCTATTTATTAGAATTTGCCACCAATAATAGGGGATTTTACTGATAAAATGCAGTTGCCATAAGTTACAGTCCAAGTGCGACAATATAGATACCATTCATATATTCATGAATTAAAGAGTTGACATCTATGAAGCACGGACACGGACACGGACATGGGACACGGTTATTTTCAAAAAATGGGGAAACGAACACAGCGATTTTATTTATTTATAAGATATTTTTATGTGTTATGTACATTCATATTACATTCATCCTTAATCAAAATTAACAAACACTAACATAGTAACATTAATTTAATTTGAACTAGACATTTTTTGTATAAATTATAACCATAATAAATTAACATTAACATACTCTTTCTTTTTCCTACTCCCATCTAGAGATTGACTGAATTGCATTGCATTACTCTAATATTTATCCATTGTTCAATACATTAAGTTTTCATTAACTGGCTTTCCCAAATTTCAGCATTACACTTCTTCAGACACATGTATGAGTGCATTTAAGGCCCCGCTTGATCCAAGCACTGTGCTAGGGGGATTTTCAGGGAACAATTACTCTGAGGTAATAGTTCATTCCTTTGCTTAGGTATACATGAGTACATACTGATCACACACAATAGTTGTTTCTTGAGGCTTCTGCATTTATTCCATCCCTTTCTTTAGCTATTGGACGATACAACAATCATATAATGATCTTCAATTTTCAGGCTTCCGCATTTGTTGTAACCTACCCAGTAAATAATGCAGTTGATGAAACGGGCAATGAAAATGGGATGGCAGTGGCTTGGGAAAAGGCTTTCATACAATTAGTGAAGGTCTTGTGTGGTTCATTTCTTTCATGTCAATAATTGTTGTCTTTCTTGTCTTCAGATATTGTAGATTTTATATTTCTAAGTTTTCATTTCTGTATAATTGGCACATTTTTTTTATTGCATTTTGATCTTAATGCTGAATACACACCTGCCAATGTATTATGATGCATCTCCATATCTTCTTCTTATAAAAATACTTCAGGAAGTCGAAAAATGTTCCAGTATTATATTTAGGATTCTTTTTTTAATTTTTTTTATCAAGTAAAATTTATAAATAAAAGAAGCAAAACCTATGCTAAGGTCTCAAAAGATATGTTTACTCTTTAGATCCACACAACTCCCCAACACACCTGAGCCACGAAATCCAGCTGTACAAAATAGGTATGAATGAACTCTTTATGCAGAGGTTCTTCCATTCCACAAAAAGTCCTCTTATTTCATTCATCCCAAATTATTCACACAAGGCACAAAGGGCCATAATCAATGCTTTTTGCCTATGCTTTTTGTATCCAAGATCCAGAAATAGCCAACCCACTTGTGTGAAGATGATTTGAACAACTGTAACTGAGATAGCTATTTAAAAAATAAAATAAAATAAAATTCATTCCCAACCCTGCATCCATTTAGCTCTGCACTGTAATAAGTATGTTGATTTATTGCAATTATACTTTGTCCGCTTTGTCGTGTTCTGTACAATATAATAGTTCTCTCTCTCTCTCTCTCTCTCTCTCTCTCTCTCTCTCTCTCTCAGTATGATGTTTTGCTCAATCTGTCACTATGAAATTGTTCAGATACTTAGATGTGCATGCTAATGAACAAACTATGATGACAGGATGAGCTGCTTCCAATGGTGCAGTCCAGCAATCTCACTCTGTCATTTTCATCTGAGAGCTCAATTGAGGAAGAATTGAAGAGAGAAAGTACTGCTGATGTTGTAACTATATTAGTAAGTCATGAAAAAATTGGTGTGTATATGTATTACCTGTTGATTGGTTCCTCTTTATGTGTCCTGTACTTGAAACTAATTAAATAAATCCTTGTCAATAATTAAGCACTAAGGGCCCAAATTTGCTTCTGACAATTTGTCTTTACTCTGTTTTCCCAATTCTTATCAGATAAGCTATCTTGTAATGTTTGCTTATATATCAGTGACTTTGGGAGATGCACCGCATTTGTCTACATTCTACATTTCGTCCAAGGTAGAACTTCACTTTTTTCAGGTTTCCCTCTCTATTAATATATGTGTGTGTGTGTGTGTGTATAATCATTACTGAGGATAACTTTTTTTTTTCTCTCTTTGAACGTCAGAATGTTCAGTTTTTCCTTTACTAGACCTTCACATCCTACTGATGTTGTTTCACCACTATTATTTCTATCTTTTTTCCTGACATTTTTGGCTTCATACTCAAAGAATTTAACAATTTCTTTGGCCCAGTAAAAGTACCCGTGCATCAGTTTTTAGAAATTAGTCAGGACTTTATCTGGTCTCTGATATAATGTGCGTTCAAGACATAATTCTAGTTTTCATATCTTTGTCCCTGGATAATGAAGTTTATTAAAATATTTGTCCTTGGGGGCACAAAGCTCAATCAAGGTTGTGTTTCTATTAATTGCTGCCATTTCAATAAACCTTGTGGAAAAATTTGGTGGCCTATTACTAGGCATTATGCATTGCTTGAGTTGAGTGGATCAATGAAGTGAGGTAAATGGCCCCAATTATAGGGAGTTGAATTTAACCATCTGGGAAGCCTAATAGACCCGGTATTATGTCACAAATGTTAACAGCCTGTCAGAGCCTGAAAGAGGCCACCAGACCTCGTCTAAGCTCCACAAGGTTTACCTGTGGCTTAAGCTGTTGTCAAGGGTGCAGGGCTTTGTTGTCCTTTGTTCTGCTCATGAGTTGGCTAGGATGGATTTATGTCTGCAGTGGAATGACGTATGGTGCACCTCTGAAAGCTGAAAAATGTTAGAGAGGATCTCTCCAAATCATAACTCAAGGGTGAAAATCAACTCTATTGAATGGATGTTTTCCCCAAAGATGAAAGTACTGCAAATTCAATATCATTTTTCTACAATGAGGGAAGCTCTATATAAAAAGGGGAGAGGGTCTTGTGTGAAAACAGTCACTACTCTCTCTCTCTCTCTGAGAAGTATATCTCATATGTAAGGTCACTTTATAGAGTACCCACAAAATGATGATGACTTAAGGATAGAGATGGCAATTTGAAACCGGCCCAACGGGGATCCCCGATCCCGACCCCGATTTAAGCGGTTTTTCCCCGAAAAATACCCCCGACGGGGAGGGGATGGTATTCAAAAATTAATCCCCGATTAATTTCAGGCCGGGGACGGGGATAGGCTCATCGGCCCCGGCCCGGAATTTCCCCGATTCATCCCGCCTCTGTATCCGTTTGTATTATATAAATATTAGTTATATTATATTTTGTATTATATAAATATTATATCAATATTAGTTGTACATTTGACCACAACTCTCAGATCTCAACTCTCTCGTCTCTCAACTATCTCACTCTCTCTGACTCTTATCTTCTCTCTTCACTCTCTCTCTTCACTCTCTCGTTCTCAACTCTCTCTCTCTCTTAACTCTCCCTCCTCCTCTCTCTCCCCGCCAATCTCCCTCCTCTACTTGCAGATCTCTCGCCGATCTCCCTCTTCCTCTTCCTCAGTGAAGAAACAGATCCAAAACCCAACAAATCTCACAGATGATGATGACGATGATGATGGTGGTGGTATTGTATTGTATTGTCGGTCTCTGTTTCTTCACTGTTGCTTCACCAACCTGAATGCAATGTCAAATGTGTATTATATTTTGAATCTCATGAAACAGAGTTGAGTTTTCTTTAGGTATGTAAGTACAAACCCCCCAATAAACTTAAAGATTTCATTAGGTATGTAATCATCAATTTTGATTTTCTTTTTTATTTAATTTTGTATGATTTTAATCATCTGTGAGATTTGTTGGGTTTTGGATCTGTATTAATTTTTCCGATCTGTGAATGTTGTTGTTGATGATGAAAATCTATATTTCATATCTGTGAATGTTTCAGATCTATGTATGGGTGCGATTTGTGTGAATGTTTCAGATCTATGTTGATATTTTTTTTTTTTTTTTTGACCGGGGAATCTTCGGGGTCGGGGATCCCCGATCCCCGTTAGGGGGCGGGGGCGGGGGCAATAATAGGCTCCCCGTCGGGGTCGGGACCGGGGACGGGGGGAGTTTCCACCATCGGGGATCGGGGACGGGGAGGGTGATCCCCGGCCCCGCCCCGCCCCGTTGCCATTCCTACTTAAGGAGTAGTGACAAATCGTGCACAACATTTTCATTTTTTTTTTTCCAGTTCTATTTTCGTATCTTTATTGATAAATTGTCAAAGGCGGTGATGCACCTTTTCAAAGAAGCCAGGAACCAAAATGCTTGGGGAATAGTACCCTCAGTAAAGATCGTTAATCCAATTAGCAAGTGCAATAAGCTGTCTTGTTATGATTGAAAGGGAAGCAGTCCCTCAAATTATACAATTAACTCCATTGTATGGTGCAAAAGTGCACATTCCGTTACTTGGGATGATATTCTGTGATGGAATTTGTATGGGTAAAGTACTTGGGTTTTGTGACTTCAATTATTATTATTATTATTTTATTTCTTCTCCTTTGATTTTGTGAATATCTTTGTATTCTGATGACTCAGGTATTTAGTTGCTAGCATTGTGCATGATTCTTTCTGAATTCTTGTTGGTTACTTGGTTATATTTTGTCGTTTTCGACTATGAGTCAGAATTACTGAGTAAGGACATTCCATAGTTCACCATTATAGTTCAGCATGTAAAATACATTTGATGTTCCCTTTTATGTATTTTTGTTCCGAACTGAGTCTTCTGAAGGACTTCAATAGAATTGATTGTCAGAATCCAAAATGAGTATACATCTAGTTGTTCTAAAACCTGCGAGGAAGGCTGTTTCATATTTTGTTGGTCTAAAATTTTTAGGCTTTTGTGAAGTTTTGTATTGCTTGAATGATTGATTTTCAATTTAAGTACTCAATATTTGATATTTTTATTTTTTGTTTTTTATCCTTTGGTATATAGTACTGTGTTGGTCTCTCACCATTGATGTCCTCAAGCTCCTTGGTGTGTTGCCTAATGTAGAAAACAAGTAGAATACATTATAAGGAAATTAATGTGCAAAATCTAGGAGAGCATATGTCCATCAACGCAGTCAAAGCTGCGATCCGCAAGTGAATAATCACATGGAGAGACTGTTATGACGAGAGGTTATTACCAAATAGGCGGATGACCAATGAGACCAAGCTCAGCCAGAATTCCTACATTTGCCATTCGTAGTGATAAATTAATTACCTGACTTCTGTTGGACTCGAATTTGGGCAGATGCCTCCATGATAATTTAAAATCCACCTGACGTTATGAACTCCCATTTAGTTACCTCTGATGATATATTGTCATAGAAACTTTTATTTTTTTGACATTTGCTCTTGAAATATATATTTGAAACTTCTAATCAACGTTAAAACTTATTTGTACTTTTCTGCATTTCCATGCTTAATGGCTTGAATTGCAGGTGTTACTTGCGCTTTCGGGAATTGTGATAGTTCTGCTTTCTGTCTTTGGAGCTGTTGGATTTTTTAGCGCCATTGGAGTAAAGTCTACACTAATAATTATCGAAGTGATCCCGTTCCTGGTTTTGGCTGTAAGTTATTTATCTAGTTGTTTTTAGTTGTTAAAGAAGTGTTTCTAGTTGTCTTGTTTTGGGGTACATATCCCATAACCATCTACAGGTAGCATGGACTCTGAGCCAACTTTTGTTATTTTTGGGTAGTTGATCAAGCTGCAACATTCCTCATAATTTCAAATTTTTTAAGTTTAAAATTAGAAATATTGATAGAAAGATTGTCGAAGAGAATACACCACTAAAATGAAGCCTTAATGGATTATATGCACATGCAGCACATTTATGATGCTGTGCATAATCTTCTAACTAACAACTTGACATAAACTTCTAGTGTATGCTGTGGTTCTTTCTTAAAGCAAGTGGTGTGCATGGAAAATGCTATGCATCTGAAAGTGAAATAACATTAGAGGTGGAGGTACTCAAATAACTCATATAAAGCATCTGGAACATGAAGCCAAAATTTGGCATTGCAGTAGAATGATTGGTTGTTTGAATTCGAATTTGGTTTTGTATAAAACATCTCCCCTGTGGAATTTAACAATGAGCTTTTTCTACACTTTCCTTGTCCTGATTTTTGTTGTACTCGCTTTCAATTGCCATTAGCATTGCCCATGCTTGAAATCATATCAAATTAACCATTATTATTTTTATTATTTTATCATGGGATGTTAACATCTTGCATAAATGAGTTGACATTTATGAAGTTAAATTTTTGCAGCTAGGTTTTTGGATTGGCTATCATGTTTGTGCTGAATTTGGTAGATAAAAACAATGATTACTTATGATATGTTTTTTAGCTGTATCTTGGTTATTTGTTCAGTTATCTCCTTTTCAGATCTATTGTTAGTTTTCTAGTCTTCTTCTTTAATTGGAGGTCTCTTCTTGACATTTTAAAAACATAATCCGTCTCCCCACCACCCCCTGGCCCCAGAGCGGTGTGCAATAGGGAGAGAGAAAGAGGAAAAAATAAAAAGATTAGTCCATGATGTTGTCAATGACTCAATGGTCATCCATGATAGTTTACTCAGGAACTGATGAAATAATGAATGGATGGACAGTTTCTTGAAGTGTATAACCTTGCCAGTGAGGAGAATTTCTCTCTCTCTCTCTCTCTCTTTCTCTCTCTGTGTTAAACTTTCAAGGGTTTTTTTTGATAAATAATCAGAATTTATTAGAAAGCATCAAGACGATGCAAAGAATACAAAGATGCAACCCAAATAGGGACTGAAACAAAACTAACTAATCAAATCTTCTATAAAATCTATGAAGACCAAAACATTGGAATCAACTGTACCCGTAACCCAACTATGCAACACCAACAACAACCTACGCTCTAGCCAAGAGACCGAGTGACACACATCTTGAAACACTCGTCTATTACGTTCTAACCAGACCAACCAAAGCAAACAATGGGAAGCAAGCACCCAAACCTTCCGGCGCCGCTTCCCCACTCTAGCCCCATCCCAACTCTGTAACACGCCCAAAATAGACCCCGGTTGCGCCCACACTAAGCCAAACAAAGCAACAATGTAATTCCACAATCTAGATGCAACCGGGCAACGAAGAAGCAAATGATCTACCGATTCCGCATTGTCAGAAAGAACAACACCAATTCACCAACATATGTCGTCGCCGAATCAAATTATCAAGAGTAAGGATACGACCCTAAGCAGCTGTCCAAACAAAGAAAGCAACCTTACAAGAACCCGTTGCCCATATGGCTTTTGAAGGAAACACACCACCAATACCCCCTACAAGAACCCCATAAAATGAGGATACAGAGAAAACACCGTTGGACCTCTGAACATCCCAAACCAAAGAATCCCTCCCTTTTCCCCCAATCTGCAATACAGAGAAAACACCTTGGATCTCCGAACATCCCAAACCAAAGAATCCCTTCCTTTCCCCCCAATCTGCAACCCATACAAGAAGCCTAGAAAATCCACCAAGTAGTCGATCTCCCAATCTTGAACATCACGTTGTCAACAGACATTTCAAACAACTGAATCCCCTTGCTTCACCCTAATCGAAGCAACTAACTCCTCCTTATCAGCAGCAATAGCAAAAATGAGTGGGAACATGACCGCCAAAGACAAAGTAGCACACCATCGATCTCGCTAAAAGCGAACTCGATCTCCAACCCCCACTTGGAACCGAACCTTTTCCCAAAACACCTCCCTTCCCAACCAAATCCCCTTTTACAAATCACGACCATGAGATTGAACCACCCTCTGCGAACACCAACCCCCTTGGGCCTCCCCATACTTAGCCACCACCACCCTTCTCCATAGCCTCTCCCGTTTTCCTACAAAGTGCCACAACCACTTGCCTAATAAAGCCCGATTAAAAGCCACCAATTTCCGCACACCCAAACCCCCCCTCTTTCAAATTACAAACCCGCTCCTAAGGCACCAAATGATAACGAAAACCCTCCCCAACCCCACTTCACAAAAAATCCCGTTGCAACTTCTTCAACCTCGTAGCCACCCCCACATGGAGCACATGTATAGACATAAAATACGTCGGAATACTAGAAAGAACACTCTTGATCAAAGTAATCCGCCCTCCTTTTGACAAGTATTGGCACTTCCACCCTGTCAGCCGTCGCTGAACTCGATCCACCACCCCATCTTAAAAGAAGCCCCCAAAAGAAGTCCCAAATAAGAAACTAGCAACTAGGTCACTTTACAACCCAAGATGGCTGCCAACACCGGTAAACGAGCCACCACACCCAAAGGTATTAATTTTGATTTTGATAAATTAACCCGCAACCCTGACACCGCCTAAAAACATAACAGAACACAACGCAAGTAGCCAATCTGAGTCGCATTCACATCGCAAAAAATCAACGCATCATCCGCATAGAATAGGTGAGAAACCAACAAAGAAACAGGCACCTCCCCCACCACAAAGCCCAATAATAAGCCCCCTTAGACCGCCCTAGACAACAAACGTCTCAACGCTTCCATAACCAATATAAACAGTACTAGGGACAAGAGGTCTCCTTGTCGTAAGCCTCTCCAAGTGGGAAAGAAATCCGCCGGTGTCCCATTAACTAGGATAGACATTCGAACAGTAGAAATTCAAAAATGTATCTACCGCCGCCACCGTGCCCCAAAACCCAACCTCTCCAACATGTACATCAAAAACTCCCAATTTATATTGTCATAAGCTTTCTCAATATTCATGTTACAAATAATTCCCTATTTCCCTTGCCGAAGCTGTGAATCCACACACTCATTTGCCACCAACATAGCATTCAAAATTTGTCGCCCACCCACAAAAGCATTCTGACATTCTGAGACGACCCCCTCCAACACCCCTTGAAGCCTGTTAGCCAACACCTTGGCCAATAATTTGTAAACACTACCCAAAAGACTTATAGGCCGAAAGTCACGAATATCCTTCGCCTCCCCCTTCTTGGGAATCAAAGCCATGAAAGTGGCATTCAAACTCCTCTCAAATTGCCCAGGTTGATGAAACTATGCAAACACATCCAACACCTCCCCTTTGACCACTCCCCAGCACTGTCGAAAGAAAGCAATTGAGAAACTATCCAGGCCCGGTGCCTTATCCCCAGGCATACTGCTCAACGCTCCCAAGATCTCCTCCTCAGTGAAAGGCCTCTCTAACAAGACCCCATCCTCCTTAGAAATAGAATCAAAAGCTACATCATCCAAGCCTTGTCTCCAAATCTGGCCCTCATCACATAACAGATGCTGATAGAATGCCACTGTACCATTCTTGACCTCCTCTTCTGACAAAAGCATCACCCCATTCACCCGCATTCGCCCTATTTGGTTCACCTGCTGATGAGCATTAGCCATATGATGAAAAAACTTCGTATTACCGTCCCCATCTTTTAACCACAAGCATCGCGATTTCTGCTAGAAACTAATCTCCTCCATTCGAGCTACCCACGCATAATCTCGCCGAGCCTCATCCCTAACTACCATATTCTCCTCAGTGAGATCTTCATCCAGTTCCTGCTCATCCAAACCCTGCAAAACTGACAAGATATTTGTCTTTCGAACCTTCAAGCGGCCAAAAACCTCTAAATTCCGCCTCTTCAAACCAAACTTAAGAAATTTCAATTTCTGAGTTAATCGATAGCTGGGTGTAACTCTCCTACCAACCACCCACCTTCTCAGCAAAACCATCTGCCCGTAACCACATGTTCTCAAACCGAAAAGGCGAAGGACCACTCTGAACTCCCCCACTGTCCAACAGAACTGGCCAATGGTCAGAAGTTGGTTGATGCAATCGGCACTATAGCGTCAAACAAAAATGCTCCTCCCAAGCCCTAGACACCAAGAATCTGTCAAGCTGAGAACTAGCTCGGCCATTCGACTTGGTAAGGCCTCCCCCCTGTAGTGGCAGATCTACCAGCTCCGTTTTATCAATAAAAGAAGCAAAATCCCGCATAGACCTCCCCATCTGACTTCCCCCAGTCCTTTCCACCGTGCTCCTTACGACATTAAAATCTCCACCAACACACCACGGCAATCCCCATCTGAAAGCAACATGTTGCAACTCCTCTCAGAAGGCGGCCCATTTTGAACCCTGAACTGGACCATAAACCCTAGTAAACACCCACTAAAAATCATTCTCAAGGCATCTGAACAAACAGGATAGTGAAAAACCCCCTACTTCTTCCTCCACCTTCACCACCACTCTACTATCCCAACACATGAGAATACCTCCAACCACCTCAATACATGAGAATACCTCTAGCCACCCCAATAGTTGGTTGGAACGTCCACTCCACATGCCTCCCACTCCATAACCCCTGCACAAACGCCGGCTCAACAACCTCCATTTTAGTCTCCTGAAGACATACAACATCCGCCCTAGCACTCCTTAAAAAGGACTTAACGACCGTTCGTTTATCCCGATCATTTAGACCCCTCACATTCCAAGTCAAAATTTTCAGACGCATGGCAACAAAAGGGGACCACCCTGCTCTCTTCTAACCCGTTGTTCTTCGCCTCTCGTAGGTCGATCATAATTTATTGAGCACTCAGGTCTCCGCAACTCCCGAACCCCTTTTTCTGTTGGACTAGCGGATTGTCTCTTTATGGCCCCCTCCTTCTATGATGTTTCAATTGAGGCGAATAACTTCAAAGCCTTCACCTCATGCCCAACAAAAGAAACTCCCAGAAATTTACTAACCTCGGCAATACGGGTCAACACCCAATCAGACACCTCATCTGAAGACGGTGGGAGATCAGCTGGAAATGCATCTTGTATGTCAATGTCAAACTCTGGATCTGAGTTTGGCAAACCGAGAACCGCATCATCTGTTGCCAACGGTCAGGCCACTATGGCCATGTCGTCACTGGAGAACCCGCATCTCTCCTCATTTTCCTCCATAAGTCCCTCGCCTTCCACTGCCTATTCCGCTACTGCCACAGGTGGGACATCCCCGAACTGTCCATCAGGTGAGCAATGTGTGGCGTCAACCTCTACCGCTGGCTGACCAAGGCGGAGAATCCTTTCCGACAAGCTGGGCTTCTTCGGCGAGGTCCGCGACACCATTCCGCCTGATGGCCAACTCCCAGCATGGCTGGTTGGCGGTGGCAAGCCAACACCCTCACGCAGAGATTCGAAAACCCGTTCCGGAGATGGGTTTGAGCACACCCTAGTCTCCACTCGTGGGCTAGGTACTCCTTTTTCTATGACACCTAGGCCAAAAATGCTAGGGCCCAGCTTACCCCTCACTTGGCCCAATCCCTCCACCATAGACGTGGGTTGGCCTAAACCCCTACTATGATCCACCCACCTTTTATTTAGGGCCACACGTGACTGCCCCATAGCCCAAACCCTTTGCCTAGAATGCTTCAATCTCCCCTGAAACCGAAACCCTACATTCTCTCCCCTAAATCTGCGAACAAACCCACCATATCCTCTGTTACCCAAAAGACAACCTAAGAGGGGGGCGAATTAGGTTTTTATAATTAAAATTAATAATACCCTAATAAAAATTATGATTAGCACAATAGATAAATATAATTAATGAAATAAAAATAATTAAAACAAGTGTCTTAACAACTATGTTAGTTAATGATTTTAGCACAGTAAAAATGTGAAATATAGATGTGGCAATTTAAAATAAAACAAAGAGATAAGGGAGAGAGGCAAACAAATTTATAGTGGTTCGGCTTCAACTCGGCCTACGTCCACTCCTCAAACTTCACTTGAGATTTTCCACTATACTCTAGTTTCACAGGGTGCTAGCAACCTTTTCACAGATGGAGCAATCCTCCACAGATTTTACACTGATTTTCTAAGTCAAGAACACTGAGTGTACTATGCTCTTACAAGGTTGAAAAGAAGGTGTTTTTACTTTCACAGAAAGCTACAAGAATTGTCTCTCAAAGATAGATATAAAAATGAAATTCTAATTTTTCTGTAAACCTCACACAGGAAAGATGGGCTTAAAGTTATAAGGTTCGGTGTATAATTTCTGAGAATAAATGTGAGTAATTATAGATTAAAGAATATTTTCAGGTTTTTGTAACTTGTTTACATTAGAAGTTTTGGTATATATAATGAAAATTATAGTCGTTTATCGCCGTTGTAGTTATTTGAATTTATAGCCGTTGTACTCCATCATTACTAATTTGAATATTTTTCACTCTATTATTATAAATTTGAATATCTTTCACTTGAACCTTTTGAACCTCTTGAACTGCTGCTGTGCTGGGATATCTGTTTTCGGGGCTGTTTGAACTCCTGATTTAATCAAATATTAAATACATTCTAACAACATTTAGGATAAAGGTTTAGGTGAGAAATAATGGGACAAAATAAATTTTGATTTTATTAAAACATAAAATCATCAAAATAAATGTTGATTCTATTTTTCTCTTTCAAATAAATCATCAAAATAAATTTTGATTCTATTTTTCTCTTCCAAATAAATTAAAACATAATTAAATAAAACATAATTAAATAAATCATCAAAATAAATAAGTCTAACATCCTCTATTCCCAAAATTCCGCCTATCATCATGTCGTCGCTACTGACTTTCCTTCACCAGCTACAAAGCCCCACGATCTTCCCCCGCCAGCGAGATCGGGGCAACCGTAGGACCAACTTCCTGCCATAGAGGAATCACGTACAGCCAATCCTCCCATCGTAGCGAAATCTTAGTTGGAATGATGCCATGAAGCCGGACTTGCAGTCGAACCATGCCGAGATCTGCCGAAAGCTCATCGGTCTGCATAAAACCACCACAACGGTCACCGATGGCCCTATACGTAGCCAGCCCTCGGAGATGAATGGGTAGGCCCAACACCCGCACCCACATAGTCGCCTCTGACGGCGTTGGGTTGCCCTTATCATACAAAACTGACAGTGACCACCATCGCAGACGAAGGTCGCGGCCATCGACAACCCACCGGCTTCGCAACACATTTTCAGCATCTCAATGAGAGGGGAACACAAAGAGAAAGTCTTGGCCTCCTACTAGCCGGATCTCGACCTTACGTGACGAGCCCCACCATCGACCAACCCACGTTGTCATCACAGAAAACCCCACACCCTTATCCCCCTCCATACCCACTAAGCCCACCAAAGCCCTATTCAGTATGTCAAACCACCCCTCTTCAGCCATTGCCTGAACTGGTTTGTCCGTAACAACCAGAGGTGCCGTTGCTGCTCTCTTCACCACTGATACCCTCGGCCCAGCGCGAGCCTTCGCATTCCAGCTTTCGCCTCTAGCAAAGCCCTCAATAACCAACACCACACTCTCCCAGCCATCCCCAAACTCTGAGGCGGGGATAAAAACCTGATGCCGACGACCTGGTGACCACAATCTAAAACAACTACCTACCAACCTCCTCATCACGAACCTAGATAGCCACACTTCGACTCTTGCCATCCAAACAACCCAAAAAGGATTGGGGTTGTTCGTTACTTGAGGTCAATCGCAGTTTGGTGAGAACCCAACTCACCTCGAAGTCGACCAAAATAACTTCCCGCCAAAGGCCTAATCCACGCTCTACAATACCCAACCACCGATGCCTCCTCTGATCCATTGCTTCCTCCTGGAACTCGAAGGATCGACCACCGAGGAAGAGGATTCGGCATCGTGGGCCAACCTCATCTCTCACTGGAAACATCCTAGGTAAGTCTAAAGCATTTTACCGGAAATTGGCTCTATTTTTGGAAATATTAGAGAGTTAAAATTTCAAGGTTTTTGACCGTATGCATGGAGATTTGTGTCATCTTGCATACTCTCAGTCCCTCTTTTATCTGTTGAAACTCTCGATTTGGATCTCTAAGTTAGGCAGGCATTGTCTGTAGATGTTTGGATTTTAAACTTGATGGTCATTATGTGATGCTTCTAGATGTTCTAAAGCTTTTGATTTAGACATTGGGATTTTGTTAATACTGGTTACTTTCATGAAGTTAGGGTTTAAAATGCTAATGTGTAAGCAAATCTCAAACGTGTCTACCCTAGTAAGGGAGTTTTTAAAAAAATATATATGCATATATATATGGAGTTCATCAACTACCTGTAATTGTTATCAGTATCATTGTTGGCAACTTGATTGGAATTATAACATTAGCACTTCCTAGAGGAACAGGTTTGAGCTTTGATGCTGAATCGTGCCACTTGCCTAAAGATGTACTGTTGAGGATATCACTGTTTAGATTTCTTTACTGAGTTGGTAGCAGAAGTCCTTATTTATTGTCTGTTTCCAGCTGTTGAGTTAATGGAATAGATGGAAATTAAAGAAGTTAAATATTTTTATTTATTTTATTTTTTTTGTTGAGGTCATTTTTTTTCCCTTTGTAAAGAAAAAATTGCAAAATGTGCCTATAAATTGTTAGAATTTCCCATCTTTATCTTCACCTACTCCACTACACACTCCACTACACCTACTACCACATTTTCTTCTATATATAGATTGTATAGGAATTGTAATCAATCAATCTTGTAATACATCAATCAATAAATACATCTATTTTTACATAAATCTTCTCTTAGCTATTTTGTTAAGTTTAGTAAACACATTTTAATTTCTGCTGGACTAAGAGGATGACAAAATCTAATAGAACCATTTAGATCAACGATTACATGCAAAAAAAAAAAATTGATAAATACTGTGTTTAATGCCTGATTATCTGACATATTATTCTTTGCTATTATTTGCATTTGTTTTCTTCCTTATGTGTGTGTATTACAGAAAAGGAAAAAGAAAAGAGAGGAGGAACATGCATATCTGGTGCATATCAGTCGGGATTACAACTTATAAATCACATTTGCTTGTTGGTATTGATATCCATAATTAGATTAGTGTACTCTTTAGGTTCAACATTCTAGTGAATCTTACAAGTTCTGTCTTCTCTCTTTCTCATTTGCCTCAATATATGTTGATTTATGATCTTTTTTCTTTTTCTCTTTTGACTTAACATATGGTTCTCTCTTTCTCATCATTAAAGATGTTTTCTTCTGTGTACTTGTTCTAGTGTTGCATTCTATGATAATAACTTCATTGTTTCAAATATTTTTCTCTTTTTATAGGTAGGAGTGGATAACATGTGTATATTGGTACATGCTGTGAAACGACAACCACAGGAATTGCCTTTAGAAGGGCGAATAAGCAATGCCCTTGTTGAAGTTGGTCCTTCAATAACACTAGCTAGTTTATCTGAGGTTCTTGCATTTGCAGTTGGAAGTTTCATTTCTATGCCGGCATGCCGTGTTTTTTCAATGTTTGCTGGTGTGAAATTTTTATTTTTTATTTTGATGTCCTGGTTGATTAACTGAAAAATAACTGTTTGATAACCCCTTTGTTTTATGTACCTATAGCTTTGGCTGTTCTATTGGACTTCCTTCTGCAAGTTACTGCTTTTGTTGCCTTGATAGTTTTTGATATCTTGAGAGCTGAGGACAACAGGGTTGACTGTTTTCCATGCTTAAAAGTTCCTTCATCTTCTGTAGAATCTGTTGAAGGTACTTCTATAAGCTTTCACTTGCTTTTCCATTTATTTGCTAAGGATCTTCATATAGGGTTAGATGTGCCGTGTGTTTCACAATGTTACATTTGCACTGTATCTTTTCCATTTTGTAAATTGGTGTGTAAATTCTGATTGAAACATATGAACTAGTTGTAGGCAATCGGAGGAGTCCTGGATTGCTGGCTCGATATATGGAGGTAATTTCGGTGGGCTCTTTTTATTTGCTTTATTTAACAAGGTTAAGTTCAAGAGGATTGGCAAAGTTCAATGGAGACTGGGGACAACTTTATAATGCTACCCTAACAGCGCAAGTGCAACTTTAGCCACCATATAATCTATTGTGGAATATATTTCTGGCACTTTGATGTTCTTAGAAACAAAAAAATTGTCCTGCCATCTCTGCTGTTGCATCAATGAATCAGTGATGATGCTGACAACCAGTTGCATGCTGGCACTCCTTTTGAATTGCATAAAGATAATTTACATGGAAAATGATTGTGAATATGTGTCGAACTATTGATGTTTTACAAATTAACGTGGGTCAAAATACAGAAATGTCCAACATGATGATTGACAGATGGTACTTGGAATTCTTTGTATCTCTTTCTTTTCTTATTCAATAATAAATAATAAAAAAATGGTACTTCAAATGTCTGTTGGGAGGCCTAGTGAACAACTGCATTGCTTCCGAATTTTCTTATATTGATAGCTTTGATCTTTCGAATGGTGGAAAATGGCAGTTGGTGTGTCAAATTTTCGAAGTATGGTGTGGGAGTGGAGGACTAGCATATACTAGTGTTTGTGCCTGGCAGAATGCTGTGAGCTATCATTTTAAAGACTATTCAGTATTATAGTGAAAGTATCTAAAATTCCAAGTGCATTACTGACATTAAAATAATTAGCTAGTTTTACTAGCATTTTATCACCTAATCTCATCTATTGGGTGTGTGGATGGTGGTTTTGGGATACTAGTTTTGAGATTGACCTGGTTTCGAGCTGTTTGGGCCTTGGGATTTTTTATTGTGAAGTCAAAAGTGAAAGGAAAGGAAATTGAAAGAGAACCCACAATTTATATGAGGTTATGTAAAACTAGCATGTTGATACGTACGAGTTTTAAGTACGGGTTTTATTGGGCTAAAATGGCTGAGAAATTTGGTTGCAGTGACACTGAAGTTGGGATGAGGCACTGTGCATTTATTGAATGTAGGATGGTTTTATCTTATGCTCTGAATTTTAATCAGGATAATATCCTTTTGAACGGATGTGTTTGGATAACTATATGTGTATAGTGTTGCCTTTGTTATTGTTATAGTTTTTGCAAATAATTTATCTTGTAGGAAGTTCATGCACGCGTCCTTAGCCTCTGGGGAGTCAAAGTTGTTGTTATTGCTGTCTTTACTGCATTTGCTTTGGCAAGCATTGTAAGTCACTGTTTCTTTTATCCTATTTGTTGTGTTTTGTGTTCTGGTTGTCCAATCCTCCGTGTTATATATACATGTTGTCTATCATTTCATTATTAATTTTTTGCTTGCTTTTCTCATTTTTAGGCATTATGTACGAGGATTGAACCTGGTTTAGAGCAACAGATTGCTCTTCCTCGAGACTCCTATCTTCAGGTTTAGTACATTTGATTCCTCTGTTTCATGAGTTTGCTTTGTATTAAGGATTTTCCCTTTTGCCTGGCCTTCTTGGCAGTAATGGTATATTTGCTACAGGGGTATTTCAATGATGTGTCAGAGTATCTCAGAATAGGACCACCATTATATTTTGTTGTTAAGGACTATAATTACAGGTAAAGTTTCATCATCATTTTATTTCCCAATTTGTTTCCATTGATGTTTTTCTAGTTCAATTACAAGGTGAACTGTGGCATATTCCCCAAAAATAGAAGAAAATAAATTATTTTCATTTGTGCAATCTACTATGAAGGAAAGGTTGGGATATGAACCTCTTACAGAATTTGAAACTCCATATTTTCAGTTGTATTTAATGGTGCGAATGCATCTTCCAGAATGGACTCAAAAAAACAAATGGGTGAATCAGATATTAAAAAGTTAGTATACAATGTCAGATGACTAACAGCTCTAATTTTATTTGATATTGAAATATGACTATTATTATGGACAAGGTTGGGTGCATGGTTGCACCCTTCGTTTTATTTGAATTCTGTCAATGCTAGTGTTGGGGGTTGTAGTGATAAAATGATTTGGCTCAAAAGACTGGGGTCAATGGAAAGGGAAATGAAGGAATGATGACAACTCTTGATTTGATTGAAATGGTAATTAATGTTTTCCTTACTTGAGTTTCAAGTTTAGAAGAGTGGAAACTGGAATGTGATTGATGCTTTTTTTGGGTAATTAAAATGTCATTGATGTACTCTGTTTAAAAAGCTTTACTCTCTGCTCAAAGTCTGAAGCAGAGCTAAAAATAGTTTGTAAGAAATAATGTATAGAGAAAGAGAGAGAATAAATTGTATGTATTATTATTGATTGATATATTGATATTTATTACAATGATTCATGATTCCTATATATAGAAGAGGGTGAGTGTGTAGTAGGTAAGAAGTAGGTGAAGTGGAGGTGGTAGTGGTGTAGTGGGTTAGGTTTAGTGGAGTAGGTGAGGTGGTAGTGGTGTAGTGGGTTAGGTTTAGTGGAGTAGGTTTAAGTGGGTGTAGTGGGTTAGGTTTAGTGGAGTAGGTTTAAGTGGGTGAAGTAGGTGATAAATTTTAACATAGTTCCACTCTCAAACTTAAAAATATCTCCTTCCTTCCTAACCCGGCCCCTTTAGCTGAAGCTGTCTCTTTCTCTGGGAATAGATTCCTCTCCCTTTCTGCATACATACATAGGCCCATCCCTCAGATGCATATATACTGATTCCAATATTAGAGGGACTATAACTGGGGAATAGCCTTAGTTGTAACGTAAACATTTTGTTCATAATATCTGCCTCTTCTGACTTGTCATGCCATCAATCCTTGTCAGCCTAGGGAACAATCACATTCATTTTAAATTTCATTCAGAATACCAGATTTCCAAGGGATTCCTTGCTCAGATTCATATCGTAAATGGGTAACGTTTTCCTGTTTGTTAGATGATTCAGTCAGATATGATTTTAACTGGACTTTTGGAATACATGCATGTAACACACACAGGCCTCTTTCTGCCTTCACCATTTTTTGAAAGAACAAGGGATAAAGAAAACAAACCAAAGCCTCTTCATGGGACAGAGACACTTCAGAAGGGACGGCAATTAATATGTCAAGGAGGGACTGGAATAGTTTCCACCCATCTTTTAGAGTCCAAAATTATATTTGTTACTTATTAACTGCCCTGCCTTATTAAACAAAGTTGTGTTAACTAATATATAGTCCCATGGTCTACTTATGAGAATATCTAATTCCCAAAAAGCAAAGAGGGCTGAAGATTTGCATCTACAGATGGAAATTTATGGTGAGAATTGCAACCATTTTTTGGTTCCTTTTATTTATAGTTTATTTTCTTTCTCCAGGTAGAACATGATATATGATAGTGTTTAGGCTCAGACCCTGCTTGATGTAATTATCGCAAGGATTGGTAGGATCCGTTTAAGTATATTTTATACCTTCCTTTATTGGAGCCATTCCACTTTCTATAATGTGGAGATCTCAGGTTCAATGCATGGATGGTAATTTTATACAGAGACTGGAAGTCGAACTCTATTTCTTCTTGATCGATGCAGTCCAGTATTATTTGAAGTGGGATTCTTCTACTTCAGGCTAATGGAAACATCCATTTTGTTTCACTGGAATGTTATATGGTTTTGCATGAGACACAACCTTAACCATGTGGTGCATAATTGTTTTGTCAAAAAAAGGAAAAAAAGAAAAAGAAAAATAAACATGTCTTGCAAAATGTGATGTAGGAAACACATATTTTAGTAGTTGATAAGGGTTACCCTCTCTTAAGCATTGAGTGAGCCTTAATGCAAAGAAAGTATCAAGCTGATTTTCTGACTGTTACAATTGGTGATGGATATTAAATGTTGTCTCTTTCCTATGCAATCAATACAAGTTGAGGTATCACACAGTTGTCTGATCTACTTGTGAATGACTGTTTTCTATAGTTCGGAATCAAGACATACGAACCAGTTATGTTCTATCAGCCAGTGTGATGCAAATTCTCTTTTGAGTGAGGTAATATAATAGGTCATATTGACATTTTTGCTTCAATATCTCGAGTATTACTTAAACATGCCTAGATGTGCATATGATTTTATCCAACATAGAACATGATTTATGTTGGAAGTGGAATAGCCTGGGTCTTGGAGAAGTTGCAAGACTGAAACAAATTTTGTTGTTCTTTGAACTGTATCTTCTGAATCTGAACCCCATTCTGGAACATGCTTATGTCTGTATCATTATATTTCTTCTATTATTTGCTTCCTTTTTTCCTATGATGCCTTCCAAACTTTTTGTAAAACTCATGGTGTATCAACATTAGATGTAACTTGTTCTTTTCTTGTTAGTTCAACACGTAATTCAATGTAACAAACTTTCGACATAACTATTTGCACGACAAGATAGGCATATCACTTTTTCCTCCCAGAACCATAATTTCTTCATATTCATGCACATTGTTAGTGGCCCTCACTCTTTAAAAGTTGTGGGTTTTCAGATTTTTCAATGGAGAAGAAAGAGTTTGGAGATAGGTGGAGGAAATGGATTAGGGACTTTCTTTCTTCTTCGAATCTTTCAGTAGTAGTTAATGGAAGTGGGGATTTGTTTAGAGCCACTAGGGGCTTAGACAAGGGGATACCTTATCCCTATTTATTTTTACGTTAGTGGTTGATGTTTTGAACTGATTGTTTGATAGGGAAAAGGTGGGTTTGGTGGATGGCTTTTTGATATGTAGGGATAATGTTTCCATGTTCCACTTTTAGTTTTCAGATGATAACATTATCTTTTGGTGAGGAAGTTAAAATGGTTTATTTGCCTTCCTTATTAAGAGTGTTTGAGTTGGTTACGGGGCTTAAGGAGAATTTGGATAAAAGTACCATTGTGAGGATTAATTTCCGTAAAGAAAGTTTATAGCGATTGGTTTGCTGGTATGGTTGTCTCATTGAGTCTTTACCCCTGAAGTATTTAAGGCTTCCTTTGGGGGTAATCTTAGGTCAAATGTTTTTCTGGGCTCTAGTGATGGATAAGATTGGCAAGAGACTGTATGGTTGGGTTGGGAATAAAGAAACATAAACTTGCATTTGAATGCATTTATAAAGTGGAACGCCAAAATGAAGATCATTATGCAGTTTTAAAAAAGTCTCCAAGTACCAGAATTAGTGTTGGCCACTATTGCGCTGGCACCAACATTCAGCATATTTGAAATTCCATGAGGGTTTTTTTTCCTCTTTTATAATATCTCATCGATAGTGCAATGATACAATACTTCAAATTTTTCTTTCTTATTTTGGTGCATATAGTGTTAACTTATGATGTATAAGAGACTTCCTACTATTAACAAGTGTATGGTATGTTTGTTGACGTGACAACATGCATCAGAAAATGGTTTCAATGCGTGCAAAATGCTCACTTTTTTTTCACTTTGCTTGGTTCTCATTTTTTAAAAACAGTTTTTTGAAAATTCTACACTCTTATTTTCCGTATTTTTTTGTTTTTACTGAATTTTTTTAATATTTTATGCAAATTTTTTACTTTTTAAACACACCTAACATAAATACACCTAAAAAGTAAAAAAATTGTAAAAAAAATCTTTTAAAAATTTACTAAATACCAAAAATACAAAAAAAATACAAGAATTTAGTACATTTTTTGTATTTTTATGTATTTCTTAATTTTTTAAAATATTTTTTCACAATTTTTTTACTTTTTAGACACATCTAAGTAAGGTGCATCTAAAAAAGTAAAAAAAATGTTTAAAATTTTAAAAATATTCACTAAAAACAAAAAAACACGAAAATCAAAAAACTCGGTTTTCAAAAAACTTAATCCAGAAAACTCAAACCAAACACAGTGATTGGTTCTGTGTTTCCACTACGAAGTCTGTAGTTTTTTTTACTTTTGTTCTTTTATTTTTATTTTTTTTGTGTGTGGTAAATATCATATAAGAGATTGATGACTGAGAACTTGTGTACACATTATATCTCCTTCTCTAAAGGGTAATTTCCACTAGCCTTTCTTGAGGGTCAGTCAGCAACTGTAAATAGTTTCTTTTACATTCATCTTTCAGCAATACAATCAGTTATTGGGACAATTCATTTTTATTTCTGTCTTCTGCAGATTTCAAGGGCATCTTTAATGCCTGAATCAACCCACATTGCTAAGCCAGCTGCCTCGTGGCTTGATGACTTTCTTGTATGGATGTCACCCGAGGCTTTTGGTTGCTGTCGGAAATTTGTAGATGGCAGTTATTGTCCCCCTGATGACCAGGTTGGTGATATACCATGCTTTTCATGTGGATAATTAGTGGGAATGATTGCTGTCTAGATCGATGTCTGGAAATGCTCACTGTTTTTTCTTTTCTTAGTCGAAGTCCTTTGTTGTTGATTAAAGTTTTTATTAATATGCCCTCTCTCTTTGTCTCTCTCAAGTATCATCAGTATTTATGTATGGTCCAATAGTTTATGGTATCTTGTATTTTTGAAAGGGGGAAAAAAAGAAAAGAAAAAAAAAGCTACAATTCTTAATGATTTTTGAGATGCTCATGTGTTGTATTTCTTAAAGAACCAGCTGGTGTGGCGTTCATTTTGATATTGTGAATCCTTGATTTGATGGTTTTGAATGTTTCCAAATGTAAAATGACCTTTGTTTGTCGTTACTCGAGTATGATGCATCATACGATAACTGACTTGGCCATTTTTCTTTCTTTAGCCTCCTTGTTGTTCACCTGATGAAGATTCTTGCGACTTGGATGGCGTTTGCAAGGATTGTACAACTGTAAGATCCCACTGCTTTATGTATTTGAAAACACATCCCGGTGTACTTCTGTCAGTACTTTGTACTTTGTAGGGCTGAATGTACTTATGGGTGGGCTATCTTGCAATTAATTTACAACTTACAACTTATGAAATGCAAAAGGAGTTATCTAAAACTAACATTGTGCAATTGTTCCAGTGCTTCCTTCACTCGGATCTGGATAATGGTCGTCCATCTACAGCTCAGTTCAAGGAGAAGCTGCCATGGTTCCTCAATGCACTGCCCTCTGCTGACTGTGCAAAGGGTGGCCATGGGGCTTACACAAGCAGTGTGGATCTGAATGGTCTGTTCTGCTGCTTACACATATATATCTTGTCGTAACGTAATCAATCCAAAGAAATGTACTATGATGTAGTGCTTAAATATGTCAGAACTTCCCTTTGGCTTGTATCATCAAATGAGTTATTAACAGCTTTTACCCTGTTGTCAGGTTACGAGAGTGGTGTTATACGAGCCTCTGAGTTTCGTACTTACCACACACCACTAAGGAAACAGGTACAGAAGGATCTTTTTAGTGGATTGATACTTCTGCTAATTTGCTTAACTTCACTCAGAGAATATTCCTCCTGATCTGCTTGTCCTTTTGTACAGGATGATTTTGTTAATTCAATGCGTGCTGCACGAGAGTTTAGCTCAAGGGTTTCTGATTCTTTGAAGGTTCACAAATTTGACTTACAGTTTTGTCCTGGAATATTTTTTAGCTGTTATAGTTGCATATGAATATGGTTTGGGGTATTGGCTTTCAGTGAAAGGACTTATTTGACAAGCGTATAAAGTTATGGGTGTTCTTTTCCTCTATGAGATATAGACCATCTGCAATTATATGTCTACAGAACATAGAAAATGACAAATCTACGCTTGCCAAAGATGTTAATTTGTTTGTTGGACTGTATTGGTTTTTCATATCTGAAGTGCTTCTCATTTCTTTGGTTTTTCTCTTCCCTTGTGTGCAGTCTATCCTTAGTATCAAAAGTATTCTCAGCAAATTATTTGAGACTTTCAATCAATACCTTGACTATGATTAATCTTTAACCAAGTTTCTGGAAATACATGTCAAACAAGATTCTAGACTAGGTGTTTGCTCATGTTATTTATTCGGTTGTGGTTAAAGCTTCATCATTATACACTGCATAGAGACAATTTGTATTATTCTCTTGCAAGTCAGGCTTTGATTGAGATCCATTTTTGAGACAGTAACCAATTAATGTCATAACTCACGTAAAACATTTTTTGAAGAATAATTCCGGCTCACTTATGATGCAACATTAATTGCATTTTCCTGGTCAATTAGTTATGCAAGTGGGCTAATATTCCAAAATGTAACAAAATAAGTTGTTTGTAGGAAATCCTAGTAGCTTCTAATAAAATGTGTAATTTATGAACAATTTCTCTTGTTCATCTCTTGTTGCATTGGCAATTTCGCAGTCTAATAATTTGAGCTCTTCTTATCTTCTGAAATCAATGTTCCGTTCTTTCATTCTTGTTTGGAGTTATCTGCAATGCAAGTACTTTATTTTTCTTTTTATGCTTTAAGGCTCACAATGGTGATGAATTCTTTCCATTTTTATTCAATATATTCACGGAAGTTATTTGGAAGTATACCCTTGCACCATGCATTTGGTTGACCCATTCATGGCCTGATCATTTAGATAATTCTTTATTGCGTTTCTATTCATGGCCTAGTTGGTTAGATATTCTTTATGGTATTATTGACACATTCAATTTAAGTGGTAGTGCCAAGGAGAAGAGTAAATAAACAATCAACCCTCAAGATTATAGTAATTTGTTTTTCAAATGACTTGGGGCTGAGGCTCTATGCATGGGGCAATGTCTGTGTCTAAACAATTTTTTTTTTCTGGTGCGTTGCTTATGCTCACTTTATTGAAGCTCAGTGAGGCCCCTTCCAAACCTTTATCCCCCCAAAAAATTGTCTTTTGCTTTGAGTCTACTCCCTTGAACTCTTATCAATAGTTTTTTCTTCTTTTTTACTTGGGATATGGAATCTGACATAGGCAGACAGTATGTTCAGGTCTTTTACATCTTATTCTAAGCCTATGCTCTTGTCATGAGGTTGTGTCTTTAATGCATTGACTGTACTTACCTGATGCAGATCGAGATCTTTCCGTATTCGGTGTTCTATATTTTCTTTGAACAATATCTGGATATATGGGAGACAGCTGTGATCAACATTGCTATAGCACTTGGTTGGTATTCAAACTCTTACACTATAGTGATGTATATTTGCAGAGCCCTTTCACTCCATCTGACAAAGATTGGAGTTTCCAATTATGTGATGTTATTGTCCCGGTGGTTGCTAGTAAAAACAACACTCAATTAGTACACAATAATGTGTGTTTGGGAGGGGAAAGATTGAGTACACACCTAACCTTTGACATAATACACAAAGTGGTGACCCTAAGACTTGAACCCATAACCTCAAGGTTATTAGGCCAAGTCTTAACCATTGAACTGCTATCTCTGCTTGAATTGTTGTTTCATGCTGCTTTCAAGTTGTTCTGTATGATATGATCAAGTCGTCTTTGTGGTGGTTAGAAGCCTCCATTAGTAAAGGCAGTTTCTTCTGTGAAACATAATTGAAAATTTTGTTTGTTTGTTTGTATGCAAGTCTTAGGACTTAGAATGTGTAACTAGTATTCTGATTGAAGGTGCTATTTTTTGCCAGGATTTTCTGTTCATTTATCTAATTCCAGATGTTAGAGATACACGTGTTTTATTACCTTCTAATTGTGACTAACATCATTTAACATATATTATGTATTTGTATTGTTTCATGCCATTGGATGCATTATTTTGAGCAATTATTGACTATCTAATTTCTTGATTTGACAGGTGCTGTATTTCTTGTTTGCCTAGTTATCACCTCCAGGTTTGCTTTCTCTTCTAGCCTTTAGTTCAGTGTTAAGCCATATTTCTGCCTTCATGAGAGAAAAAAAATTTAATGGGTGTGTTTGGTTTGTGTTTGGAGAGTAGTTTTTGAGATAAAAAGTACGAAAACTTGTTTGGTTTGCCTTTTTTCAGAAATAGTTTTCGAAAATTGTTTTTGAGAGAGAGTTTTAAAAAAAGTGATTGATTTGATGTGTATGTGAGAGAGAATGATTTTGTGAAGTAGGTAACCAAACAAAATTTTGAGATTTTTTTTAGAAAAATTTGTTTGGTTTGATTACTCTTGAAAATTTGTTTGTAGAGAATTTTTCCCAAAAAATTTTCTGAAAAACAAACCAAACAAGGCCGTTGAATTTAATGATCTTTACTTCTATTATTTTTCCTTGCCTATTAAATGCAGTTTATGGAGTTCAGCTATCATTGTTCTTGTCCTGGCCATGATTGTTGTGGATCTTTTGGTAAATCTTCTGCCTTGACAAAACATATATTGTGCTTCTTCTAAAACATTTATAACATTCTTGTTATGTATTTAGTTCATATTAATTGTTCATCGTTTAGTATGACTATATATTGGCTACACAATTTGTCCAAAGAAAAAAAGTGAAACCAAAATTTTCTTGATAAAAACTCTGCAGGGTGTGATGGCAATTCTCGATATCCAACTGAATGCTGTTTCTGTGGTGAACCTCATAATGTCAATAGGGATTGCTGTTGAGTTCTGTGTGCACATATCACATGCCTTCTCTGTCAGTATTCAAATGCACTTTTTATTTTGTTTCAAGGATTTGTAGTAGTGATTACTTCTTGTCTTATTGAAGGAGGCAGTAGCTGTTGTTTGGCGTAGAGCCAATTCAACAGGACTTGCTAGGAAAACCAATTGTTCTGTTGACAACATTTCTGCTCTTAACACAGGTAAGCCATGGAGATAGGAGTCAACGAGCAAAGGAGGCTCTGCGTACGATGGGATCTTCTGTCTTCAGGTTATTAACCATTAATTACCTTGATGTGTGAGAGACGTTCTGTAAGCATGTTGGAATTTCTGAGCAATACTCAGCTGAAAAGTGATAATATGAAAGTCAGATGCGAGTATATCTGACAGAAATGCAGAATGCAGAAGTTAGACTGATAAAATGCATAAATGTGTTGTGTTAGGAATTGATATACCTAACTAGGATTGGTGAGACACAGAATACAAACAGGAATAAAAGCAGGAATCTAATCAAGCACATAAGAACACAAAAATTTACATGGTTCACCCCAAATGAGGGCTACATCCACAGTTGTTTCGGTTTTTACTATGATTAGAAATTTTACAAGATATATATATATATATATAGAGAGAGAGAGAGAGAGCTGTTCCCCCTTAACTATAAATACATAAAAATTATGGCAACATGCCACAAGTGCGGAAATACCAGCATACCCTTACTCTAAAGTACCCTTGATCCACGGTCGAGTTGTTAGTGTCCTGTACTTCTTAGGATCCCACACTACCCCAACACGTTCTTCTGAGGTGCTAGAGTTCTCTTACCTGTATTATTCCATTGTCTTTGGGATTAATCCTTGTAAATTTGAAGGACAATCCATTAAGTGTATTTTAATTTTAACTAATGTGAACTTTTGGCTAGGGATGGCAACATGGCTCCCTATTAACTGCATGTGGATGATTTTTCTTTCATTTAGGAAGAGTAAATTCATTCCACCTGCATCAAGGTTCATACTTAATGCTAAAATTCTTCATCCTGGGTCTTACTTTGTGGAAACAAAAACTGGTTTCCCTAACATAGCTGATACCGAATGACCACCATGCCTACAGAAATCAAACTATTCGTCTTTAGCATTGTTGGAGAATCTTCTTGCTAACTATTTGCCCCGGAATCATTGTTGTTCTTGTTTCCTGTCCACGCAACTGTTTCTGAACATAGCCCTCTGTAACTTGGTTGCAACTTGCAAATTTATGAGTTTGGTATGGACAAACACTGCCTAATTCTCCACGTTACAGAAAATAGACAAAAGCTACAGCAGTCAAATTTCCTTTTTTTTTCCCCTCACTAGTATTGGGAATTACATTTGGAACCTTTCTCTAGCTTCTATCGTGGTGTGCTTGTGTATGGTGGGTGGGCTTGGAGTTGATTTATCACGACATTGTTATTTGACTACTGCTTTTTCTTCATTTTTCTTTGCTGTTTTGTGTCTTGCAGTGGAATTACACTCACAAAGCTAGTTGGAGTCATTGTCCTTTATTTCGCAAAATCAGAGATTTTTGTGGTATAATGATCCATCCCTCTGACTTTTAGTTTTGTTTGTTTGTCAGTTCAGAGAATTTTAAATGATGCTTTTGCATTTTCAGGTTTATTACTTTCAAATGTACCTGGCATTGGTTGTCATTGGATTCTTACATGGGCTTGTGTTTTTGCCGGTAAGTCAATTAAATTCTCCTACTGCCCACACAAATGATGTCACCTGCTTGTATTGTATTAGTACATTTAATATCACTTAGAACAATACGGCAATGTGTCATAGCTTCTTCCCCAAGGCGGCTGTCCAATCATCTATTGGCTTCGTTTGGCATTCAATATCTTGCTGTGAGCACATGATGTAGTTGTTTTTCAAAACATGGACAGTTGACCCCAAAAAAATTAAAAAATAATAATAATAAGAGCAACCCTTCCAGTATACTTACACGTGCAGATTGCCCTTGTCAGAGGAATTGGACAGACACTAATGTGATAGAAGATTTTCCTTAAATTAAAGTACATGATCGCATGGGGCCTCAAGTGGCATTTTCCACTACATATGTGCCTTGTCATGTAAATGACCATACTGTAATGCAAAATATTGGACTACTAACCATATATAGGTTTGTGTTTGTGGATTGCAGGTGGTATTGAGTATGTTTGGTCCACCATCGAGAAGTGTACCCGTTGAAAGAGAGCAAGAACTTGAGACTTCCACTTTGTCACACTTGACTGATTGACCAAATGCATTTGAAAGTTGGGTGGTTTTATGATGTAAAATTATGCCAGCAAGAAATGAAAACAAAATGACGGCAAGACGGAAAACAAACAAATAAGGAGAAAGAGGGAAAGGAAGAAGGACATGCATGTACAATGAGTTAAGGACATGTAATTGCTTTCTACCCAAATTAACAGTGCATATATTTTGGTCGATGCTTATGGTGTCAAAGTTTCTGTTATCTTCACATTTGTTGTCAGGATCTTACCATTTCTTTCCTTGTCATTATGCTATGTTGTGTCAATAGATGACCCAAACATTAGTAGGTTGGTTTTGGGTTTGGATCTATATCTAAATTTGTATAATAATGTATTATTATGGCATGTGATACCATGTAGCTACCAAAGTAGCAATTTTGATGGGCGTAGGTTTTTCGGAGCAAACTAGGAAAAATAAAAACACTGGAGAAAAATAAATAAATAAATAAATAAATAATAATAAAAAAATAAAAAGATGGCCAAAGAGAAAATGTTTGAACTTAACGGGTACAAAGTAAAATTTATCCAACTAATAATTCTGACAAACTTTCATGATACTGTAATGTTAAAGCATTTTCAACCATACTTTCAAATTTAGAGATGTGAATGTTGGTATTTTTATCCCCCAATTCTTTCACATCAAATGCATTATTCGTCCATATAAATGCATGCAATATAAGGCGCAAAACATGCCTCTTTACAAAATACCAAGATGAGAAGAGATTCAACTACTTCCAGAACCCTAACCGCCCCTTGTATGTTGTTTTGTTGAGCTTTGAGCTTACATAAATCTTCTGTCTTTTTTTTTTTCTTTTTTTTTTTTTTTTGATTTTTGATTTTTGATGATGAAAGTATAACCTGTAATGAAAATAGGATGGTTGCCTCTTAATAAATCTTTACACCTGGCAAGACGAGAGATGAAATGAAAATTCAATCCACCGGTGCATGTTAGGACTACTGTTGATAGTAATCTGAACTCCAAACAAAAACCATGAACTTCCCAAAACAAATGCTGTTCAACTAAATATCAAAATGGAACAGGGCAAGAACAAGAATTGCATCACGACATCCTTCAATATCCATAAAATCTGAAAATATTTCACAGAAGAATTACTTAAATGTGTATGTACATCAGCGCATTGGCAGAAAGAGAGAGAGAGAGAGAGAGGGAGGGAGAGGGAGGGAGAGGGAGAGAGAGAGGGCATGTAACTGCCTGGTAAAGAAAAAGCCTTTGTCCACCAAGTTCACCTCTTACCATGGAAGTGTGTACTTTCTTATTCACACAGCCCAAAATGGAATTGAAAGTGCCAACACATCTTTTGTCTTTTATGAGACACTGGTCCAAATCGATAACTTTTACATGCCCAACTGAATCTTTGATTAAATTTCAAAATAGGTGTACTGACTACGGACCAGGGTTCCCTAAAAGTCGCTCCACAGCAGCATGAACATTTCCTGAGGTGGCACGTAATGCCCTAATATTCTCTTGGGTATCAAAGAAACCCATTTCTTGAAGCTGTGACAGTTGAGTAGCATAAAGCTCTTCTGGAGGCACTATAAAAAACAAAGACATATTTGCTTTCAGCAAAGGGCTAAAAGGCAAGCTTATCAGAAAAACTTTACATAGAAATGCGATGAAGTTCTTACCATCAGGTGTATTGGGAAGATTTAAGCCCCCAGCTCCGAGTCCACCAAACACATTCATCAACAACTCCAGTCCCATATTGTTTTGTGCTCCTGAAATTTGCAGCAATATTAATGGAAGCTTACATTGAAAGGAAATATGGACAGATATATCAAAAGAAATCAATTTTCAATAAGTTGCTCAGATACCAGGAGTCCCACCAGTCTGAGCTGTTTCTCTGCAAAAAAACAGCACGGGATAAGCAACACGGATAACAGAAGATGTAAAAAGATTGCAGGAATACCATGCATCACTAGCATTAATGCCAACAAGAACCAGAGTTAATCACAGGACATGTTAGATACAAACTAATCAATCCATTGTTTTTACCTAGTGCTACCCTTTTCATTTAAATCTAAATATTCTCCTGTTTTAAATTAAGCTCAAAGTGGTAAAAAGGTCAAAACAAATGCATGCAAGCGAACACAAAAACAAAAACACAGATATGAACGGATATTGAAATAAAAACAGGATTAGACCTCCTAATAGTTTGTATGTTCATTGCACACCCTGCATACTTAATGCACTTGTAACCCAGCTATGAGAAACCCCAAAGGAAAATAACAGCTCTAAAAACCACCTACATATGTTGCTAAAAAAAAAATATGTCCTATCCAACACTATTGTTCATCTTGAACTGTGGTTTCTGAAGAAATAAACAAAAATCTTCAGTCAAGAGTAGTTAACATTGAACACATGTCGTGATCACCCCATAACAACAAAACAATGTGCAATAAGTATATGCACTCGATGATCCAATAAGGGTTGGTTAGTTGAGTCATTAACACATGATATTTTGCTAAAAATTAAAAAGAAAAAGAAAAAGAAAAAAGAACAGAGAAGTGGAAAAAAGAAAAATATGCTACCAACTGAAAGTTGCAAGCCATGATAATGCCTATATCCATAAATTGTTCTTTATGATGCTTCCTGGGATACCCTACCCTAGTGAGAAACCAATAACTAGCCAGCCAAACTCCCACCATCTGGAGGTGTTGACATCAACTTAAATAATCAAAATGTCCAGAACGACCCCATTGAAAGGTCAATCCCTTGTCTTTTCCCCCCCAAGAATCAGGTTCTCAAATCTTCAACTACAATATACAGTCAACGAGGTCAATCCCTTGTCTTTTCCCCCCCAAGAATCAGGTTCTCAAATCTTCAACTACAATATACAGTCAACGCATGAAATCAGTAACAGAAAAGACCAATCCTTTGATGTGTGTATACATGTTTGTGAATATATATATATATATATATTTGGTACTTTCAATTATATACACACACCACAAAAAAAAAAAAAAACCATTACATAACATCACTCAAACAAGCTTGGAGCCGATGGTTTCATTCAACATATATAAGTATTGTAGAACTACCAACCATGAAGCACATATACAGATACGTGATACAAATATGATACGAATATGGCAATGCAACCAAACATGTCGCACAATGCTTTTTAATCAACACCGTGGCACCTAAAACATGTTTTGTAAAATATTATTGACTTTTATGCTATTTTCAAGGCTAAAAATACAAAAATTTCATTTAGTAAGCAATTATTACAAAGATAATTAGAACTGGCACCCTCACTTCTTATCCTAATCACAAACACACCTACACCCACATGATTGTAATTTGTAAATCTAGACATATATAATATAAATAATCTACAAAATTACAAATAAAACTACTCAACTACAAATTTTCATATCTTATATATGAATATGAATATGAATATGATATATAACATAAAACAACAAAAACACCTAAGCCAAGCATCAATGAGGAAAAAGAAAGAGAGCAACAAACAATGCGTATCAGTACATAAAGGCCAATTTATCAGGAGTACAGTCAATACTTGTACATCATTACCGATAAAAAAAAATACTTATGTACATCATTTTTATGGAACTTTTGTCTTCTCCTTACTTTGACAAAGGCTTCTACTAATCCAAATAAGTTTATATGTCCGACTGCATAAACATATAGAAGTGTTTGACTATACATAAGTATCTCTGGCCTATCAGCTGATTACAGAAATGATACTCAATACATAACGTCATATCAGATGATACTTATGTACAGTATCAGACAATACGTATTGAGTATCATTTCTGTATTGGCACATACTTATGTACAGTACACTTCTATATATACATAAAAACATATTTAGATAAAAAGAAGCCTTTGTTCAAGTAAAGGAAAGACAAAAAAGTCCCAAAAAGGTTATGTACACAAAAACCATAAACCACTTCATTTTCAATTGCCATACAAGAGCACCATGAACATCAAGTGTCATGCACAATGGCTTGGTTCTGATCTCATGGAACATTCACACACTCATTGTTCCCTTGAACTAAGATTTAAATGATTTGCCTAGTTTCAGCCAAACAAGAGTAATCATAATTCAAGTTTCAGCCACAAGTTAACTGAGTGATGTATCCTCACTTACGGAGTTGATTGTTGCCTATTAAGCTGAGATGAAAGAGCCTGCTGTACAGCCAACATTTGCTGCAAAAATAAAATTTTAGGTTAAAGAAAAGGAACAAGTATAGATCATCACTCTACTACCATCTAAAGCAACTTACCTGCATCGTCTCAGGTGATGTTAACTGCCTAAGAACTTCTGGGTTTTGCAACATTTCTCTTAGCTGAGGGTTCAAGTCGAGCATACTCCGGAGTTGCGGATTCAGGCCAAGAAACTACAGTTCGAGAAATGACATTCAAAATACATCTGAGCACCTCTTCAACTAATGTGATCTTTGCTCGTACCTGATTCATGTACTGGGGGTTGGATAGTAGGCTTTGCATCATTTGGGACACAGCTGGATTCTGCAAGAGCTGATTCATTGCAGAGGGGTCTGGCACGCCAAACATGCGCTCCAAATCTGGAAGACCAAGCCCTCCTAACCCACCAATCCCTGGTGGCCTGGCATCCGCAGTAGGATTTGACCTTGCAGTAGTGTTTGCTTGGGAACCTCCTTAGAATTCACAATTATAGAAGAACAATCACCAAGAAAAGTTTGAAGTAACATTCACAGATAAATTGATGGTAAGGAAAATAGTATAAAAGGGAAGGGGAAAAAAAAATCACTACTTCTTCTGAACAAATTACTCACGTGGATTAAAAGAGGAAACTTCAAATGCAATTTTGATTTGACAAATTGCTATATCAAACTGTACTTCAGAGACTTATTTCCTCAAGTACTTGTTCTTTATGGACTATTGCAATCATGAGTAAAACACTCAAAGCACATAAAATATTTCAGTCAAAGGCATGAAAGACAAATACAACATTGTAGCACTTGGTTTCCCCGTGTTTGCCAGTGGGTGGGTGTGTATGGGGTTGGGCAACTTCTTTTTATTTATTTTATACTGTACAACAAGCAATACATTTATCAGTTTCAGTATCTACCAAGCTGAACCCATGGAAATGATATTCCAGATCCATTTTTCAAGTATGCATCAACAAAGACTGATAATGTACAGGCACTGTGCATCCTATTGTTGAAATATCGTACGCATTCATTGCCACAAAAAATTCAGTATTTCCCAAGCTAAATCTAATGGGCCTGATATTCGATCTATTTTTCCTAGGTTTGCATGGCCACAAACTGCTAATGTATGGGAATGCCTATAGTTAAAATATCTCAAGAATAATAAGCATATGGTCCTTACTCTCTTTTTTTTCCAAAAAAAAAAAAAAAAAATGGAACTGTAATAAAATAAAATTACAAAGAGATTACAAAGAGAGAAGAAAAAAACAGTAGAAGCTTACCACCAGTACCACTCCAAGGGTTAGGAAGTGGATTGGCATTTGGAACAGCAGACCCTGTAGTTGCTTCAGACCCAGTGGTTGAAGTATTGTTTGATCCATCTCTGGTTTGGGCTCCAGCACCTTGATTACCCAAAAGAGCCGCAAATGGGTTTGACCCCACATCATTTCCAGTGCTTCCAGCCATTGTTGTAGCATTGAGGAACGGTTCCTGAACATTTTCATACATTCGTCTGAGCATGTTGAATCCCTCAGGAGAAGATTCAATGTTACTCATTGCCCTGTCAGTATTTCGCATCATCTCCCGCATAAGCTCAGGGTTCCTTGCCGCTTCTAATGTCTGCCGAAGGATGCCAGGATCATTGAGAACATGAGCAAGTTCAGGATTTCGGTCAATGATCTCGCGCATTTGAGGGTTGCTCATGATCATGTTGCGCATCAGGTCAGGGTTATTCATTAGGCTCTGAATGGCTGGCATGTTCATTATTTCTCTCATCATGTTGGGATTCTGAGTCAATTGTTGCTGCACTTGTTCAAACTCAGGAAGCCCAGCTCCAAGTACACCAGATGCTCCAGAGCCTCCTAGAGCATTGAAACCAAGCCCAGGAAATAGAGATGGCCCAAGACCAGCAGCTCCAAAGCCACCACCTTCGTTTGAACTAACAGCCTGTGCAACACCTGGAGTGGGATTGGGATTGCCAACATTGGCAGCAGCAGCAGGTGTTGATGCAGCTGGAGCAAAACCACGCACCATATGAACAGTGTGATCTGCCTGTAAACCTTCAGGGCCACAAAAAAATAGAAAAGAAAAGATCAACTTCAGAAAGAAAAAATCACAAAAAGAAAACGATTTAAGCATATTGACATCCAAGATGAGGACGCTGATATGATTGAACACACAGATCACACACGGAACCTTTATGAATAGGGTAAATAAGTAACTTAGTAATGATATGTTACAATCATTTTATTAGCTACGTAATTCAGCAATGAAGCATCACAACCATGACAAACTAAGAGTACCCAACCATCAGCTTTAGCATAGTTAACATTTCCGAACAAAAGAGAAAACTCAAACCATTTTCAGGAAGGTTGGTTTTTTACAATCTCTAGAATATGAAGACTGTACAAGGTGGAAAAAGGTTTGAAAGCAAAAAATAATATTCTTAGCCATTTAAAAGCAATTGATTCCAATATAAAATCACCTCAATTACAAAACACAATGTAAGTGGTAATTCACACAACCGAATGTCATCAAAAGTTGTACTTCAACACAACAATGCACAACAATGATTCTATCTTAGTTTATGCCCTTAGTTCAAATGCCTCTCCACCATGTCGTACCCCTTTGTGTGAGGCCCCGTGGATGCATTCATAGGATTCATTTAGGACTCCTTTCCATATTCAGGACACTGTAATGCTCCATTCACTAAACGGAAGCTATTTGTAGTAATTTTTCTATCAAATATATTTCTCTTCTCTTATTTAATGTTTTTGTTTTCTTAGTTACCTAGTGAATTTTAAGTCCTCTTAATTGAGGCATTACAATTGCCAACGCAATTATCTGATGTATGTTTGACATCCTTATTGGCGCGCCTTCTCTCTTTGTTCCCAAGGAATTATTTTTTGTCAAAAGTGACAAACGAATAGTGTATAATGACGAGTAAAAATACACAAACAATTATACGTTGTTCTGTCCGTGCCTTTATTTTTTTAAGATTGCTATACATTGGCATTTTCCTTGTATTTATGTCCCTTGTCCATATCCGACCCATGACTTTATTATGGCTATCCTTTGATTCTGCACTACTTTATTGTTCGATTAAAAAAAATATTGGCCTAGAAATCACATTTGCAGTGTTATTACGTTTAGGAGAATATCAGTTACCTACCATTGGATTTATTTATTGACAAACAACAGGTGTTTCAAATTTAATAATTTCATGTCTCCTGGTTGTTTGGTAACAACATAATGATAAAATTGGTGAAGGAAGAATCCACATTAAATTCACGTGAAACCCTCCAACACATTCAGGAAACATATGATAGCGCAACGGTAACAGTAGGAAGACTTTCATATGCTATGACAAAACTAGCACTTCAAAACATGACAAGCACAGAGTTTTCACTCCTGAAATCTCCTCAACTCAATTGCTATGGATAAGTGACTATAAATTGCCAATCTTAATCAGTAGCAAAACCAAGATCAAAATCAAAATATTTCACAACACGACAATTATCACGACCTAAACCCAAAACGACGTAAAAATAAAATTCACCCAAAAAGAAAATCACCATGATAGTCGACAAAAAAATAAAATAAAATAAAAAAAAGAACAGAGAGAGAGAGAGAGAAGATAACGAACCATAGCTAGCTAGGATTTGATCGTCCTTCAAGATCCGACCTTTGTAAATCAACCTCTGCTGATCAGCCGGAACGTCGCAGTTCTGAACAAGAAGAGCTTTGAACGCCTCAACAGTCGCCTGGAGGCTTGTCCGAACAGAGAATTTGGATCCATTGGAGCATCGAATGTTAAGAGTGACTACTTCTTCACCACTACCAACGCCCAAGCTCGACTCGGCTGTCTCGCTTTCCGCACCCATTTCCCAGATCAATCAAACAAGCAAAGAAACAGATCTATGAAAAAAGGGATGCAAAAACCCTAACCCTAGAAAGAATCAGAGTCTCTCCTCCTCTTCAATGCTCCTCCTCTTCAATGCACGATTTATCTACTAATATTTCTCCATCTATTCAAATGAAATTAAAAACCTGTAGAGCGAGAGAGACATATATTAAGGCCGATTAAAAATTACATTATTATAATAAATATTTCGTCCGTCTTTAAATATTAATTTTTTATTATTTTAAAATATTAATTTTTTTAAAAAAAATAAAGACTAAAATAATATAAATTTTTATTTTATTCTTATTTTAAATTTATTAACAACACAAAAAGTATAATATTAATATTTTTAAAAAAATATATTATAAAAGAATAATTTTTAAAGTTAATATTTTTAAAATATAATAATTATATTATTAAAAAAAAATAACAAAAAAAACTATTATTTTAAGACAAAGGAAATAGAATTTTTGTTACGTCTAGCATAACTCTAACCTAAAAGACCAATGACAAGTAGTCTAATATAAAAAAAAAAAAAAACTTCATCAAAAATCGTTTTTCACGAAATATGTTAAATTTACTAATAAATTTATTAAGTGATAAATTTATGGGTAAACTATATTTACGGGCTCTTTTGGGAAAGGAAGAAAAACGCCGGGTTGCGCTATTCAGCAAAAACGCCAAGTTCATTTGGTAAGTGCCAAAAAGTAAGTTGAAAAATTACGTAATTACTCTCAATGTTTATATTTTGTGGGTTTGGATAAAATGTAATTTTTTTAATTTGGGTGAGAGTATTTTAGTTATTTTAGTGTGATGTGACACCATTAATAAATATTAATCTAAAAAAAAAAAATATTTTTTACCAACTTCCCAAATCACGCCCAAAAAGCTTGGTTAAAAGCAAAAAAATTACTTTTTACCATCTTTCTAAAATACAACTACCTCTCCTCATGTTTTCGACAAATATAGGGATCTCTCCTATAGTTTGAATAATTACAGTAACCTTCCCTATTTTACTTGACAATGTCAAGATTCTCCCAAAATTTGACAGTCATTTATACACCTAACAGACCCTGTTGATGTCATCAAATATAAACACTAAAATGCCTATAATGCCGTCAAGTGCCCAATTCAAGAATTTCCCAGACTGTTGTTCTGTTGTAAAGAGGAAATTATCAAGGGATCCATTTTCATGAACTCATATATCATAAAATGTTTTTTAAAAAAAAAATTTAGTTTAAATATATAATTTTTATTTAAATATTTTATTTCATTTTGTAAATATTTTAATTTTAATATTTTAAACTCAAAACACAACTTCACACTCAAATCGTAACCAAACGCATAACTCAAAACTCAATTCAAAAATTATTTTTAAACCTCATAACCAAACACATAACTCGAAACTCCATACTATTTTCAAAACTCTACACTCGAATCATAACTAAATACATAACAAAAAAATTAAAATATTTAAAAATATTTTTATAAAATAGAGTTTGAATTTATTTTTATAAAATATTTTAAAATTTAAAAATTTAAAATCGTAATATTTAAAAATTAAAATATTTAAAAATATTCAAAAAATTAAAAAATTAAAAAAATCGTAACATATTTAAATATTAAAATTTGAGTTTTGAGTTGTATATTTGGTTAAGACTATGAATTTTGAAAAGATTTTTGAAAATTTCCAATTGGAATTGTGATTCTAAAAGAGAACCAAACATGTTTCTAAAAAAATATATTTTTTCGGAACATGTTTTTACTCAAAACTCAATTTAAAAATTATTTTCAAAAACTCATAACCAAACACAAACTCAAAACTCAATTCAAAATTCTTTTCAAAACTCAAAACCAAATTTTTTCCAAAACTCTATTTTAAAAGAAAAAATTTTAAAAAAAAATTATTTTTTAAAATTATTTTTAGAATCATGTTTGAGTGTGGAGTCGTATTTTGAGTTATGAGTTTTGAAAAGAAAAAGTTTGATTAGTTATAAATTTTGAAATTTTTTGAATTAATTTTTTTAGGGTAAATATTAATATTTTAAATAGTTTTATTTATTTTAATGTGGATTATATATTATACATTTATGTGTTGTATTTTTTATTATTTTTAATATTAAAATTTTTTAAAAAAATTATTTTATTTTAAATATATAGTTTTTATTATAAATATTTTAAAATATTTTATTTTATTTTATGGTTGTGTTGGTCAGTCACGGGCAGCGATGTTAGCTTCAACAAAGGGCTTTTTCATTTTTTTGCAGGCAAAAACAAGGGTAATATGGTCATTTCCTATAAGATACTAACGTCGTTTGCGCAAAATAGACAGAATGGGAGAATCTTGTCATTGTCAGGTAAAGTAGGGAAGGCTACTGTAATTATTCAAAATACAAGGGAGGTCCCTGTATTTGTCATAAATCTTAGGGGAGGTAAATGTAATTTACCCTAAATTTATTAGTCTTTTTTATTTTTATGAATAATTTATAATAATAAATTTATCAATACGACATGTAGATAAATAAACCTAATTAATATGACTGATTGGTGAGTGACTCATACTTTTTTTATTATTATTCTGTATATATATACAAAAGAAACTTATAAAAATATCAAATAAAAACTATAGTAAGGCCAAGTTTGGCATCTTCCAAAAAATCTAAAAAGTCAAAAAGTCATTATCCTATTTAAGTCACATTATCTTATTTAAGTCACATCACCTCTCTAACACATCACTTCAAACCCAATCCAAATCCAACCCATATTTCATAAAAAGTCAAAAAGTGCACTTATTTAGTCTTCTCAAACTTGGCCTAAGCCTCCGTTTGGGAAGTGGGTTGATTTTTTGACTTTTTGGCTTTATAGCCTGGGTTATTTTAGCATGATTTGGGAAGGACTTTTTGGCTTTTTAACTTTTTTGGCTTTTTTTGTGAGAGGATTGTAATGATTATAGGTTGGATTTGATATTTTATTTTTTGTGGCTAAAATAGCCTATTTTGTTTTTTGTGACTATTTTAGCCAAAAAAGTCGGGCTTTTTTTTGCCAAACATAGCCTAAGTAGAAGAAATAAGGGAAAATTATAGTATAATGGAATAGAAAAAAAAATTATAAAAGCATGTAAGGCGTGAGTAATTCTATGATAGGGTACAAGTGAAAAGTTGTGGAAGCATTGCACCCATTCATGTTTGTGTACAAAATAATTTTCTATCCCACTAACATGTAATTCCCCCAAAAAATAATTAAAAATAGATAAAAGATCAAAACTAATTATGGTAAGATTTAGAGCATCCCCTAGATTGCATCCCCTAAAATATTATTAAAAAATTCATTCCATATTTTAAGAATCACTTTTTCAACTACTTCCCCTAACAAACTCCTTATTATTTTTCAATTCTATTAACAAATTTCATATTTTTTCTCTATTATATTAAAATATAATTTTTCATTATAAATAAAAAAAAAATCATAAATGTGTACTACAGTTCCTAAACAAAGCAAAGCAAAGCAAAAAAATAATTAAATAAAAAAATAAAAAAATAAAAAAACAAAAATATATATATAAGGGAGCTACAGTGCCTCCCTACAAATAGGGAGGCACTGTAGCAATTCCCATTTTAGGGGAGTGTTTAAGTGGGCTGCTAGAAGCGTATAGGGGCCATCAAACCCCTTAAAATAGGTAAGGAGGGGATATAAGGGTTCTATTAGAGCATTCCCACTAGTTTACCTAAATTTTACCTTAAAATATTATTAAAAAATTCATTCCCTATTTTTCAGAATCACTTTTTTATTTACTTCTCCCAACAAACTCCTTATTCTTTCTCTATTCTATTAAAATAATATTTTTCATAACTTTTAAATTTAAATATTTTTTTAATAATTAAATAATAAAAACAAAAGCAAGAGCACAACATGCAAGATAGCTTCTCTGCAGCGAAAGGCGACCGGATGATTGGGCGGTCGACCGGGTGGATGTCCGGGGGACGCCTAGGCGTGCCTTCAAAATGAAATAAAATAAGAATTTGCCCTAAAATATTATTAAAATTTTCATTTCCTATTTTAGGAATCATTTTTTCATCTATTTCTCCCAACAAATTTCTTATTCTTTCTCTATTGTAATAAAATATTATTTTTTAATTATTTTATATTTTATATTTTTGTTGATGGAGATGCTCAACGTTGAATAAAAAATAATTTTACATTTTTGGGGTGAATAGTTGCTCCCTACGTTTGGGGAGCAACTGTAGCAACACTTTTATTTGAGGGGTGGGTTAAGGGATTTGATGGGGGTGTTTTTTTACAGCAAAATTCCTTATTTTGAGTAAGGAGGTGATGTAAGCGATCTGTTGGGGATGCTCTTAGGGATGTTCTTAAACGAATTTGATAAATATAAATATTAAAAAGAATGTTTTTTTTTTTGTCAAAAAAAGGTAATCATATGAAATAATGAGTGCATTTTATTTATTTTTAACCAAATATATTATTTGAGGAAAAAATATGCATTCCAAAGATTCAAACAGATAATTGCAACAAGTTCCTTCTCACCTTCCTCTATTGCCCAACCCCCATATATTTTCTCAAGCACCAAAAAAAATTATAAAAAAAAAAATTTGGGAGGGAATGATAGAATGAGTGGAGAGTATTTGAGGGTAGCATTGAGGAGTTGGAAATGATTGGAGAGCGTCGCAAGGAATTGGTGATGGTAGTCCGTTATGGTAGGTAAGGTAGAGGTGGGATTATAGTTTAAGAGATTGAGAATAATTTTTATTGTTAGAAAGGTGTCCAAAGAAATTTCTTAAAATTTAATTTTTGACATTGGAATAGGGAGCTAAAGAAAAATGGTGAAAGCTATTAGCAGAACCTAAAAAATAATTATAAAACATTATATATATATATATATACATATATATTTTGTCCTTCATCTTCTCTCTCTCTCTCTTTTCTCTCTCTCTCTCTCTCTCTCTTCCGCACTCCTATCTCTTTTTCTTCGCTCACCCACCCTCTCCAAGGTTGTCCCTCTTTCCACAACCAACTAGTCCACCCTTACCTTGGGTAGTCCACCCTTACCTTATGTTGGTATTTTTTTCATAACAAAACATGAAAAATATATAAAATAAATTAAATATAAATGACAAAATATTTTTTTTTTATTTTTAAAGAATGAAATACAAAATAAAATACACGACTAAAAATATAGAAATAAATTAGATTACATTACTAATAGAACAAATTATTACACATAGATAACTAAGGATTAGAACTCATCTTTGTAAACTAAATTTTTGAAAAAATAAGAACAAATGATAAGAAAAGAATCAAACTGAAACTTGCACTAGACAATTTTTTTAAAACAAATTCACCGCCTCCTAATGGATACTGAAGGTATGTCAACGTTTGTTTCTCAAGATACGACGGTCGAAACCAACTAATACAGAAACACCTTCTGAATAGTTTCGATGAACTTAACAATAGTTGCACTCTCTGTAACAAGAACCAAAGAAGGGGCTAGCAAAAGAAGATAGAAAAATTTTATTTGGTAAAAAAAAAACATCTCTAACTGTTTATCTCAAAACACTATCTCCATTTTTTATTAAAATCTCTCCAAAATTATCCGACTAAGTTGGAGAGGAAAAGTCTCCATTTATACAAGTAAGGGAATCCCTAGCCATGAAGGTTATACATTAATAGATCCATCAAATGCTATTAACCAAGGTTATCAACTCTTAACCATTAGGGCTAGACTTACAAAGATTGAAAACCTATGGTCACTAATATGGCCATCAACTCCATCATCAAAAAATGAGAGTTACAAAAGTCTAAACTTTTCATGTTCTTAAAATATACAAATAAATATGTATATAATGATAGTTGAACAAACCAACTAGATAAGTTACAAAATGAATACTAATGTTAAATCACAACCTGATTTATGCCCAATTCTTAAACACATGTCCATGCTAAGCCCAACACAATATAACTTATCTCAAACTCAAAAGTAAGTCCAAATCTAGGTCCAAATTCACAAGCGTAGGTCCAGTCCAATCCAAGATTACATCCAAATTTAAGCCCAATTTTATTGATATTTACTTTATGAGACAATTTTCATTTACAATCCAATAGTTTCGACTCATTATTTTTATATTACAATCTTCTCACTTAAAAAAATACAAAATCACTAAAACCCACCTCAACCGACAGTTAGATCTTACTTTAATTTTGAATTAATTGTTTTCCAACACCTTCCTCTACCCTCTCTAATCCCCTCCTCCTGCTTACCTCCAGTCGCTTTCACTACCAACTACAACTTTTAACAAATTACTAAACATGATTTTATTTTATTTTTATGTGTTTTAAAATATAAAATACACACCGCAAACATGTTTTTATTTTTTATTTTATAAAAATATAATATAAAATAAGAAATTCAGTTTGTTATCAAACAACACCTAAACGAACAGGTTTAGATAGGATAGATTGAACTGCCTTATTTGACCAATTTTGTGATGATGCTAGTGTGGGGTGACTGGTTAGTTTGCCATGACAGCTCAAAACATGATCTTCTTGGTCGGGCAATGTGATCTTCTGTCATCAATGCCCCCCCACGTTATGCCAACTGATGATTATGAAATCGGTGACAAATTTGAGAGGTCCACTTTCGCATCATCCATTGAAGACCCTCCACTTCTTAGGACCACTACCAGCTATCCACCAACTGACTAATCAATATCTTGATTTAAGAGAACATTATTATTGTTACTATCGTTATTTTATTTTTTGGGCAAAGGAGAAGGTGGAGGGGATAGGAAAAGAGTTTGGACTGCAAAAGGAAACAAACTAAGAGTTTGCCTCTTATTTTGCTCGTTAAAATCTTGTTTAAGATAGACTTTGTTATGTAAACAAATTAAGTTTGAGTCTATTTTGAAACTCATTAAGTTTTGCCAACGAAGCTTGAACAACATACTACATGACTCATTTATAGCCCTAGAAAGAGGATCCCGAGGCTCAAATGTGAGTGTTGCCCTTGACTGACCCCTTGCCCCTACAAGTTTGGTGCTAATGAAGATTCCAATATAAGAAGTGTCACTACTACAACTGATGAATCAAAATATGACACAACCCACATACCAATAGTTTCTCTACAATTTCAGAACATGTACATGAAGAAAATTCAACAATCCAATACTCAAAGCTCCATTGGGCAGTATCTGCACTTCTAGAACTGTACTGAACATTGATGTGAAATTTTGCTAAATGGATTATAATGACTTATTTATTTATTATTTTTTGTTTGCAAACCTGGGAATATGTTCACACTTACTCATGTGTTGTAACAAGGAGTTTGCTTTCCTCTGGGCTCTACTTGTCCCACATCTTGCAATCTCCGCCAAATGGTCATACACACCATACTGAAGCGCAGCCAACACGAAAGATGAATTCTTCAATCCCAACTCAAGAAGAACCGCCGTAGCACATTCCTTGTTCTTGGGGGTCCCAACTCTTATAATTTCAACTAGAGTTTCAATAAGCGCTAGCTTTCCAATTTCATTTCGTCCTTCAGGATGCGATGCCAGGAGTAGCAAAATCGAGAGTGCTTCATCCACCATACCCAAGTTCTTATCTTCAAGTAAATGAAGTAATGGTGGTACGATACCCGCCTTAATGGCTCTGGACTTGTTAAGCATGTTGAGTGACAAGTTAAAAAGTGCAGTAGCAGCGTCCTTTTTACCTCTGATTGTCCCAGTCCTCAAGAGATCCACTAGAGGAGGAATCCCATTTAAGCAACCGATCATCACCTTGTTCTCATCGAGCATTGACAGGCTAAAGAGTGTCGCAGCAGAGTTCTCCCTAGCCTCATCTGTCCCGTTCTGCAAGATTTCAATGATAGTGGGAATGGCTCCTTCTCTGGCTATGAGTCTTTTGTTCACCTCATCAAGCGACAAGTTTAACAAAGTTGTGACTGTGTGTTCCTGGATCTTGGAATCTGGGTACAACAGGAATTTAATCAAAGGCGGTATTGCTCCCATGTTGGCTAGCAAAATTCTATTATCGGGATTTTCCTTGGAGAGCATGCGGATCTTCACAATGGCTTCTCTCTGGATGTCTAGCTCACGCGAGGATAGATTTTGGACCAAGGACGATATTTCCTCTGTGAGTGCAATCGATGAGTTGTCACAACCATCATAAATATCCTTTCTGGGCAGTTCAAAGTTGTTATTTTCACACCATTGCAGAATAAGGTTGCGGAGAGCGAAGTTTGGTGCTAGAGACATGTGTGCTAAGCTTTGTCCGGTCTTTGGGCAGGTCCGGTGATTTGAATTTAGCCACTTCTGTATGCTCTCTCTTTCGTATGTCTACGAAATTGGCAGCAAAAGTGTATTAGCTCCACACCACAAACATAAACAACAATGTCCTAAATATACTTAAAATATTAAAAGAAGTTTAATATTTTTGGTCAACTTAGTTCCTTGAAGAAATTTTCTTCATTTAATCATTTTGATTGTTGGGTTTTTATGATGACCATGATAAGAAATGAAATTGATACTCAGAACCAAAATTTTAGATCAACGAAGTGCCAAATTTAAAGAAAAATAAATCAATTTTTACCTGTCCAGTTGCAACAATAACAGGATCTGTCATTATCTCCAGAGTTATTGGACAGAGAAATTCATTTGGGATTAACAAGGACCGACACTTTTCTAAACTTCTTGACACAGGATTATCAAGCACAGATATTTCCTCTATCCCAGCAATGTGTATGAATTTTTCCAAAAGATCTACAATTTTCTTGTTGCTTTCTACAGTATGGGCTCCCTTCTTGTTAACTAATTTTCTAACAGCTATGGTTTCTGTCTTTAAGTCTGCAATAGTATGAAGCTCCAATTTTATAGCAAGCCTTTCTAGTATTGCATTGTCTGCATTCCGGTCATCGTTTTCAGAAAATACAACCATCATATCCATTGCTAGTTCTATGTCCTGGGTATCAGTCCTCCTCTTTGCTCTTTTGAGTTGCATGCACATTAGCTCAACCTGAGAAAATGGGCAATATAGAATCAAGAAAGTATTTTAGAACTTTTTATGACAAACATCTAGAATAAGAAGAACCAACAACCTTCTACAGGAAACACCCAATTCTTTGAAAAGCTTTTGCCTGAAGAAAACCATCTTCATTTAACTGTTTGAAGTTCCAAAAAACAGATAAGTTGTGTCTGGTAATTTTCTAAGATTATTGTACGGGTGAAAAATAAAAATGAAAACCATCTCAAACAAAGCAAATATTTTGGGTTAATTACACAACATTCCAGTGTATACCATCTGTCACACTTTAATTCTCAATCTTTAATTTACTATTATTTGTTTTTATCATTTTAATCTCCAAAGTGTGTGATCCGTTATACTCTAATCCTTGACGTTAGGAAGGAGGGCATTTTTCCTCCACCCTGATTAGCATTTCTGTGTGAACCCTTATGCTTGGTTGAGGATTTGAGAAAGGATTTGAAAAGAAAAATAGAAAAGGTTGGTGAAATGTGAAAAAAATATACACACATCTCACATAGTTTCACACACTTTTTTCCTTTCCCTTTTTAAATCCCCCAAATTCCACAACCAAACACAAACATAATGATTATCTTTCAAGGCCAAGTTAATTCCATGAAGTTGAGCACATAATATGAAAACTAACAATAGTGGAATAAAATTGAAATTGGTGGTTATGAACTCACAAAGACAAAAGAAACTACTTTACTATCTGTGAAGGTGCAAAATCCCAATAACTATGAAATACAGATACAATTAAGAACAAAAGGAGAAAACATTACTTGCTCTTTCACTTCTTCTGAGATCCCAAGCTTCTCATAAGGCATGTCATCCAATGCCTGGTTTAATTTGTCATAAACACCATGAAATCTACTCATCACTGCCTCACTCTCAAATGTCTACAACATGCATTTCATAATTGAAAAAAAAAAAACAAAAGATGGGTATTATGAGATCTCAATGAAAACCAACACACACACACACACACACATATATATATATAGAGAGAGAGAGAGAGAGAAGATAACGAACCATGGCTAGCTAGGATTTGATCGTCCTTCAAGATCCGACCTTTGCAAATCAACCTCTGCTGATCAGTCGGAACGTCGCAATTCTGAACGAGAAGAGCTTTGAACGCCTCAACAGTCGCCTGGAGGCTTGTCCGAACAGAGAATTTGGATCCATTGGAGCATCGAATGTTAAGAGTGACTACCTCTTCACCACTACCAACGCCCAAACTCGACTCGGTTGTCTCGCTTTCCGCACCCATTTCCCAGATCAATCAAACAAGCAAAGAAACAAATCTATGAAAAAAGGGACGCAAAAACCCTAACCCTAGAAAGAATCAGAGTCTCTCCTCCTCATCAATGCTCCTCCTCTTCAATGTACGATTTATCTACTAATATTTCTCCTTCTATTCAAATGAAATTAAAAACCTGTAGAGCGAGAGAGACATATATTAAGCCCGATTAAAAATTACATTATTATAATAAATATTTCGTCCGTCTTTAAATGTTAATTTTTTATTTTATTTTTTATTATTTTAAAAAATATATTTTTTTTAAATAAGAATAAGGACTAAAATAATATAAATTTTTATTATATTCTTATTTTAAATTTATTAACAACACAAAAGTATAATTATGACAATTAATATTTTTAAAAATATATATTATCAAAGAATAATTTTTAAAAATTATATTTTTAAAATACAACAATTATGTTATTAAAAAAAATAAAATTTACAAAAAAAAACTATTATTTTAAAAGAAAGGAAATAGATAATTTTTGTAAGAAATGAGCTCAAACTAATGCTAATGATCGCTCAACACGGTTGTCATTAATTTTTATTTTTAAATTTATTATTCATTAAATTTTATTAATAAATTTATTAAGTGATAAATTTATGGGTAAATCACATTTACCTCTCCTGAGATTTCTGACAAATATATGATCTCTCTTGTGGTTTGAATAATTACAGTAATCTCCCCTACTTCACCTGACAATATCAAGATTCTCCCAAAATTTGATAGCCGTTTATACACCTAACAAACTCCGCTGATGTCATCAAATATAAGCACTAAAATGCCTATAATGCCCTCAAGGGCCCAGTTCAAGAATTTTCCAGACTGTTGTTCTGTTGTAGAGAGGAAATTATCGAGGGATCCATTTTTCATTAACTCACATACCAGAAAATATTTAAAAAAATATATTTTTTACTTTAAAAATATAATTTTTATTTAAATATTTTATTTCATTTTGTAAATATTTTAATTTTTTAATTTTAATATTTTAAACTCAAAACACAACTTCACATTCAAATTATAACCAAACACATAACTCAAAACTCAATTTAAAAATTATTTAATCGAGAGATCCATTTTTCATGAACTCATATACCAGAAAATGTTTTAAAAATATATATATTTTTATATTTTAAATATATAATTTTTATTTAAATATTTTATTTCATTTTGTAAATATTTTAATATTTTAATTTTAATATTTTAAACTCAAAACACAATTTCACACTCAAATCTCTGACATGCATGTATGTCCATTTGTGCTTCTGTGATGTGTTTCAGTGTGGATGCTGATTGGCTGATTGCCACATGGTGATATCTCTATTGATGACACTGAGGACTTGTTTTTGCAAGTGATTTTTTTAGTCAAAAAATCACTAAAAAAATTAAAAAGTCAATAATTTATAAGAAAAAATTTAAAAAAAAAATTATTTTTTAAAATTATTTTTAGAATCATGTTTGAGTGTGGAGTCGTATTTTGAGTTATGAGTTTTGAAAAGAAAAAGTTTGATTAGTTATAAATTTTGAAATTTTTTGAATTAATTTTTTTAGGGTAAATATTAATATTTTAAATAGTTTTATTTATTTTAATGTGGATTATATATTATACATTTATGTGTTGTATTTTTTATTATTTTTAATATTAAAAATTTTTAAAAAAATTATTTTATTTTAAATATATAGTTTTTATTATAAATATTTTAAAATATTTTATTTTATTTTATGGTTGTGTTGGTCAGTCACGGGCAGCGATGTTAGCTTCAACAAAGGGCTTTTTCTTCTTTTTGCAGGCAAAAACAAAGGTAATATGGTCATTTCTTATAGGATACTAACATCGTTAGTGCAAAATAGACAGAACAGGAGAATCTTGTCATTGTCAGGTAAAGTAGGGGAGGCTACTATAATTATTTAAAACACAAGGGAGGTCCCTGTATTTGTCAGAAATCTCAGGGGAGGTAAATGTAATTTACCCTAAATTTATTAGTCTTTTTTATTTTTATGAATAATTTATAATAATAAATTTATCAATACAACATGTAGATAAATAAACCTAATTAATATGACTGATTGGTGAGTGTCTCATACTTTTTTTTTATTATTATTATGTATATATATACAAAAGAAACTTATAAAAATATCAAATAAAAACTATAGTAAGTAGAAGAAATAAGGGAAAATTATAGTACAATAGAATAGAAATTTTTTTTTTATAAAAACATGTAAGATGTAAGTAATTCTATGATAGGGTACAAGCGAAAAGTTGTAGAAGCATTGCACCCCTTCATGTTTGTGTACAAAATAATTTTCTGTCCCACTAACATGTAATTCCCCCAAAATATAATTAAAAATAGATGAAAGATCAAAACTAATTATTGTAAGATTTAGAGCATCCCCACTAGATTACTTATATTTTACCCTAAAATATTATTAAAAAATTTATTTCCTATTTTAAGAATCACTTTTTCATCTACTTCTCTCAACAGACTCCCTATTATTTCTCTATTCTATTAACAAATTTTATATTTTTCTCTATTATATTAAAATATAATTTTTCATTATAAATTTTAAAAAAAAATAAAAATCATAAATGTGTACTACAATCCCTAAACAAAGCAAAGCAATATATATATATATATATATATATGGGTGCTACAGTGAATCCTTGCAAATAGGGAGGCACTGCAGCAATTCCCATTTTAGAGGAGTGTTTAAGGGAGCTACTGCAAGTGTATAAGGGCCATCAAACCCCTTAAAATAGATAAGAATGAGATATAAGGGTTCTATTAGGGATGCTCTTAAACGAATTTGATAAATATAAATATTAAAAAGAATGTTTTTTTTGGTCAAAAAAAAGGTAATCATATGAAATAATGAGTGCATTTTATTTATTTTTAACCAAATATATCATTTGAGGAAAAAAAAATGCATTTCAAAAATTCAAACAGATAATTGCAACAAGTCCCTTCTCACCTTCCTCTATTGCCCAACCCCAATATATTTTCTCAAGCGCCAAAAAAAATAAAAATTAAAAATTAAAAATTGAGAGGGAATGATAGAATGAGTGGAGAGTATTTGAGGGTAGCATTGATTGGAGAGCGTCGCAAGGGATTGGTGATGGTAGTCGGTTATGGTAGGTAAGGTAGAGGTGGGATTATAGTTTAGGCCCCGTTTGTTTGAGATTATAGAGAGGGGATTGAGACTACTAATACCTTAGTATTATTAATACCTTATGGTCATGTTTGTTTGGGTGGACATGAGCTTGGGATTGGACTAATAGTCCAATAAAATTATTAATCCGATATTTGGTTAAACAATTGAACTACGGACTAATTATTTTAAACTTAACTATTAGTTAAGATAGGATATATAATCCAATGGATTTGTAGTCCTAGGACTATTAGTCATGGGAATGCTAATCCAGTCCGCCCAAACAAACATGGCCTATTTGTTTTTGAGAGATGGTCTTGGGACTACTAATACCTTGGTATTACTAATCCCTTGGAAGAGGGATTCATTAGTGAGGAGGTAGAGATGGTATTAGAAAAATATTTATATTTTTTTATTTGTTTTATTTTTTTATATAAAAATAATTTAACAATTTCTCACTATTAATCCCCTCACTATCAATCCTCTCACTAACAATCTCCTCACTATTAATCTCATCACTATCAATCCGCTCCATTCTATCTCTGAAAGCAAACAGAGCCTTAAGAGATTGAGAATAATTTTTATTGTTAGAAAGGTGTCCAAAGAAATTTCTTAAAATTTAATTTTTGAGATTGGAATAGGGAGCTAAAGAAAAATGGTGAAAGCTATTAGCAGAACCTAAAAAAAATTATAAAAAAAACATTATATATATATATATATATATATTTTCTTTCATTTTCTCTCTTTCTCTTCCGCGCTCCTATCTCTTTTTCTTCCCTCACCCACCCTCTCTAAGGTTGTCCCTCTTTCTACAACCAACTAGTCCACCCTTACCTTATGTTGGTATTTTTTAATAATAAAACATGAAAAATATATAAAATAACTTAAATATAAATGCCAAAATATTTTTTTTTATATTTAAAGAATGAAATACAAAATAAAATACACGACTAAAAATACAGAAATAAATTAGATATCATTACTAATAGAACAAAATATTACACATAGATAACTAAATATTAGAACTCATCTTTGTAAATTAAATTTTTGAAAAAATAAGAACAAATGATAAGAAAAGAATCAAATTGAAATCTACACTAAATAATTTTTTTAAAACAAATTCACCGCCTCCTGATAGATATTGGAGGTACGCCAACGTTTGTTTCTCAGGATACGACGGTCGAAACCAACTAATATAGAAACACTTTCTGAATAGTTTCGACAAACTTGATAATAGTTGCACTCTCTCTAACAAGAACCAAAGAAATGACTAGCAAAAGAAGATAGGAAAAATTTTATTTGGTAAAAAAAAAACATCTCTAACTGTTTATCTCGAAACACTATCTCCATTTTTTATTAAAATCTCTCCAAAATTATCCGATTAAGTTGGAGAGGAAAAGTATCTATTTATACAAGTAGGATAATCCTTAACCATGAAGGCTGTACATCAATAGAGCCATCAAATGCTATTAACCAATGTTATCGACTCTTAGCCATTAGGACTAGAGTTACAAAGATTGAAAACCTATAGTCACTAATATGGTCATCAACTCCATTATCAAAAAATGAAAGTTACAAAAGTCTAAACCTCTCTTGTGCTTAAAATATACAAATAAATATGTATATAATGATGGTTGAATAAACCAACTAAATGGATTACAAAATGAATACTAATGTTAAGTCACAACTTGATCTAAGCTCAATTCTCAAACACATGTTCATGCTAAGCCCAACACAATATAACTTAGCTCAAACTCAAGAGTAAGTCTAAGTCCAAGTCTAAGTTCAAGTCCAAACTCAGCATATGCACAAGTACAAGTGTAGGTCCAGTCCAAACCAAGATTACATCTAAATTTAAACCCAATTTGATATTTATTTTATGAGACAATTCTCATTTACCTAATAGTTTTGGCTCATTATTTTTATATTACAACCTTCTCACTTAAGAGAATACAAAACCACTTCGACTCACCTCAACCGACAGTTAGATCCTACTTTAATTTTGAATTAATTGTTTTCCAACACCTTCCTCTACCCTCTCTAATCCCCTCCTCCCCCTACTCCTGCTTACCTCAAGTCGCTTTCACTGCCAACTATAACTTTTAACAAATTACTAAACATGATTTTATTTTATTTTTATATGTTTTAAAATATAAAATACACATAGCAAACATGTTTTTATTTTTTATTTTATAAAAATATAATATAAAATAAGAAATTCAGTTTGTTATCAAACAACACCTAAACGAATAGGTTTAGATAGGATAGATTGAATTGCCTTATTCGACCAATTTGTTGGGTATACCTCCTTATTGGAGTGTGAGACCCAATTGATTTATTAAAAGAGTTTTAATTTGGCTTGGTTTAGTATAATATATTTTTATATATTATATTTGAGGAGACCAAAAATATAATATAAAATAAGAAATTCAGTTTGTTATCAAACAACACCTAAACGAATAGGTTTAGATAGGATAGATTGAATTGCCTTATTCGACCAATTTTGTGATGATGCTAGTGTGGGGTGACTGGTTAGTTTGCCATGACAGCACAAAACATGATCTTCTTGGTCGGGCAATGTGATCTTCTGTCATCAATTCCCCCCCACGTTATGCCAGCTGATGATTGAAATCGGTGACAAATTTGAGAGGTCCACTTTCGCATCATCCATTGAAGACCCTCCACTTCTTAGGACCACTACCAGCTATCCACCAACTGACTAATCAATATCCTGATTTAAGAGAACATTATTATTATTACTATCGTTATTTTATTTTTTGGGCAAAGGAGAAGGGGGAGGGGATAGGAAAAGAGTTTGGACTGCAAAAGGAAACAAACTAGTCGAGTTTGCCTCTTGTTTTGCTCGTTAAAATCTTGTTTGAGAGGAACTTTATTATGTAAACAAATTAAGTTTGAGTCTATTTTGAAACTCATTAAGTTTTGCCAACAAAGCTTGAACAACTTACTGCTTGACTCATTTATAGCCCTAGAAAGAGGATCCTGAGCCTCAAATGTGAGTGTTGCGCTTGGCTGACCCCTTGCCCCTACAAGTTTGGTGCTAATGAAGATTCCAATATAAGAAGTGTCACTACCACAACTGATGAATCAAAATATGACACAACCCACATACCAGTAGTTTCTCTACAATTTCAGAACATGTACATGAAGAAAATTCAACAATACAATACTCAAAGCTCCATTGGGCAGTATCTGCACTTCTAGAACTGTACTGAACTTTGATGTGAAATTTTACTAAATGGATTATAGTGACTTATTTGTTTATTATTTTTTGTTTGCAAACCTGGGAATATGTTCACAGTTACTCATATGTTGTAACAAGGAGTTTGCTTTCCTCTGGGCTCTACTTGTCCCACATCTAGCAATCTCTGCCAAATGGTCATACACACCATACTGAAGCGCAGCCAACACGAAAGATGAATTCTTCAATCCCAACTCAAGAAGAACCGCCGTAGCACATTCCTTGTTCTTGGGGGTCCCAACTCTTATAATTTCAACTAGAGTTTCAATAAGCGCTAGCTTTCCAATTTCATTTCGTCCTTCAGGATGCGATGCCAGGAGTAGCAAAATCGAGAGTGCTTCATCCACCATACCCAAGTTCTTATCTTCAAGTAAATGAAGTAATGGTGGTACGATACCCGCCTTAATGGCTCTGGACTTGTTAAGCATGTTGAGTGACAAGTTAAAAAGTGCAGTAGCAGCGTCCTTTTTACCTCTGATTGTCCCAGTCCTCAAGAGATCCACTAGAGGAGGAATCCCATTTAAGCAACCGATCATCACCTTGTTCTCATCGAGCATTGACAGACTAAAGAGTGTCGCAGCAGAGTTCTCCCTAGCCTCATCTGTCCCGTTCTGCAAGATTTCAATGATAGTGGGAATGGCAAAGATTAAAAATTACTTTGGGTACCTCAATGAGTAAGAAATAGCGAGTTTGGGTGGTACTATATCTCCAAACAAAGCTGTTTACTAGGCCATCTTCAGTATAACTCTTCTAACAACCTTTCCCAGATACATTCCTGAAATGAGCTTTTCGAAGATCTGGTTACCCGGATTTGAGCTTTCAGCATCTAAAGAAGCATCAAACTCGGTTAATGGAAGATGGGAGGAACGTCGAAGAAGATGATAGCGACGCAGGCGGAGATGGTGGAAGCGAAGGTCCCAAAAGCATACAGAGAACAGTGCGCACACCTGCTGATACCCCTCAACAAGTGCCGCCAAGCCGAGCTATACCTCCCATGGAAGTGCGAGATCGAGCGTCACTCCTACGAGAATGTATGCTCTCTCTTTCGTATGTCTACGAAATTGGCAGCAAAAGTGTATTAGCTCCACACCACAAACATAAACAACAATGTCCTAAATATACTTAAAATATTAAAAGAAGTTTAATATTTTTGGTCAACTTAGTTCCTTGAAGAAATTTTCTTCATTTAATCATTTTGATTGTTGGGTTTTTATGATGACCATGATAAGAAATGAAATTGATACTCAGAACCAAAATTTTAGATCAATGAAGTGCCAAATTTAAAGAAAAATAAATCAATTTTTACCTGTCCAGTTGCGACAATAACAGGATCTGTCATTATCTCCAGAGTTATTGGACAGAGAAATTCATTTGGGATTAACAAGGACCGACACTTTTCTAAACTTCTTGACACAGGATTATCAAGCACAGATATTTCCTCTATCCCAGCAATGTGTATGAATTTTTCCAAAAGATCTACAATTTTCTTGTTGCTTTCTACAGTATGGGCTCCCTTCTTGTTAACTAATTTTCTAACAGCTATGGTTTCTGTCTTTAAGTCTGCAATAGTATGAAGCTCCAATTTTATAGCAAGCCTTTCTAGTATTGCATTGTCTGCATTCCGGTCATCATTTTCAGAAAATACAACCATCATATCCATTGCTAGTTCTATGTCCTGGGTATCAGTCCTCCTCTTTGCTCTTTTGAGTTGCATGCACATTAGCTCAACCTGAGAAAATGGGCAATATAGAATCAAGAAAGTATTTTAGAACTTTTTATGACAAACATCTAGAATAAGAAGAACCAACAACCTTCTACAGGAAACACCCCATTCTTTGAAAAGCTTTTGCCTGAAGAAAACCATCTTCATTTAACTGTTTGAAGTTCCAAAAAACAGATAAGTTGTGTCTGGTAATTTTCTAAGATTATTGTCCGGGTGAAAAATAAAAATGAAAACCGTCTCAAACAAAGCAAATGTTTTGGGTTAATTACACAACATTCCAGTGTATACCATCTGTCACACTTTAATTCTCAATCTTTAATTTACTATTATTTTTTTTATCATTTTAATCTCCAAAGTGTGCGATCCGTTATACTCTAATCGTTGCCGTTAGCAAGGAGGGCATTTTTCCTCCACCCTGATTAGCATTTCTGTGTGAACCCTTATGCTTGGTTGATGATTTGAGAAAGGATTTAGAAAGAAAAATAGAAAAGGTTGGTGAAATGTGAAAAAAATATACACACATCTCACGTAGTTTCACATACTTTTTTTCCTTTCCCTTTTTAAATCCCCCAAATTCCACAACCAAACAACCAAACACAAACATAATGATTATCTTTCAAGGCCAAATTAATTCCATGAAGTTGAGCACATAATATGAAAACTAACAATAGTGGAATAAAATTGAAATTGGTGGTTATGAACTCACAAAGACAAAAGAAACTACTTTACTATCTGTGAAGGTGCAAAATCCCAATAACTATGAAATACAGATACAATTAAGAACAAAAGGAGAAAACATTACTTGCTCTTTCACTTCTTCTGAGATCCCAAGCTTCTCATAAGGCATGTCATCCAATGCCTGGTTTAATTTGTCATAAACACCATGAAATCTACTCATCACTGCCTCACTCTCAAATGCCTACAACATGCATTTCATAATTGAATAAAAAAAACAAAAGATGGGTATTATGAGATCTCAATGAAAACCAACACACACACACACACACACATATATATATATATATACATATAGAGAGAGAGAGAGAGAGTTGACCAGATAAATCTTGCTTCCATGGCTACAAGTACTCAACAGTTTCTTTGCATAACGGAGTGCCTTCTTCAAATTAGCCAAACAATTCAGTGCCTCATCAGAAATTGGTGTATGGAGCTGCTGGTCTTTAAGCTCTTCTAAAAGAGGCACCAACAGTTTTAACCTCCTCACAAGATTCAAACACTCTTTTCGCTGAGTCCTTCGATAGCTCACAAAGGATCCCAATGTCTCAATCACTTCCATCAATTCCTTCACCACATCACTCTCACTCTCCATTCACTTCAAATTCCGGGGAATAAAAATATGGGATTTTCTTGGCAGATGGGATTCTGAGTGTCAAACAAGCAGAGAGAGAGAGAGCAAAGGGAGAAGATTAAGCGGAAATTTCGGGTAAGATTCGATCATAAAGGAAAGTGTTTTTGAGAAGCAGTTAGTCAGTAGTACTAAGGTGTGTTACAACGGGCGATTACGCGGTTTTTTTTGCATTGGGATTTGCACAATGCACACTACTGCAAACGCGTATTCACATGGACTGTTTGCCGTTGATTGATTCCGTTGGTCACTGCTGGGTCCCATTTATTTTATTTTTTTCTCGGATTTTTCCGGCCTAGAAAATTTAGCGGTGGAGCCAGCCCTGTTTTAGGTTAAGTCCAAACAGATGATGAAAATTTGTTATTAAAAAAAAAAAAAAAGTGATGGAAGTTGCAAAGTATCAGCATCGGCTCCGGCCATACTTTGAAAATGGTGCCTAAGCTTGCTTATGGGCCAAGTACGTTGGGAATTTTTTTTGGGTTGTCAAAACTTTTAAGTCAGACTTTGTTAAGACTTAGCCCAGACAAGTTGGCAGGCTCGATGATGGGTCATTTTTTCATGGAAGTTGTCAAACTTTAAAAAGTATACTTTTTTGTGTTTATTTTATGTCAGGCAGTTGGGCCAATGGGCTATCGCTCACAACCCGATGTATGGCCTCTTATGGTCCAATAGACCAAGTCGAATTTCAAACCTTTAGGCTTTGGCTAACCCAAGCCTCATTCAAGTTGGACCATTCCACAAGATACATGCTTGCTTGGACTAGGTACAAGCCCGCTGGACCATGAGCCTTTGAACCAAATGTTATGACTTTTAAGTGCACTAGTCTTGAGATGTTGTGTGGAACTCAATTCTACATTTATGTCTATTAAATGTGTACATTTATGTGCATTAACTTTTGTTAAGATGACATCATTTTGTTTTTGTGGTGGTACTATCTGTATCAATTAGTGTATTAACTAGTGTACCAACATATGTTATGACATTATTATTGAACACACTCATTATACAAATTACAAATACTCAAAATCTCTTAAATTATGTCATATTATCAATTGATACACTAGTTAGTATACTAATTGATGCATATAGCATTATTCTTTTGCTTTTAAACTTGTAGAATATTTTTTGATAGATGTTGAGAATTATAGTATAATTTAGAAAAAAATAACAAATTAGTGATACTTTTAAAAAATAATTATAGATTTATGGTAAACTATAATAATTAAAGTTATAAATTTTTCTATGAATTTGTCATTTTTTTAGAAAAATATCACTGTCTTCTAATTTTTTATATAATTTACAAAATTTGTGTTCTTATAGAATTTGATAAAAACTGCTGAAAATGATAAGTTGTTATGAATTTTTCTAAACACATTGGAAAAGTGTTATTAGTGATAACAACATATCTGACTAATATCATAATTTTGACGAGAATAGTACGTTTAGTGATATAAGAGTTATTTCTTTTAATGTATGTTTGTTTATTGTATTTTTAGCGATATAAGGTTTATTTCTTTTAATGTATGTTTGTTTATTTCACTTTTATTTAGAGTCGATAATAACACTCATCTACTTAAGATTTCTATTTCTTTAGATAGTCATACACCTAAATTGCTTCCCTTTTTATGTAAAGATTTTTACAAAATAAAATACAAATGTGAGGGAGTAATATAATGGCTAAACATATAATATAATTTACCCAAAACTATAAGAAAGGAAGAGAAAATAGGAAAGCGAAGCTAGTCCTGAGTGGCTAAGAGCGTCCACGGTTCGATGCTCCTCCAATAGTCCAACCCCCAAACCTTCCAAAAAGTGGTAATTTTGAAAGCAAAACTCACGCGCTTATGCAAAATTAACCGTTAAACAGACCAACGCAACTTTTCGTATTCATTTAGATCAACGGCCACACTCACATAAAACTTAGATCAGACGGCCACTGCTCACTAGCCGTTAATTTCAAAACTCACGTACCCCTTTTCTACGTCTTTTATTCGCTGTTCATTTCTTTTCCATTTATTTATGATTCTCATAATTCGATAGCGCCTGCTAGATTATTAAAAACCCAAATATTAAATATATATTTATATATATATATATATAGAGAGAGAGAGAGAGAGAGAGAGAGAGGGACTCGAAGATATATATGATTCGATATATTTTCTGGGTTTCTTCGGAGTTCGAAGTTTAGAGATTGAAGTTTGGGCTCTGCAGCTTGAATCTATTTGATTGAAAGTGATACAGAGGTCTTCTATTTTTGGAGAATTCTTTTTTTTCTTTGAATGAATGATCTTGGTTTTGTTGTTCATCATCAGATCCTCTTCATCTTCTTTTTCTTTGAATGAATGATCTTGGTTCTTCAAACGTTCCTAGAATTGGGCTTTGTTTTTTGTAGGTTGGTCTTGAAGCAAATCAAAGATGGGTGGATCAAATGAGAACAATGGACCTGCTGCCATTAAACCCTCAGACTCTCAAGGTAAGATTCAGTACGAACATGAAATTTCCTCACTCTTCTTTCCAATCTCTGATCAAGTAGTCTAGATCGAACACAATCCATTCAGCTGTAATTTTGTAAGAATTTTCTTGTTCTTTCTCTCTGAATTCAAAAGAAGGTTCAAGAATGGTGGGATTTCAGAGGTTTCAGCAGCAGAAGTTAAATAACCGCAGAAGGGCTCTCAGCAATATAAATCAGAATATTTTAGGACCTACCAACTACCCTTATGTGGTCAACAAAAGAGGATCCTTGGAGTAATTTCCACAATCTTAATCTGAATTATGCCAATACTAATTTTTTCAACAATTTCTTCTTCTTTTGTAAACTAAATTGGTTGTTAAATGTTTAGGAAGGATGTAAAGGGGGAGAAGAAAACTGTGGTGCCACCACCCGGACCAATTACAAGGTGGGGAATTCAATCTTTTAGTGTTTTCTCTTCTATTTGGATTTTGTTCCTCAGTTCTCTTCTTCTTTTTAAATTAAGATCGATATTCTTTGATGTTTCCTTAGGAAGTCTGCAGAACATAAGGAACTAACCGCGACATCATTGAATCCAAATGGGATGGAAGATTGTGCAATCACAGACATGGGACAGTGTGAGGAAGCTACTTATGATCTGGTCCCAATTTTTGTGAGGCACACAGAGGCCATGATGGATGAAATTGATCGGATGGTATGTGCATCTGAAAATTATAATTTTACTGTTACTGAGTTGGGTTTCTATAAATAATGATGTGTGTGACAGAATATCACATCATGAATTCTGTAGGTGGAGGTTGAAATGGAAGATGTTGATGACGATGATGACACAATTCTAGATATCGACAGCAGTGATATCAAAAATCCTCTTGCAGTTGTTGAGTACGTTGAAGACATATATGCTCACTACAGAGAAACTGAGGTGAGTTAACACTAACCATTGGCAACATACTTTCTTTTGGGAGGAACTTGAACCCATGAATTTATGCTAGGAATGTAGTTTGATATGTTTAAATTGTTAAACCACATTATACAAACACTGCAAACTAGACCTTTAAATCAAATCATACTTCTTCGACTATGCAGTTGCTTTGTTAGGCAATCAAACATATAAATTTGTCCCAACTATGTATATGATTTTAGCATATTAAGAGTACATTATACTCTCCAATTGAGTTGATAAATTGATATCTCATACCTCTTTTGATCTAAATCAAACACACACATAACCCTCTCTTGGTTGCCACCTCAAGTGAGTAGAAGAAAGATCAAAGAAGGAAAACAAGCATTCAAGTCCTGTCGCTAGCATATTTAGTGTGAACTAAAGATGTAGAAGTCAAGTCACCACGACAAAACACCGAAAGCACATTCTCGAGCCTCCTCCAGCTTATAGATTTTGACTTCATCTTCTCTCTCTCTCTCTCTCCTTTGTCTTATCCCATTGTAAATGTGTATATACATAGTTATGTCACCACCATTGTTGTAATATAGAATCATATAATTATGTAATCAAGTATTCAGTAATCTTCTCTCTTTTCTTCTCCCTTTATATATTTATCCAACATGGTATAAGAGTTATAAGGTTTAGGCCAGTGTCTTCTACAGTGGTCCGATACGACAGTGTCTTCTACAACGTTCTAACATGACCATATAGTGTCTTCTACAATGGTCTGAAACGACCATACAGTGTCTTACGACATTAGCTCCAGCTTCTATCTCAAGCGTACTGACACGGCCATTACGGCATTAGCTTTGGCCTCTATCTCAAGTGGTCTGACATGACTATATAGTGTCTACGGTGTCTTCTGCCATTAGCTCCAGCCTCTGTTCTATCTCAAGCGCCCCTGCGCTCCCATTCGGACTTTGCAATCTATTTGCTTCAGATCTATCCTATTTTATTTTAATTTTAGTTTATTTTCACGTTTTGTTTTCTCTCTCCAAACTCAAGTTGGTTGATACTTATCCTACTTGAGTTTGGGGAAGGGGGTGTTAGCATATTTAGTGTGAACTGAAGATGTAGAAGTCAAGCCACACGACAAACCACTGAAAGCACCTTCTCGAGCCTCCTCCCGCTTACATATTTTGACTTCATCTTCTCCCTCTCTCCTTTGTCTTATCCCCCTGTAATGTGTATATATATATAGTTGTGTCACCACCATTGTTGTAATATAGAATCATATAATCATGTAATCAAGTATTCAGTCATTAATACAATCTTATCTTTTTCTTCTCCCTCTATAGATTTATCTAACACCTGTGACGTAATTTCCAGTACATGGAAAACTCACCTCAAGTATATGCCACATTGGCAATTTTTGTTTTCAGCATAATGAAAAGTGAGAACTGAAGATTTTGACATTTAGTCTTGGTTTCTTTGCCTTTTCAACCATTTTATTCTTTTCAAAGGAGAGCAGTAAATGAGATACAGTACTTGTTTTTGATGCGCTAAAAAAAGTTATCTAAATAAATAGCCAGCCAGGATGGGTTGGTTAAGGAAACAAATTTCACCATCAGTTACAGTTAGTATTGGATAATGAGATGATCTAGATGGGGTTGGAAGGAGTGAGAAAAAAAAAATGACCTCTAAAATTTATTTGTGCCATGAGTGATTGACCAAACAAGTCATCTTATGGCAGGACTCTGCTCGTGTCTCTCGAAATTATATGATGCGTCAATTTGACATCAATGAGAAGATGAGAGCCATACTCATTGATTGGCTTATTGAGGTATGTGATTTTGGACTTGATTACCCTTTATTTGTAGGCACAAATATATATTACCATTGTGCTAGGCATTACAGATTCATATTTTTCTAGTGCGCAAATGGCTAACTGGACTTGATCATATTAACAGGTGCACTACAAGTTTGAGCTCATGGAGGAGACATTGTTCCTCACTGTCAATCTTATTGACAGGTTTTTAGAGCATGAAACTGTGGTCAGAAAGAAGCTTCAGTTAATTGGCGTGACAGCTTTGCTTTTGGCATGCAAATATGAGGAGATTTCTGTACCACTTGTGGAGGATCTAGTTATCATATCAGATCAGGCTTATACGAGGAAGGAAGTTCTGCATATGGTATTTTGATATTTGAAAAAATACTCACTTGTTTCTTCCTTGAAAAACCTCTCTACAGTTGCAATATTTATTCAGATCTTTTGTGTGCCCCCCACAGGAGAAGCAAATGGTGAATGCACTGCAATTCAACATGTCAGTTCCAACCCCTTACGTTTTCATGAGAAGATTTCTCAAGGCTGCTCAATCTGACGAAAAGGTTAGTACTAGCTAGGACTATGGGAATTACCAAATTTAGGTAGAAGAGGAAAATTTATTGGCTTGTTTGGTTCTGTTTTCATTTTTTTTTTTGTTATTGTTGTTTTGTTTCCCAAAAAGGGGTTGTTTTTAGAAAATTTTCAAACAAGTTTTATGTGTCTTGGAACAATGCTGATGATGGTATTGTAATGAAATGAATTCAGCTTGAGCTTCTGTCCTTCTTCATTGTTGAACTCTGCCTTGTGGAGTACGAAATGCTCAAGTTCCCACCTTCTTTGCTGGCTGCAGCAGCCATTTTCACTGCTCAGTGTAGTCTTCACAGGTCTAAGCAGTGGACTAAATCTGTTGAGTGGCACACCAACTACTCAGAGGACCAGCTTATGTGAGTTTTTTCATTTTTATCCCCAAATTACACAGATTATAACGGGTACTACAGGATAATAAATGCCGTGTTTGTTATATATGTTTTCTGACAGGGATTGCTCGCGACTGATGGTTACTTACCATCAGAAAGCTGGAACAGGGAAACTCACTGGCGTATACAAGAAATACAATTTGTGCAAGTTTGGGTGCATGGCTAAAGCTGAACCAGCTCAATTCCTCTTGGATCTTTAGTTTGTCAAGCATGACGGTTGACATTAAATGTAACTGGGGCAACTGAGAAATTTGTGTGTGCAACTGAGCAGCACAAGTTGCCGTGGGGATTTTATTGAAGCTTTTGAGTCTTGTAACTCTACTAACTTAGTGGGGTTTCTCAATTTCTGTATGTTTTCTATGTTGAACTTAGTTTCAAACAGCTTTTATGGCCTTTTTGTGTGATATTTCTTTCCGGAGTAATATGAATGTGGTATGATTTGCATGAAATGAGTATTTTTTTGTTATAATCTTCTCCCTCTCTACAGACTTTGTTAATTTTCCATTATGAAATCAAGTGCCTTGATCTAACCAAAAAAAAAAAAAAGCACCAAAAGAACACAAGCTGCACTTTAAGCTGATAAATATCAACCAATGTTACTAAGGAGTGAATAATTCCCAAAGGAGAGGGTCCTCTTTTTAAATTTCTTTATTAAACATTCACAATCATGAAAAAAATATCTTGAAGACGATCATGAAAGATTTTTCACTTTTGAATTACACATACAATAAAACACGACACACTAATTAAGGGATGAAAAATTTTCAGGATGCATTTCATGATATATTTTTCATGATCCATAACATTATTCTTCACGATTATTGAAAGAGTGCATATATTTTTTTTCCAAAATTTTCACGTTGTTCAACAATTATGAATAATTTTAGCCAAGAAACAAAAAAACTTTTGAAACAAAAGACGGCAGCGTTATTATTATTGGTAAAGGCCTCGTTTGTTTTGGGAGATAAAAGAAGATTGTGATTGAGATGGAGGTGGATAATCCCCTTCGGATTAGGATGGGTCTTGGGGAGGGAATTGAACATTAATATGTAGTTTTTTGTTAAGTAAAAATCATTATTTTATTTGTTTTTACTTTATTTATTTTTTATTTTTTACATGTTAGGCATTTTTTTAAAACAATATTTAATGTTTTTGTATTTTTTTATTATTTTATATTTATTTATATAAAAATAATTTAACAATTTCTACACTAATAACTATCATAAAAATAAACACAATTTTACTTAATTTCTCACTAACAATCCTCTCCATTCTACCTATTCGAGCCCTTATAAGAAAATTTAGCTAGCAAAAATGGTTGGTTACATCGGTGAAAACCGAACACAATAAACAAGTCAAAACGACGTCGGATGAATGCCAATAGATAAAACAGAGACAGAGACAGAGAGAGAGAGAGCAGACCAGCAAAAAAGAAGAGAGGAGGGGAGTCGAGTCGTCTGAGAAATGGAGAACAAGGCGATTCTGAGAGAATGGTTCGACCGAGTCGACTCGGACAAAACTGGAAGCATCACCGCTGCTCAGCTCAAGGTTCGTCCCTCTCTTCCAACTCACTTCAATACCCTAACACAATTATGCCTCTCTCTCTCTCTCTCTCTATTGGATTTTAAGAAAACGAAGATGTTTGTGGATGATCAGAGTGCTCTTGCCGTCGGAAACCTAGAATTCCCTATCTCTGTTGTTCAACAGATGATCAGGTTCTCGTACTTGGTATTTGTATTGTGTTCTTGTCTTTACTCACACACACAGAGACACAGACACATTTTTGTGGGTTGTTTTTAGCTAATTGAGGTTTTGGGGGATATTTTGCAGGATGTATGACTTTGATAGGAATGGAACTATGAGCTTCGAAGGTAATCCAATCCACGATTTTGTCGACACTTGATGCCCATTTTTATCTGTCTACATTTTAATTTTAGGTCGGAGTTTGATTTCAGTTTTAAGCAGTTCTATCAAGTTTATGAATTCGCCTAAATTAGTGAATTTTGTTGGGCTTTTCATGCATAATATTACTTTTCCGTTTGTTTGGGCTTGGCTTGGCTTGATATAGCATATATTATAGTATATATTTTAGTATATATTGTATAGCTGTGATAGAACATAATTAGTGTGATATATTGTGTCCTTATTTTCTATTTCCTATTTTAGCTTGTAATTGATGTATAAATAGGCTTCCTGCTTATGAGATGAATACAGTGAACAAATCTTCTTTTCCTTACCAACTCTCTCGACAGATTGGATTGGCAGCTCGTGAATTTCTTTTGTAAATGAAAAAAAAGTTTATTTGGGTTTTCCATATAGTTTCTGCATATTGAACTAGGTGTTAGAAAAATTAAACACGATTTACTATTAGAATAAAAATACCAAACTAATAATAAACCAAAAGCAACAAATAAATTTTATTATTAGAGAGAAAGTTTAAAGAAGCTTGAATGGTGGTTGAGGCATGCGCTCTCCTTAGGAACAATACACTATTTTTTGCAACGAGTTGAATGGTGTTCCTCCCCCAAGATACGACCACCTTTGAATTCATGAACCTTAAATTGCCCAACACGCACTTGTAAACTCAATACAGTAAATTCACAAAATAAATAACAGAGCAGAAGAAAAGGAGAAGAAACACTTTTTATTTTTTATTTTTAGAAAACAACGTTGAAGTCTTATTATATACACAATTAAATAATCATAATTTAGATATTTAGGAGATATTGTAGGATAATCTAAAAGACTAGGAAGCTAATATAACGTTATAAACTAATTCCTAAAAAGATGCAAATATCAAATAAAATAAAATAAATAAAATATAATTTTAAAATTATAAAATAACAATCCTCCACATAATTTAAAATTGAAAAGAGTGTTTTTACAGCACATTGGGTGTAGGTGTCTTCCAGACTTGAACCTCCACTTAGTGATAATAAGTTTCAGTTTGAAGAAACCATAGTAAACAAAGTTTTGAACTAGGCCCTTGTGATCAAACATAGGCTTACCACACGCACAATATGGGCAATTATCATGGTTCTAGAACGGTTGTTAAACGGTCATGTGCATATATCTTGTTTCTACAAGTGTCTTTAGGGAGCAACCCAATTTTCCACAACAGCCACCCCACTGTCACACTTATATAGGTGTATCCTTTAAGGGTGATTTGTGACCAACACCCCATAGAAATCCTACCTTGGATACATTTAGAGCTAAGCTCTTCCTAAAACCCGTCGCAATAGTGAGCACTATCACCATAGGAATAGGACTAAGGAATTTTCCTCTAATATTTGTAGTGCTCTTCCAAGTCACCCATCAACTTCGTTATTACCTATTGAACCTTATTCATGGGATCTCCAATCACAAAGGTTAGGTATCTATCGTGATGACTAATTTATGGGTTTCAGTCCCATTCCCCTCGATGATTCAACAACTACCTCGCGCGCTAATCCTTTGGTAAAAGGTCTGCTATATTCTTTTCAGACCTCACAAAATCAAGTGCTACAACACCTTGAGATAATAACTGTTTAATAGAATTATGTCTTATTCTAATGTCTTTTTTTTTCTCATTTAAATTTGCATTTTTTGCTTTAGCAATTGTAGTTTAATTATCACAATGAATAGAGACAGCAAATATAAGACTATCAGATAATGGTAAATCAGATAATAAATTCCTTAGCCATTTGGCCTCGGTATAAGTCAAATTTAAGGCAATGAGTTCTGCTTCCATGGTAGATCTAGATATAACAGTTTGTTTAGAAGATTTAAAAGCTATTGCACCACCACCTAAAGTAAACACATAACTACTAGTTGCTTTAGTTTCATCAGATTCAGTTATCCAATTAGTATTACTAAATCCTTCTAGCACAACAAGAAATCCACAAAAATGAATTCCATAATTTATTGTACTTTTAATGTATTTAAAAATTCTTTCAATTGCATTCCAATGTTCTAAATTAGGATTAATAGTGTAATGACTTAGTTTACAAACAACAAAAGAAATATCAAGACTTGTGCAATTAGATACACCAAAGATCTTATTATTTGAGCATATTTATGTTGAGATATACTTTCACTCATATTTTTCTTTAAGCGAATATTAGGATCAAATGGAGTAGAGACAACTTTCGTATCACAATAATTAAATTTCTTTAGCAATTGGTCAACATAATGTTCTTGTGACAAAACAATTCCTTTATCACTTTTAATTATTTTAATACCCAATATAATATTAGCTGGGCCTAAATCTTTTATATCAAAATTGTTAGATAAGAAATTCTTAGTATCATTAATAACAACCAGTTTACTACCAAAAATAAGAATATCATCAACATATAAACAAAGAATAACACAAGCACCATCAAATTTTTTGATATACAGACATCTATCAGAATCATTGATATTAAACCCATTAGAAAGAATTGCTTTATCAAATTTTTCATGCCATTATTTTGGATCTTGTTTTAATCCATAAAGAGATTTTACAAGTTTACATACCTTTCTTTCTTGTCTAGGAGCTACAAAACCTTCGGGTTGATCTATATAAATTTCTTCATTTAATTCTCCGTTTAAAAACGCCGTTTTGACATCCATTTGGTGTACATCTAATTTATAAATTGAGGTAATAGCTATTAAGACCCTTATAGTGGTTATATGAGTTACCAAAGAATATGTATCAAAGAAATCTATTCCTTCTTTTCGTTTAAATCCCTTAGCTACAAGTCTAGCTTTAAATATCCATTTACAGTCCATTGAATTACAACCTAGTGGAAGATCAGTTAAGTACCAAGTATTATTAGTCATAATAGAATCCATTTCACTATTTATAGCATCTTTTCAAAAAGAAGTATCTACTGATGTCATAGCTTCGTTATATGTTCTAGGATCATTTTCAACTAAATAAGTAAGAAAGTCATTATCAATATTCTTTTTTATTCTTCTTTTTTTACTTCTTCTTAGTTCAGTTCCTAGTTGATTTTCTATACTACTATTAGACATAAAATTTTCACCAATTGATTCAGATAACTTATATTTCATAGGAAATACATTTTCAAAAAATACAGCTTTTCTTGACTCCATTATAGTATTATTAGAAATTTTAGAATTTTCAGAATTAATTACTAAGAATCTATAACTAACACTATCTAAGGCATACCCAATAAATACACAATCAACAATTTTCGGTCCTAATTTTTTTTTCTTAGTAATTGGTATTAAAACTTTAGCCAAGCACCCCCACACTTTGAAGTATTTTAAACTAGGCTTTTGATTTTTTCAAATTTCATAAGGTGTTTTTTTTTGAATTTTTGTAAGGCACTTTATTTAATATATGATAAGCAGAATATAAAGCTTCACCCCACAAATTATTAGGTAAACCAAAACTAGCTAACATAGCATTTATCATATCTAACAATGTTCAATTTTTACGTTCTGCTACTTCATTAGATTGTGGTGAATAAGGTCGAGACCGTCGGTAAATAATTCCATGTTGTTCACAAAACTCTTCCATTTTTATTGGTGCATACTCGCCTCCTCTATCAAACCTTAAGATTTTAATTTTCTTTTCTAATTGATTTTCTACATGAGCTTTATATATTTTAAATTTATCAAATAATTCACTTTTGTGACTTAATAAATATACATAGCAATATTTAGAAAAATCATCAATAAACGTAATAAAATATCATTTTCCACCATGAGTTAACACATTGTTAAGGTCACATGTATCACTATGTATAAGTTGTAACAAAGATGTATCTCTTTCAACGGATTTAAAAGGTTTTTTAGTTTGTTTAGCTTGTACACATACTTGACATCTTTCCTTTAAATTAACTATAGATTTTGGAATTAATTCTAAACTCATCATTCTTTTAATAGTGTTCAAATTTATATGCCCAAGTCTACCATGCCAAGTATTAGAACACTCTAGATTAGCAATAGAAGAAGTAGAGAAAGAATAACATGCAATTTTATTTAAATCAAAATCCATAACATGAAGTCTAAACAAACCATCACGAAGATAACCTTTACTAATAAAGTTACCATTCTTAGTTATTACAACTTTATTTGATTCAAAAACAACTTTAAAAACATGCTGAACTAACAAAGATGTACTAATTAAAATTTTCCTAATATCAGGAACATGAAAAACTCCATCTAAGGTGATTATATTGCCAGATGTCAATTTCAACCTAACTTGTCCTTCACCTAGTACCCTGGCCAAGCTCCCATTTCCTATGCTTACAGTTCTTGTGCATGATTCTTGATAATAAGGTGAAAAAATATTTTTATCAGCGCACACATGAACATTAGCACCCGAGTCTATAAACCAATCATTTGAGTTAAAAACAATATTTAACTTGGGATCGCTAACAAAATACCTGCTAGCAAGGTTAAAGGAGTTGGCCCCACAGTCACAACATTAGCTTGTGGTTTAGGGTTTACTGGAGGACCACGGGCTTTGTGGGGTTGACCTTTTCGATGATAACAATCTCTAGCAGTGTGATTAGTCTTCCCACACACCCAACAAGGCACTATTTTTCTCTGAATAATATTTTTGCCTTTTGATATATTATTAAGATTGTTATTCCCATTCTTGTGTGCACCATTTTTCTTGAAATTAAAAGGTTTGGTTTTAAAATGTTCTACAAAATGTGCCTTGACTCGAAAATCAGAATTTAAAAACTCGGCTTGTTTTTTATATTTAGGGATACTAGCAATTCGTGAAAGGTATAATCATCATGTTTTTGTTTTAACGTTCTACCAAATTCTAACCAAGATGGAGGTAATTTTTTAATCAGTGAAGCAACGAAAAAAATATCAGATAAATCCATTACTTTTCTTTTCATATCATACACGATATTTTGAAATTCATGCACTTGTTCCATAACCGATTTACCATCAATCATATGAAAGTCTAAATTTTTTTTCAGCATAGTAATGTTTAAGACCAGCATCTTCAGACCCATATTCAAAATCAAATGCTTCCCGTAATTCAATAGAAGTTTTTGTATTGCAAAAAATATTATAGATAGAAGGAGATAAAACACTTAAAATCCTACCATGACAAAGATAATATTTTTCATCAAAATCATCATCATCAGATTTTTTGTACGAAGTTGAATCCTTACCTGTCTCAACAATTTCTATAGCCTTAGAAGTTTCACTTTTTTCAGAATCCTTTTCTTTTTCAAAAACCTTTTATTTTCCTTTTGGAACAGTAGCTTTATGAATCACAAAATAAAGACCCAAAGTGGTTAACCAAAATTTCATCTGTTGTTGCCAATATATAAAATTTTGACCATTAAACTTCTCAGCCTTGCTGGAATTGGTTTCATCAAATCCCTTATTTTTTCCAAAATAAAATTATAATCAACGCAACAACTTCTAACATAAAATCCTAATTATCATTCCTAAGATTGTTAGAAAAATTAAACAGGATTTATTAATAGAATAAAAATACCAAAATACTTATAAACCAAAAACAACAAATAAATATTATTATTAGAGAGAAAGTTTAGAGAAGCCTGAATGGTGGTCAAGGCATGCAAATTGTGTTCTCCTTAGAAACGATACACCCTCTTCTGTACCAAGTTGAATGGTGTTCCTCCCCCAAGATACAACGACCTTCGAAATTACTTGTGTATAACAAAGTGAATTCACGAACCTTAAATTGCCCTTCGAAATTACTTGTGTATAACAAAGTGAATTCACGAACCTTAAATTGCCCAACACTCACTTGTAAACTCAAGACAGTAAATTCACAAAATAAATAACAGAGAAAAAGAAGGGGAGAAGAAAGACTTCTTTTTTTGTTTAGAAAACAACGTTGAAGTCTTATTATATACACAATTAAATAACTATAATTTAGATATTTAGGAGATATTGGAGGATAACCCAAAAGACTAAGAACTAATATAACGCTATAAATTTATTCCTAAAAAGATGCAAATATCAAATAAAATAAATTAAATAATTTAAAATTATAAAATAACACTAGGAAGCTCAAATGCTAATATATATATAATTATGTTTATGTTTAGTTGATTCTGCTATAGTTCTTTAGTTTATGAATTCGACTAAATTAGTGATTTTTGGTGTGTGTTTTATGTATATTGCTTTGCCATTTGGGCTAGCAGCTCCATCACACAAGATATGATTTTCTTCTGTCAGAAAAGAAAAGAAAAAATGAAAAAAGATCCATGCAGTTTCCAAATATTGAACTGGGAGGCTCAAATTCTCAATGCCACTTGATCTTGTATTCTTCATTCCAGAGATTTGTGCTCTGGAAGTGGTAACATAATTTCTCTTACTAAAATCTAATTTTTATTTTTATTTTTTTACAGAATTTATTGCACTCAACAAGTTTCTTCTTAAGGTTAGTATCTTCATTTATATCTGAAATTGAAGCTGTAAAGTGATGTAGCCTTTTTTTGTTTTTGGGCTTTATGTGAAAAATTCTAATTTATGATTTGCGATTTATGAACTCATGAATGCTAGGATAACATAATAATTGTAAAATTCTCTGAGGCTATGATGCCATTAAGTCTGCTCATTTTTGTTAATATAAGAAATGCCATTTCTTTGCCAAATTTTCTTCCATATGTAACATTAATCTCACTTTGATTCTATTGAAAAATCAAGGATAGACTCTCAATTTTGTGGGGAACTAATTCAGGAGCTGGTAACAAAACCACCATGCACTTCTTTATGTTGGGCTTATCAATGTCCCATATTACATATAACCTCTGATCAAGAATGCAAAAACTGGCCATCACGTTTGCTCTGTTGCTGAAGATAATGTATAAATTATATATATACATATATATATATTTCAGAAACTACCATTGATATCATTGGGTGTGTATTTGGAGGTTTTGTTCTTTGCTTGCAGTTTTAGGGTATGATCATATTCTTCAAGTTTTTTCCATCTAAATTTTTTGTCTTAAATTCTTTTGCAGGTTCAACATGCCTTCTCAGACTCGGAGAGGTGATTTTCTTCTAACAATATCTCATGTGTCCAGTGTTATTAACATCTCTAAATGACGTTCCTCAGTAACAACTGAATGTTGTTCATACCTTATAGTTATTTTCTTTCATTTGCCTTTTTTTTTTTTTTTTTTTTTAATTTTTAATTTTTAAAAAATAAAAATAAAAAATTTCACTGTCAAGCTATCTCATTAAAATTATTGTAGTGTTTATTCATTGATAGTGCAAAATCCATGTACCTTGTATTCAGTTAGGGTAGCAACTATTTCAGACTAGAATGTTTGATATATGTATAATTACATCTTGACAACATCTTGATATCTTTGATCATTGTCATAGGGATCGTGGATATCTTGTTCCTGATGATGTTTATGAGGTATTATTTAACATCTTGAATTGCCTATGATTTTTGGATGGTTCAGTGAAGTTTTGCTTATTGTGTGGCATGCTTGCTAAGGCTGAACATACAGTCCTATCTTTTTGGGTGTATTTTCCCCTATTTACTTCAGAAGTGAATTTGTCAAACCTTTAAAAACCTTCTCTAGATTCTTCTGGATGCTCTTTGATAATGCTATTAATGGATACCCACGTTTCTCTTTTGATCTCTCTAACTTCTTCACCTCCTCCCTCCCTTTAACTGTTGTCTGTTGCTACATGGTTACAGGCGTTGGTAAAAATTGGATTCTCACTTGACTCTCCTGCATTTTACACAGTCTGTGAGGTAAAGCTTGTAGAAAATTTTTCATTGTAGTAAGCGTGTAGAATTTTTTTTCATTGTAGTATGCACGTACCACATATTTGCAAAGTAATTTTTCATTTTCAAACCAATTTTACTTTTTTTAATCTAGGCACCTTGGATGGTTACTTGCATGTTTAACCTTTTTTATCTTCCTAGCAAAAATCAATCTTCTCAAGATGAGCGATAAACTACTTATGCAAGATTTGGACCAATAATTTATTGTCCCCCCATTAATTGTTCAGAGTTTCGATCAAAAGAAGAATGGAAGATTCCGGCTTGATGACTTCATAGCTCTTTGTATCTTTGTGCAGTCTGCAAGGTTTGTGACTATTGATATATATATATATATATATTTTCTTCTTCTTCTTCTTCTTCTTCTTCTTTTTTATTTTTTTTATTTTTAAAAATTTAGTATGCATCTCAAATTGAACCTTTTACCATGAATTAAATACTGCTTGGGGCACTTGGACATGAATATTTGTGCACCCAACTTTGATGGGTTCCATCAATCTTCTAGGTTCCATCAATCTTCTAGCTTAGTTCAACTGGATGACCCATGCAGACACCTGCAGACTCAATTCAGGGTGTCTGACCCAAATGGGAACCAATGAACCATCAATTAATGGACATATTAGTCCATCTTATAATATATTAAAACTTTGGATTATTGAGGTCAGGATTCCCAACTTTTTACCTTAAATTCGACCTATCTTTATGTTGAAAATATTTTGGTTGAGACATAGTTGCATCATGTACAAATTTGCTTTATGTTGTTGGATTTACAGTCTCTGTATGTATTATGTACATCAATCCATTGATATTAAACAATTATTAGATTAACGTTGTGTCGATGAGTGATGGCTGCAAGTTGTCAATGTTGTTAATGTATTCTTCTCCACTGTTGGATTCATTATTCTATTGGTAGACTGGTTACATTCATGTTTTTTATTTTGCAGGAATATGTTTAATTCATTTGATACAAGTAAGCAAGGCAGGGTCAGTCTCGATCTCAATCAATTTATATACTGCAGTGAGTATACCGACTTCATGCCATTTTGTTGTCTACTGTCACGTTCAAAGGCTCCTGTGTTGTCATTTGAGCTTTCCTAAACTGAGGAATACCAAACACTATCAAGTCTTTACACACACACACACACACATATTATTCTTAGTTACGTGAGTAACCAACCACCTTTTAGTTACCATCTGCATTACACAAACTTCTTGAACCAAAGCTGATGCAGGGTAGAGAACTTGAACCCCTTTGTTTTCGTTATATTCATCAAGTACTAACATGTTTCACCTTGTGGTGTCCTTTCTTCTTCTATGCAGCTGCCAATTGTAGAATATGATGCCAATTTCTCAACAACCGGTGAAGATAAGCACATGCTGTAAATTGACAGAATTATGTTGATTTTGATTTATGGAACGGACCTTATGTATTTGTTGTAACATGTATTGTCAGGCATAGAATATTTGAGAAATTCTTTGAGATGCAGTCTTATTGGTCAAATGGCTTGTGTCATTGATCTTAGTGTGATACTTGATATTCGGTTCTGATGTGTTTTGTTTTGGTTGAATTTTTGCTGTGGTATAATACAATCTCGGTGCTTTTTTATTTTTTCTGTATGGGAGTGTTATCTTAGTTAGGACTTTTAGCAAGTATATTGTGAGCCTTTTTACTCACCTCAGCCAGCAGCTTGAGCCTGTAGGTATGGAAACAACAATGAGAGAGATGTCAACAACATAACTTGATTTTCAAAACATACTTGAAAATACCATTAGAATGGAAGTGGAATCGAGATGAATATTAAAATGACGAGAGAGCTTACTCTTGCTCCCATTGCTACAGCACAACCATGGCCAACTCCAAGAATAGAGCCCTTACCCTTCAAAATATCACAAAATTCTTATTTGTCGGTAATGAAAACACTGATTTAAAAAATAAAAGAGAAGCATATGCATTGATATGTACCTTGATTCAAGATTCCAGGTGTTTAAACATTGGGGCATTCTTCAGCATATCCAGTAGACCATAAACCTGATGTTGTTTGGTATTCCTTATAAATTATGGGTTTCTTAATGCCCTACTTATAAATACATTGTTTAACAAATTTTAACATAATAACACACATACTTTTATTTTACAAAAAATGATGTACACTCATATCAAACTTATTAACAAATACTTTATATTTATTCATAAATATTAATAGAACTATTAATATATAGAAATACACAAGCAAATCATAACTATTGTTCTCAAATTATTAATACAATTTATTTTATTAGTGGTAGAGAAGGCAATAGAACCATGGTTGAAGAAGCAAAATAGAATTAATAAAGCACCACCTTTCGTAAGTGGAGGTTTTGGATGGAGAAAAAAAAAAAAAAAAACCCTTAGGCATATTCATACATAATGTGATCTTTAGTACCGAAAGGGGGAAATTTTTTTAATTAAATTTTTTTTATTATTATTTTTTTTCTAGAGATGGAATGAATACAGGCAAAACCAAGCTTCTGTAAACGTGGAAATGAACATAAAAAGGTAATGAGGTTTTGAGGCTACAATAATCTTAGTTGCGAGGCTTGGGACTTGCTAGTCACTGCAATAACAATTATGGTGACCCAGCTGCAAATTGCCCGCAGAAATTTTGGAACAAGTTGGTTATTACAAGAATATATAGTCATAGAAGAAGATAAATTTCAACAGCTAATAAGCCTTCCCGAAGGCTATGTCTATGTCCATAGAAGCTGCAATTTATATAACTGCCCGGAGTTCTCCAGTAAGAAGGCTGAACTTCCGGTGCAGTGACAGGACGGAAGGAACTTTAACAGCCTGTATTCTTGATGCTAAGTCATCAACATTGGGTCCGGTATGTTCTTTAGCTGCATTGAGTATCGTCTGCAAGATTTGAAGGGGATCACCATGGCTGACAACCAAGATTGTGCAGCTGCAACACAAAAGCACTATTATTTCACATATCAAATTATCTTAAAACATGGCAAAATTTGAAATGCTATTTCAAGCAAAGAATTACAAGACAGAAGTGGTAAACAGTGTAGTTAAAATTGGCATAATTATGACTGGGAGCTAGTTTACTAGTCCAAGAGTAGCACAAGTTAACAAATAACAACTCTCCCAAGCTACATGATCCAGTTTTTTAACCAAACCATGCAATTTTAAATCATGTTTCCAAAATCCAAGAAATTTTTAACTTATTTCCCAAACCCATGCTGTTTTGTGAAGTACTGTTTTCAAAACATGATTAAGCTTGAAGTTGTGTTTTGAAAGCACATCCATGACTAGCACCAGACTTGCCACTTTGCTGCTAGTCCTTTACATGTCAGAAATCTCCCATATATCGCCCATCAGATCTCATTTAAGATGTAGAAAAAGATGCCCACCATTTGACCCTTGAAACACAGACCTAAAGACAAAAGAAGAAAGAATTTTTACCCTTGAAACTCTGACTCAATGGTTATCAAAGCACTTGTCAGTCTAGAAACAACATCTGAAACACTTTCTCCACCTTCCGGCTTCATGAATGGATCTTTTGCATCAAGAGCCCATATCTCTGAATACTGTTCATGAAAGAGCACAAATTCAGACTCAAATGTTAACAGTATAGTAGCATGGTACTTATAATGAGTGCTAGACCCAGAATCAAATCAACTCTGCATCAATTAACTCCAATAAACAAATGCATACAAGAAGTTCAAGAATTGAAAGCCCATCAATCTGCTTCTTTCACTTCACGTAAAATCTATATTTAGTCCCTCAAAGAAACTACGTACCTTATCATGAGATGTAAGTTCAAACGAAGGACCAAAGAAACGCTCCCGGAGATCTTCTATCATCTGGCCAGAAAATTTAATTGAAAAGTCAACCAGAGAGAAAATAACAAAAGCTCTTTTTTGGGTACAAGATAGCAAAAGCACAGCACAATTTCAAAACTAAATAAATTGTTCACATTACGCTACAGCAGAAAGTTCCAGAGAATTGAGGCAACGACAAGGGCAACACGTGTGAAATAACAAAACAACAGCTACACATGCATTTCAATATTAAAATTTACTTCATGAAATAAATCTGTCAAGATTCGATACCTTACCTTACATTGAGGACCTTCAAAGGGGATATTCAAAACCGATGCAACAACTTTAGCAGTGTGTCTAGTTCTTGAAAAGGGGGAATAGCAAATTCGAACATTTTCAAGTGGTATTTTATTTTCCTCCAGTTCCTGCACATAATTTGTTTCTCCTGTAAAACTCAATATATATGTAGAGAAACATATTAGTAAAAGAGAGGTACCAAGGGAATGCATACTTCCATCCACATGGACAAGTCTTTCCTTCAGGCTCATTAAAAGAAAATAACAGAACTAATCACGATCAAAATCAGAAATTCATTCAAGAGGAGCAAAAATCTAAAAAAACCTTTCTTGAGGTTTCTCACAATCAAAAGGACTTTCTCTACGGTCCACAATGGCCAAGTATAATGAAGATGAACTGTTTTGAGAAATAAAGTTTAGCAAAAATTTATGATCCAAACTGAGGAAAGGAATTAATTGCCACAATGTTGCAGCCTTGCAGGTGGATGATGTGATTGGGTGATATCATATGTGGCACATAATAGATCCACTGGGAAACTTGTGGGAGATATCCCACATGAATACCTTACAAATAAGGCAAACCTTGGTGTAGATCTGTGTTATTTTCCACCTTTATCTGTTACTGCCACATCTTCAATTAACACTGCCTTTTCTAGCTTTTCACCCACTTACAAGGTAGAAAATGTAAACTAAATTGGTAAGAAGGTAGAAAATAACACATCAATTGGTAACCTTTAAAACTAGGATTATGTACTTGACTGACTATACAATTTGGCTTGATCAATTTTACGGGCTTTTGGTTCAAGTAGTATTATAGTTAGTAATCCGTAAGACCCAACCAGAACCTAATCCGGAAGATTCTCAAGCATAAGAATCAGCCGGCTATAGAAGTTTTAGCAAATTTAGAAATCACATAGAATACAAGTAAAAACAGCGAGAGAGAGAGAGAGAGAGAGAGTAAATAAAATGGTCAAAAGTTACTTGTCAAAAAAAAAAAAAGGACTAAGCTACACCAGTAGAAAGGCAACATCTTCACCTAACAAGTACTCATAGATCATCTCCAATCCTTCGTCTTTCTTTCTTTCCTTTTTTTCCCCATCAAATTTGGCTAAAAAATTGATTGGATATGCGATATGTTCCAATGGCTTTTCATCAAATTTAACTAAAAGTTTGATTTGGTGAAAAAACTGAATGCTCCAATCCTCACTTTAAAATTTCATCAAATCATTTAAAAAAATTTCAAGCTTATCCTCAATACCTTCTTTCATCCAATTTGGTGAAAAACTTGTTTTTTTCCTTGATTTGATGAAAAATTTGGTAAAAACTTGATTTGATACAAGTTTGGTGAAATGATTGGACGCCATTTTCACCAAAAATTTCATCAAATTTAAATTTCATACAAGATTTAGTGAAGGATTGGAGATGCTCTTACATCAGCTATACATTCTAGATCACTTTTCAGCAATGTTAAATTGAGAAAGCCGTGTTGGCCCTGGAGAACCACAACAAGTATTTGTAGGAACACCTACCTTTTGGAATAATTCTCCTGCCAAAAGTGCTTGATTAACACCTTCCGGAGCTAATTTATATTCCTCCAGTGTGCCATTTTCCTGTTAAGATACCAGTCACTATTTAACAAAATTGATGGCTGCTGTAATAATAGAAACTTGAGTCATGTTGAACCATGTAACTACATAAATCACGTGAAAATTGATTAAACCCGAACAAAAAGAATCTTCAATGTAAATCTTCCACATTATTAAAATTAATCTTGTGTGCATTATTAAAATTTTCACTTCATAATATATTTGGAAGTTGAAGACATAAGCTGAGAGCACTCCTCATCTCCAAGTTAGATCTATAAAGACAGGAGTCGAACAAGACATGCAAGGATAAAGTTTTATTGTAATGCTTATAAAGTTATAAACTGAATGAGCATTAGGCAGCCGTTCTATATGCAGATAAAGGCTCGCATTTTTCATGTTCAAAATAGGGAAAGGACATTAAAATTTGATAATTCATTAGTCAATCAGGGAAATTTTTTTTAAAAAAAAAGAAAAAGAAAAAGAAGAAGAAGAAGATATAGAAAGGAACCTGGAAAAAATGTATATCTTCTAGAAGTAAAGAAAATTTCAGAAAACAAAAGATATACAAATATATGATGTATGAAAACCTAATAAAAAAAATAAAAAAAAAATGATGCATGAAAGCAGCAATCCTCTGACAAAGCGTATGTTCCCCCAAACTATTCCACACACACAAATACACATTCATACTCGCAACATGAATCCATAAAGCTATTAAGTTAATCATTCAACAATTCAACATAAAAAATAAAATAAAAAAAAGTAATCAGATAACAGTAAAAATCAACCATTTGTAAAACCCAAAAAAGTATTTCCAATGCAATTGAAAAAACCAACCCAGCACAACACAGCGAGCACATAACCATCTAAAACAGACATATATGTAAAGGAATCATTTTCGAATAGTAGCAAATTAAGACATTGAAAGGAAGAAGACGAACCATAGACGAAACAATTAGACCCTTCTCATTTGGAATGCTTTTACCATGTCTCAGCACCCAGTACTTGTTTCCAAGAAACGATGGCCTTGCCATCACCCCCAAATCAATTCTCTCTCTCTCTCTCTCTCTCTCTCTGTCTCTGAGTGTATTAGTCTGATTTTGACGAATATCCACATTCCAGATGCTTACGTATTCATTGTGAACAAAATGAACACAAAAACGGCGTCGTTATAGTCTGGCAAAAGTAAAACTTGTTTAGAAACTTCTGTAACCAAACAGTGGGTGTTACCATACGGCATTCAGAAGGAAGGTTGGTATAAGGTCGCGAACCACCGTTAGTTGGCATCCAAACGGAGCCTTACCAGAAACAACAACGCCACCGTCGTCTCCGTCTTCGTCTTCGTTCTCCTGCGAAGCTTTCTACAGCACTCAACCATGGCACTCAATCTCCGACAAAGACAGACCGGTAGATCTCTCTCTCTCTCTCTCTCTCTCTCTCTAGATCTATCGATCTAATTTGTTGATATTCATTCATGACTTTGATTTGCAGAATGCATAACTCGAATGCTGAATCTAAACCAACCTGTGAATTCAAGTGGAACAGCGAATGAAGAAGTTTACAAGATCTTAATCTACGACAAGTTCTGCCAAGACATTCTCTCCCCTCTCATCCACGTCAAGGACCTCCGCAAGCACGGCGTAACCCTATACTTCCTCATCGACAAGGACCGCAAGCCTGTCCACGATGTCCCCGCCGTCTACTTCGTTCAACCCACTCACCTCAACGTTCAGCGAATCGTCTCCGATGCCTCTCGATCTCTCTACGACTCCTTCCAGCTCAATTTCTCATCCTCGATTCCTCGCGCTCTCCTTGAAGATCTCGCATCGGGGACTCTCAATTCCGACTCCATCAATCGAATTTCCAAGGTACACGATCAGTACTTGGAGTTTGTAACCCTAGAGGATAATTTGTTTTCTCTTGCGGATAAGTCTTGTTATGTTCAATTGAATGATCCTTCTGCCGGAGACCGCGAAATTGAGGAAATTATTGAGAAAATTGTGAATGGTTTGTTCTGTGTTTTGGCTACACTTGCTGTTGTCCCTATAATCAGGTGCCCGCGCGGTGGGCCTGCTGAAATGGTTGCGTCTTTGCTGGATCAGCGTTTGCGCGACCATTTGTTGGCAAAGAACAATTTGTTCTCTGAAGGTGGGAATTTTGCTACTTCATTTCAGAGGCCCATTTTGTGTATATTTGATCGGAATTTCGAGCTGTCTGTTGCTATACAGCATGATTTTAGGTATAGGGCACTTGTTCATGATGTTCTGGGTTTGAGGCTGAATAGATTGAGTGTGCCAGGAGAGAAGGGTGGGATGAAATCTTATGAATTGGATAGGATGGACCCGTTTTGGGTGGCAAATGGGCTGTTGGAATTTCCAGAAGTGGCTGTGGAGATTGAGACCCAATTGAATAAGTATAAGAAGGATGTTGATGAGGTGAACAGGAGGACTGGTGGAAACGAGGGGGCTGAATTTGATGGGACAGACTTGATTGGCAACACAAAGCATTTGATGAATGCTGTGAATTCCCTGCCAGAGTTGACTGAAAGGAAGCAGGTGATTGATAAGCACACCAATATTGCTACTGTTTTGCTGGGTGAGATCAAGGAGAGGTCACTCGATTCATTTGCCAAAAAAGAGAGTGACATGATGGTTAGAGGTGGTATCGATAGGACTGAACTGCTCAGTGTACTTAAAGGGAAAGGAACCAAGTTGGATAAGCTGCGTTTTGCAATCATGTACCTTATTTCTTCTGAAAGCATGCCTCATTCAGAAGTGGAAATGGTTGAAGAAGCACTCAGGGAGTCTGAAGTTGATACTAGTGCATTTCAGTATGTCAAAAAGATCAAGTCGTTAAATGTTTCATTGGCTAATGCAAATTCTGCTAGTAGAAGTCACATTGTGGATTGGGCTGAGAAGCTCTACGGGCAGTCACTTAGTGCTGTCACTGCGGGTGTGAAGAATCTATTGTCTAGTGATCATCAACTTGCATTGTCAAGGACAGTTGAAGCCTTGATGGAGGGGAAACCAAATCCTGAAATTGAATCTTATCTTGTATTTGATCCTCGTGCTCCCAAGTCAAGCTCTGGGACAAGTAGTGGCCATCTGAAAGGACCATTTAAAGAAGCTATTGTGTTTATGATAGGTGGTGGCAATTATGTGGAGTATGGGAGTTTGCAAGAGCTTGCACAATGTCAACAACCAGTCAAACATGTAATATATGGAACGACAGAAATTCTCACCGGTAGTGAGCCTGAAATTGAGTCTTATCTTGTATTTGATCCTCGTGCTCCCAAGTCAAGCTCTGGGACAAGTAGTAGCCATCTGAAAGGACCATTTAAAGAAGCTATTGTGTTTATGATAGGTGGTGGCAATTATGTGGAGTATGGGAGCTTGCAAGAGCTTGCACAATGTCAACAGCCAGTCAAACATGTAATATATGGAACGACTGAAATTCTCACCGGTAGTGAGTTTGCAGAGCAGCTTGCGGTTTTGGGGAAGAAGATGGGATTAGGAAGCAGTGGTGCTACTTCAGCCCAGTAAGACAGGCACGTCAGTTTTTAGCTTGAAGCATATTATTTGGTGGTTCATGACTTCATGCATTGAAAGGAAAAAAGTGCTTTCTAAAGACACCGTGTAAAACAGTCAATTATATACTTGAAGCTGTTGAATTGGAAGTGATTGGGAAGGAGTTTGGGTATACATTTGTATTTGTGTTGAGTCCCAAATGATAGTTTTCTATATTGATGCACACTGTCCTTTAGGGGTATAGAAGAAAGCCTTTTTTTAATCTTCAGTGTTGAAGTGAGTAGATTTCTGCCCTTGTGTTTTCTATTTTATTTTATTTTATTTTTTTTGGTGTTTGAAATTCTTAGAATCATTGAAATGTCTACTACCTACTTCTTGTTTCAGTCTTTTGCAGTGGATGCTTATTGGAAATTGTTTTGACAGTTACAAATTGGATCATTTTTTTGTTTTGTTTTGTTTGTTTGTTTGTTTGTTTTTTTTCAAGCTTGAGATCTTAAACCATTTAACCTCAGGAATTCTTAAATCACAACCACCTAAATTGTTTGCAAGGTGCCTCTTTCACTATCATATGCCTGTTGTATAGTTTTTGAGTCTTTGCAACTCAACTCAACCCAATAAAGAATTGAATTTGAATTGACACACATCCATTTTTGTAGTTTAGACATAATTAATTAATTCATCATTGTTCCTGCTTGAGATCTTACACAACTGAACTCCACAGAGGAAATATTTGAATTCCAATTACTTGGGGCTTGGGAGTGGCTACAAGTCTTTTTGACATGTTGTTTGGGGACAAACTATTTTAGTAACTTTTTGACTTTTTGGCTAAAATATGAGGTAAAATAAACTAGTACGTTTGGGATGACTTTTTAATTTTTTACGCAAAGATGTGCAAAAAGTAAAGAGAAAATGAAATCTTTTACTTTTTGATATAGGTTATTGGTTTTTTGATTTTTTTAGTGACTTTTTGACTTTTAGACTAAAAAATGATGTTGCCAAGTTCATTCTTATTCAAATTTGAGACCTTGTACAACTCCATTTAATCCAAACCAACACAACAATGCCCAAGATACCAACTACAAGGGGTTGGTTTCAAGAACACCTCTTCAGCTGTCCCTAACAAAAAAAAGGGGCTTTACATACGTAGTGTCCAATCATTGGTAAATGGAGCGTCAGAAGGAAGAGTTCTAGAGTTGAAAGAGCTTTTACATGAAGTAACACAGATTTAGGATTAACTTTCATGAAGCTTTAGATTCGGGATAAATGCTTTCTGCTGGCTATACAAGATGCACAGAGCTCTTCTGTTTTTTGTACTAGGGAGATGCTTTGTATAAGATAGAGAACATCAGAAGAAGATACAGGTGTATCTGCAGACCATGAATTTGCACATGGATTCGCATTTCATTATGGTTTCCTTTTTTTCCTTTTTTAATTTTGCCCTGCTAAGTTGTGCACTATTTTTAAGATTTGGAATGATAAATGTTGCTCAATACAATTTTCTTTATTGTTGATCGTGCATCAAACTAGTCAACATGGATAGAGCCTCCACCAGCTTCCAGAGTGGTCTAATATTCTCCATCAGCAACTGATAGCCATAGTTCCTGCAACACAACCTTGAGGATAACTGACTGCCACTACAAGAAAAGGGGGTATATAATACGGAAGTATTTGCGACGGCACCACTTATCGTCAAAAAAAATCGTCACAAAAAATGAGTTTTTGCGACGGCACCACTTGCCGTCTCCAATAAATCGGGTTTCAGTGACAGTACTACTTCCTGTCACAAAAAAGCAAGTTTTTGCGATGGCAACTACTGCAGTCACAAATAATTCAGGTTTTTGGCAATGGCAACCCATGCTTTCACAAATAAATCCATTGTTTGCGATGACAATCCCCCCGTCGCAAATAAAAAATTAGTTAAATGACGTCGTTTAATTATTTAAACTTTCATTTGTGACGGTGAAACTTGACGTTGCAAAAAAAAAATTGAAAATTTGAGAACTCATCTTTTTTTTTTTTATCCTTCGCGCTTGTTTTTCCCCCTTCAACCAAAAATCCCCAATCTCAAAAATCCCTAACCCTTTGAACCAAAAACCTTATCTCTCTCTCTCTCTTCTCACGACTCTCTCTCTCTCGACTGTGAGCAGCGGCAGACGACAACGAGCCTTGAATCGGCGACGGCAGCGAGCAGCGTGCGACGGCGGTGAGTAAGCGACGACAGTCAGGCATTTTTTTCATCTTCGTCTTCACATCTCAGTCAGTCTCAATCTCTGAACCAGGTTAGCTCTTTTTCTTCTTCGTCTTCACGTTTCTCTCGTTTGTTCGGATTGCAATTTCACATTTCTTCTTCTTCTTGTTCTTCTCTCTCTCTCTCTCTCTCTCATTTTCCTTGTAATCTCTCTCATGAATTTGCTTTCAGGCACTGACAGCTTCACCTGAACTCTGAACAATCTACCAATTCGTCGAAATTTCAGTTCCTTCGCTGACCTCGTTCTCTCTTTCTGCCACTAAGTTTTGTCTAGGTATGCATATTTATATTTTTTTTGCTCACTTTCTTTTTTACTCCCTTGAATTTTCATTTATTTCTCGCTTAAATCCATTTGACTGGCAGAAAATTGAGTTAAAGAAGAAGAAAATTAAAAAGAAAGCATGGGTTTTTGTTACTTTTTGTGCTTTTGCAGACACCTGTTCGAAGAAAGTTTAGGATAAAATACAACCAACAACTAACAAAAACATACAGTCAATGAAACAAAAATGATTCAACAAAGTCAAATTGAGTGAAAGATTAGTACCTGAGTAAACTGATAACAGGTTGTAAAGCTCCAGCAAGCAGAACTTCTCTCTTAATATTTGGGGATGAATGCACCAGATTCCCAATCACACCAACCTGACAAAAAATTCAGAGGTCAATTAGTGATTCTGGGTTCCGGCAATATGAAGTAATAAAAAAATGTCCCAAATGTATGTAAAGTTCAAGATTGAATGATATAGATTAAAATTAGAGCCAACTGCGTCATAATGTATGGCAGCATCCTTAGACCGAAGCAATAGAATAAGAGTATGTAGAGCATTGCATTCCACAATCTGCAGATTTATAATTTCAAAACACAAACTGCATAATAAATTAAAATTTTATTTAGATCCTCAAATGAGTTCGGTGAATCAGAGAAAGTAGTCAACCTAATTTTTGTTCTCATCATTTTTAAAGGCAAGGGTTCGTAGGGCTCCTGCTTCTGCTCTCTGGACTTTTGAGTCAATAAACTCTAGCAATTCAACTGGGGGCAGGATTCCACCTTCAATCCTGGATGTGCAACCAAAAATGTCACAAAGACAGTATAATACTAGATATTTAACTGAAAATCATGCAAATAAACAAACCTAACACAGGTTTTAATGCTGCTGTTCTCATGAGCAAGGTTGGTGATTGCATCGGCTGCTCTTCGAATAACACCATTGACCGCCTTAGAGTTTTTACCATTGTTTTTATTTTTTTGTAATTGGGATTGTGAATACTGTTTTCCATTTGATTGCAAATTTAGGGTTCCAATATTTTAAGTACCAAAGTCTAATTACTGACAGAGTGGAAGAAAGAAAAGAAAGAGGAAATTTTTATTATCATGAGCTGTTAGATTGATTGGCTTGCCTAAAATTTAAATTTACTTTGAAGTTGTAAAGAAATAACCACACCATCAATTATGAATTGGATAATTGTGTTTGTTTGCGTGTGTTTGTGTGGAAGAGAACCTTTTAGTTTTTGTCAAATAGCGAGTTGGGTAAGAGTGAATTGTATGAAACTTTTTAAATTTAATTTAATTTTTTTTTTTTGTATTCTCTGGGTATCCTAGAAGAAATCAGCAATCACCATATATATATACATTTATTTTATTTTTTTGACTTTCGAATCCAACTTCTTGTGTGTTGTTACTATGTTGTTGTATACATTCACACATACATTCATATATACATGTGTGGTTATGCATAGTCAAAATACGAATAACTGAGATTGGAGAGTTTCCATAATTAAAATAAATAAAAAAAACTGATTTCTAGGGTTGACTATTTAGACCTTTTTTTTTTTGGTGTGAAACATTAGGCCTTGTAAATCTCTGTAGAATTATTGGATCTTGGGCTGCTCATTAGTTATAGTAAATAGAGTACAACTTCAATCCAATCCAAGTCGTGGAAATTTGTAAATCTCCGTTGAATTATCACATCAAGATCATTTCAGAGAGATCCATGACAGAATTATCATCATGATGAGCATGAAGGCTTTCATTACTTGCAGGAACTTTAAAATTTCAATGGATGGATCTTATCTGTGATAGGCAAAAGTCGAGTGTGTTGTGTACTTATACATAACCTTGACAAACAAAATTAGCTAAACAGAGAGAAGCGCTAATTTAGTAAAAGCATACATGCCACACCTAATATTCTTTTGCCCATTTATACATTCAGTAGATGATTTCTAAATTTTCCAGAGCAGAACTTCTATTTCCTTGTAGTACCTTAGATAGTGATTGATTACTAATTGTCCCCCAAATCTGTCTCTGTCTGTAATGTATTGATTTGAATTTTGTGAGGAATAAAATGCCTTCCTTTTGTTTATACTTGGTGAAATCTCTCTTTTGGATTTGTTGCAAAGGTTTCTTTGATTGTCTCATCAATCTTTGAAATTGTAGTTCTTGTTTTGGGCATTTGTTTTGATATTAATTTCCTTCTATACAAGAAACTGGATTTAACTCTAATAAACAAATATGCTCATTGAAAGTGCTGGACATGAGCTAAACTAATTGCAATTATCATACTGCAATCATTTGCTGATATAATAAAAAGTAAGAGCTTTATTACATTTCAGTTGACAAGCCAAATGATTATAATAAAACTTAATTGGTAGAAGGCGGAAAAAGAGAAGAAAAATACCGTTAACAGATGGGCATGATCCTTGGGAGTAAGAATGAATAGTTGAGAACCATGATGCTGCTTCTTTCTGGTTGCTGTTGCCTTTGTTCTTCTTCTGCTCTCTGCTGGCCCTATTTTCCTCTATGTTCTGTTTTCTTTTAAAATCCTAGAATTTCCCCTTTCATAACCTTAATGTTTTTTATGCTTAATACCAGGAACTTTTGTGAGTATGCATTATATGTGGTTTCCAAATTACTATTGTGCATGTGATATGACCCCTTGGGCTGACTAGTAAGTAGATTGGGAAGCATGTGGGAAATGTATATGGATATTATTATATCATCCTACTTCCTACTTCATTGTAATCTGTTGGTCCTTGTAGGATAAAGTATAGCAATGCAGAATTAAGAAAGAGACAGATTATTTGATGATTAAATTAGAAAAAAAGAAAAAGAAAAGGAAGAAGTTAAACAAACTAGAAACATAAATTGTATTAATCAAAATTATGAATCCTTGTTGCAAAGATAGTTATTGGGATGCCTAAAATAGCAAAATATCTGTAAGTTTGGCACCAAGAAGTAAATTCTGTGGTTAGGATGGAAATGTAATGCAGCCTTAGGTTTATTAAATGTGTGCAGAGAAACATATGTGAAATTCTAAGCACTTATGAAACTGTGCCTAGAGGGATGCCCAAATTCCAACGTACTATCATTTTTTTCTCTAATAAAGTTCTTGTCTCTAAGAGTAAAAGAAAGGGGAAAAGAAGAGGGTGGAAGCAAACAGAGAGTATAGAACTGTTTATTATTATGTTGCTCCATGCAGCTTAAGAACTTATAACATTAATATGGCAGGAAAATGGAGCATTTGTTAGGATGGGAAAGTTCCTTGCTTTGGTTCACTTGTTGAGGTTAATGCTCAAACTCAATGCAAGAATTGGATTTGTCAATGTTCAATACCATCTTTAACTGCTAAAAAAGGTTTGTTTGGTTAAGATTTTTATTTATCATGGTGCAGCTGGACACGAAAGATTCAGAACACTAACTAGTTCATATTGTAGAGGTAAAGGAATAATAATGGGTAAATTCTCTAGTTCTTCATTGTTTATCTAACTTTAGTCCCTTTCTGTATCGATTTAATTTTGACTTATGTGCCTTCAGTGTTACTTTTTGTATGACAAAATCCTCAAGTTATGCACATGGAGCTTGATATTTTGTGACTGGTTGTAGTGCCCCTCTCCTCCTCCCCCATTTTTTCCTTTTGCAGTGTTCCTCATCATGTATATTGGTTATTCAGTCACAACCTTCTGAGTTATTAAAGTTGAGATGGAATCATTTGGCAAGAACTTCTGCATATGGGTAATTTTTTAAAACTATGACCCAAATGAACTAAATAGTCTTTTCATTGTGCAGTGGATATAGTTAAGCATAAGAGTTTGGGCACCGAATTGTTGTCTTTGTATTTATTTTAGTTTGTCAAAATGTGCAGCTGTTTATGTGTGCCACTTCAGGTCTGATTTACATATGGTATGTAAGCTATCCATAATTGATTCGTACACAATCTGCACACTTTTCTGGCTGCTAACTTGTCTAAGATTCCTGTTGGCCTGACAATGTCCTGTGTTGCATTGCTGCTTAACTATTTTTTTTCTGTTTATTAATTTCTTATGAGAGTTATGGCCCAGGACAGACAACTGGCGAAAGAAATAGTTGGGAGCAGATTTTGTTGAGTTGAGTTTTATGTATTTATTTCGAAGATTAGATACTTGCACATCTCAGAGTTTTAACATTTGAGTTAACCTTATTAGGAGAGATCAAGAAGCCCCCTGTTTCTTGCATACCTCGTGTAGGCCTCAGTCTCCTGATGTTTAAATCCCAATCAATTGGTTCTCTTAAAACTTTTGGGGCATCACACACTACATCATGATGTTAGAATTAAAACACTGATCATGTTGGCTGTGTAAGAACAAAGGAGTTGCATTCTATTTCAGCATTTGAGATAAGACAGTACAGTATCTCTGATAACTAAAGGAGGAAATTGAGTTTTCTTTGTGTAGTTGTGGTGATTCTTTATCCATGTGCTCTGATAAATCTCCTCTCTGGTACTTGTCAGTTTCTTAAGGGACTTTTATTTGTCGGAATGTGTGTGGGTTGAAGTTTGGTAAAGTTCTTTTGTATTTTAGTTTAATATTATAAGCATTTTTATTGGTAATTGTTATTTTTTTTATTACTAAATAACTATATAAGATTTACATTACCTGATCACTGCAAGTAGTTTTTTCTCTGATAACTAATGGAGGAAATTGAGTTTTCTTTGTGTAGTTGTGGTGATTCTTTATCCATGTGCTCTGATAAATCTCCTCTCTGGTACTTGTCAGTTTCTTAAAGGACTTTTATTTGTCGGAATGTGTGTGGGTTGAAGTTTGGTAAAGTTCTTTTGTATTTTAGTTTAATATTATAAGCATTTTTATTGGTAATTGTTATTTTTTTGTTTACTAATTAACTGTATAAGATTTACATTACCTGATCACTGCAAGCAGTTTTTCTGAATTCTTTCACAGAGTCTCCTTATCTCAAAGATTTTGAACCCTTCACATATTCAGTGAACCTAATTGAGTTTGGAATTGAACAGTTTATGCTGTAACACGGCAAGAAACATTTACAAATCTATCTGATGTGTGGGCAAAAGAAATGACCTGTACTCAACAAATTCATCATACAAAAGTTTTATTTAGAATTCTTTCAACTTACCAGGTGCTAGGAGAATCAAATAAAATTACTTAGTTTCTAAGAAATTGTGTTAAATTTTGCTTTGTCTCCCAAATTTATGATCCAATGTTGCATTATTGGATACTGGATAGTATGATGAAGTTTGCACAAAATACAGGTGTACTCAGCCTCTCAACTATTCCTTTGCCAGGAAAGTGAAAAGGTTGTCACAAAAAAAGAGGGAATTGACTTTGCTAGGGAGTATGGATGTCTTTTCATTGAATGTAGTGCAAAAATGCAGGTGAATGTGGAGCAATGCTTTGAGGAACTTGTTTTGAAGGTATGCAAAATTTTGGTAACTTTTTCCCCATGTTTAGTTAGAATTTTTGTGAAGAACACCCAAAAATCATTATATATTTAATCACACAGCAAACTGATCTGTTGTTTATGTAAGCTGTATCTACTTGGATCCGATCATACCCATGTAATTTCCTGTCATCTTACCTCTCCAGATTGGTTTTCTGTTTGATGACATAGGGCTTTTTGGCTTAGTTGCACGAAGCGGGAGCGGGAGCGTGGAATCGTAGACACTTCAAGAATCGTTAGTTGGGAGCGTTTGTATATATTTTAAATAATATATAAAAATATATTGTAAGATTATATTTTTTTATGGGACTATACATGTTATAAATAAATAAGAATTATAAAAAATTATATGTTAAAATATTCTAATTATATACTTTTATTAGAATTTTTTTAATTTATTCTAAAATATTTTTATTACTTTTTTATCTATTTATTCTAAAATATTTTTGTTAAAAATTATTTATTTTCTTAAAAAAATAAAATAAAAGAAGAGAGAGAGAGAGAGAGAGAGAGAGAGAAGACAGGAGAAGAGGAAAGAAAGATAAATAAAAACATATATTTATAAAAACAAATATATATACATAATACGTATTATATTTTTAATCTGAGAAGAGAAGATCAGAGAGAGAGAGACGTCGCGCGAAGACTAGCGAAGACGAGAGAGAAGTCGTGATGGCCTGTGTGTGACTCGCGAAGACCAGCGAAGAGGGAGACGTCGCGATGACCAGCGAAGAGGAGAGAGAAGTCGTGATGGCCTGTGTGCGACTCGCAAAGACCAGTGAGTAGGAAGGGAGAAGTCTGCGATGGCTAGCGATGGAGCTTCGACTGAGAATAAGATAGATTCATGATCAGATTCGCGTTTCTTTTGCATCAAAATCGCGATTCTTCAACGAATTTGAGTCATAAGCGCAGAATCGCGCTTCTGAGGAAGAATCGTGAGCAGCATGGACGATTCCTGTGACTAAGCTTTTTGGCAAGGGTAATGATAAAAACTGAATGCACATCTTTGGGTATAAGATATGATTGTGTTTATTCTGAACACATTCACAAATGTTTTCATGAATGTTCACTTCCAGCACCTTATTATACTACTTGGGGTGTCAATTCCAAGTTTCCTGTTCATGGGTGTCTTAAGTATGAGAAGTTATTAGTTGGTCCAGGGGCAATGCTACGTAGCACTCCACATGTATTGTGATTAGTGGAGGGGTGGGACTTGCGATTTTGTATTAGGTGATTAGGAAACATGAGGGGGCATGGAGGTTTGTGATTGGCTTGGGACACGAAACTTGGCACACACGACCTCCTAGGCATGAGAGACTTGTGGGAGAAGATGGGACTCAAATCAGGTTCTCGGTTTGAGAGTTAAAGCCGGATTTTGGTCTAAGCAAACTAGTTACTTAAGAAACTTAGAATTACGCCCCAAAACTACCAAACGGCGTCGGATTAGCACGAAACTTGGCACATAGGCACGAGAGACTTGTGGGAGAAGACAGGACTTGAATCGGGTTCCCGGCTTGGGAGTTAGAGCCGGATTTCGGTCTAAGCAAACTAGTTCCTTAAGAAACTTAGAATTCGAGGTGTTGACGCCCTAAAATCACCAAACGGCGTCGGATTAGCACGAAACTTGGCACACACGACTGCCTAGGCATGAGAAACTTGTGGGAGAAGACATGACTCAAATCGGGTTTCCAGTTTGGGAGTCAGAGCCAGATTTCGGTTTAAGCAAACTAGTTTCTTAAGAAACTTAAAATTCGAGGTGTTAACGCCTCAACATCACCAAACGGCGTCGAATTAGCACGAAACTTGGCACACATGACTGCCTAGGCATAAGAGACTTGTGGGAGAAGACAAGACTCAAATCGGATTCCCGATTTGCGAGTTAGAGTCGGATTTCTGTCTAGGCAAACTAGTTCCTTAAGAAACTTAGAATTCGAGATGTTTGACGCCCCAAAATCACCAAACGACGTTGCATTAGCACGAAACTTGGCACACAGGACCGCCTAGGCACGAGAGACTTGTGGGAGAAGACGGGACTCAAATCGGGTTCCCGGTTTGGGAGTTAGAGCCGGATTTCGGTCTAGGCAAATTAGTTCCTTATGAAACTTAGAATTCGAGGTGTTAGTGTCCCAAAATCACCAAACGGCGTCGGATTAGCATGAAACTTGGCACACACGACTACCTAGGAACGAGAGACTTGTGGGAGAAGACGGTACTCGAATCGGGTTCCCGATTTGGTAGTTAGAGCCGGATTTTGGTTTAGGCAAACTAGTTCCTTAAGAAACTTAGAATTCGAGGTGTTGAGACCCCAAAATCACCAAACGGCGTTGGATTAGCACAAAACTTGACACACACGACTGCCTAGGCACGAGAGACTTGTGGGAGAAGACGAGACTCGAATCGGGTTCTCGGTTTAGGAGTTAGAGCTCGATTTCGGTCTAGGCAAACTAATTCATTAAGAAACTTAGAATTCGAGGTGTTGACACCCCAAAATCACGCAACGGCGTTAGATTAGCACGAAACTTGGCACATACGACTGTCTAGGCATGAGAGACTTGTGGGAGAATACAAGACTCGAATCGGGTTCCCGATTTGGGAATTAGAGCTGGATTTCGGTTTAGGCAAACTAGTTCCTTAAGAAACTTAGAACTCGAAGTATTGACGCTCCAAAATCACCAAATGGCGTCGGATTAGCACGAAACTCGGCACACATGACCGCCTAGGCACGAGAGACTTGTAGGAGAAGATGTAACTCGAATCGGGTTCCCGGTTTGGGAGTTAGAGTCGGATTTCGGTCTAGGCAAAGTAGTTCATTAAGAAACTTAGAATTCGAGGTGTTGACGCCCCAACATCACCACACAGCGTCGGATTAGCATGAAACTTGACACACACGACTGCCTTGGCACAAGAGACTTGTGGGAGAAGACAGTACTCGAATCAGTTTCCCGGTTTGGGAGTTAGAGCCAGATTTCGGTCTGGGCAAAATTATTTACTTAATTATCTTTATAATTATCTTTGTAATTGTATAGTAGTTAAATTTTTATGTTTTTTTGTAATTAACATATCAACACATAATTATATTGTCATTAATTATTTTTGTTTTTTGTTTTCAGATATTTCCCGAGTAGGAGTTTCCTTCTTGTGGAATGAATGCTTGTGAAGAATGCGACTAAGTTTTGTTTTTGTTACCTACGGAGAATGACGAGGAAAATTCTTTTTTTTTTGTTTATGTTATTTTGAATTGTGAACAACATTATGTATTTAAACATTATATATGTATTATGCAACATTATGTAATGGAATAATTTTGATGATGTCTAGTTATGAATTCAAGAATATTTTTATTATGGAGAAATTGTTATTTCTATACAGGAATTTTTATATTATTATGCAATTATTGGTTTCTTTTTCAATTTTTTTTCATTTAATGCAGGTAATTTAAATATTTTTAATAATTTTATTGTAGGATTTTTGTTTTTTTTGTGGCAATGGCACCACACCGTCGCAAAAAATATTAGAACTAAAATGTATTTTTTTGGCAACACAGGCAATGCTGTCACAAAAGAAATTGGCGACAAAGGTCATGCCGTCGCAACAAAAAAAAATTCGCGACAACATTTTTTTGCCGTCTCAAATAAAACCTTTAGCGACGATACAACATTATCGCCGCAAAATGTCTCAATTTTTTTACATATTATAGGCGATAGTAAAATGCAATCGCGAAAGGCAACATTTGCCGTCGCAATGATGCCGTCGCTAAAACATTTTAGCAACACCCTCTATTGTGACCCCCCTTTTGCCGTTGCTAAAAGTCATTTGCTGTCGCTAAATTTTTTTTGAGACAACGTTAAGAGAATTAAAGGCTCCTGCATATGAACCATATCCTACTTGGTGTGTTGGATTGGATGTCAGGAATAGAGGAGTGACCAACTCCTCCATTGTTGGACAAAACCTCCTCTAGCAGACTCTAATAAAGAGTCCAGCGCCCAGAGAAGATGACCAGATATGTAAGTACCTCTCTAGTAAATATGATTTTTCTGTTCATGCAACAACTCTGATATCTTCAATCAATTCAGGGGTTCTCAAACTTTGCTGTTTGAGAATGAGCATGAGTCACCAGTGCGTTCCATCTTCCACTTTGTTATGTACCTGCCAATGCAAAGTTTTGGGCTTTGTTTGGTAAAGTTTTGG